GACATCATGCCAGCACGTATCTTGGCAATCTTCTCTGTAAAGAATGGGGTTCGCCGGCGATTTTTTTGCAACAGGTGGCGTGCGTGTACTATCGGTTATAGGCGGGAAACCGGAAGTTGAATACTTCTCAGCGCTACGCTTTTAACATCACTGACACTGTATAGATTAGTACATTTTTCCATTGAAAATGCCGCAGTATTGTTCTGTACCTGGTTGTACTAACTCTGGAGGACACAGATACCCATCTGATTCTGATCTACGACTGAAGTGGCGAGTGGCCGTGCGGCGAGTCGATCCAAAGACGAAGGAACTTTGGCAACCCGGAAAAACTGACGTTGTGTGTCAGTCACACTTCACAGCAGATGACTTCACGGTGACATTATTAGGTATGGATCAATAATTTAAATGCAGAATATTTGAAAATTATTGCAATTATTGTTATTCATTTTTTCAGTTCATTCCAATTTGCGTAAATGCTGGATTTATTGGCCGAAGTTTTGATGTTGGCGTGATGCTCAGATCAAATGAAAACGATGTTTATTATAATATTATTATTCGAAACCGACATTTAGTAGATCAAAATACAAGAATTTCAATTTCATCCTGCTTGATTAATTTGAGAAAGAGTCGAAACAGATAAATGCATATACATTGTAATCACTTATTGACACTATTATTTAGCAAAGTAATTTACAGTCATATATCAATCAAATATTAATTGCAACATATTTTATTAAAAATTGTTCAATTTATTTCTCAATAATCGCCTGTGGAAATGTATATGAGATACTGAATTTTATTGCAAGGTTATAATGTTTCAGTGTTAAAATTTGAATTTTCTCATTGTCTTGTTGTTGTTGCATGAGTTCTTCATTGAGCTTTTATCTTTGCAATGTGTTGGTTTTTCTTTATTTAGGAAGTTTCTTTCCCAGAACTGGACCCAAGAACACAAAAAGTGGACACACAGGTGCTTTGAGTAACAGATATGTAAATGGTTTTCATGTATTTAATTCTTCATTTTTATTATTTATTCATATTATTTATATATATATATCTTAAGTCTTAGATGTGAAGATTTTTTAGTATGTCACACAGTTTATTCATAGTAAAATTAACTGAATAAACCAAAAATATTACCTATGATTTTAACCCATATTCAATGTCAGTTTCCAAGTATTTTCAATGAAATAAACAATCAATTTTGTTTGATTTTCTTCTTACAAAATGATGCTATTACACAATAAGTGACAATCAATATTTAACATGTTTATCATTCATTAACATTCAATGAACTTGGAACAATTAAATTCAGCACTTTAATTATCTTTTAGGAGAGAGGAGACGGTTGAAGCTGGACGCTGTCCCTTCCATCTTCACTCACACGACGCGGACATCATGTCGACCCAAGAGGAAACACCAGCAGAGGGAGACAGAAGCCAGTGATGCCATGGAAGATGTTCAGATGGAAGTGGTTGTGGACTCATCTGATTCTAATGTTTCTACCAGTACCACTAATGATCCATTGTGTGACAGTGACCTTTGTGGTAATACATTTCAGGATGAGCAAGTTCAGTGTAACCTTTTGGGTAAATATAGCATTGACATGTATATAAATAATTCTAAGGCTGTCCATTATTATACTGGTTTTCAGAACTATGATCATTTCATGTACTTTTTTTCACTCACTTGGGCCAGCTGCTTATGAGCTCAATTATCAATGTGTATCTTTGTCACCTAAAGACCAACTGTTTTTAACTTTGATGAAGTTGCGTCAGGCAAAGGAAGATGTAGAATTGAGTTTGTTTTTCAATATATCAGAGTCCACAGTATCACAAGTTGTTATCACATGGATAAATTTTTTGTATTTTCAATTAAAAGAAGTTAAAATATGGCCATCAAGAGAGACTGTTGATCACCATATGCCTGAAGATTTTGGTAAAAAGTTTGGTACTACAAGAGTAATATTAGATGCCACTGAAAACCCTATCCAAAAAACCATCTCATGTAGATGCTCAGAGTGTAACATGGTCTAGCTATAAGCACCATAATACCATTAAGACTATGATAGGTTGTACACCTAGAGGTGCTGTTTCCTTCATAAGTGATTCATTTGGGGGCTCGTCAAGTGACCGTCAAATAATTGAAAAATCTCCCTTACTAGACCCCTCGGTAGGCATGTTTGATAAGAAAGATAGCATAATGGCAGATAGGGGTATATTGGTCCAAGATCTTTTTGCAGCTCAGGATGTACATGTCAATACACCCACAACACTTAAAGGTAGATCCCAACTTGAGCCTCATGAGATTGTGAAAGATCGCAGAATTGCATCTAAAAGAATTCATGTTGAAAGAATAATTGGTCTCAGCAAAACTTTCAAGATTCTGAAAGTAAATCGTCCACCTAGTAAAGTAATGCTTGTGTCTAGAATTGTGTATGTCTGCTTTGCCATTTCAAATTTCAGAAATTCCATTGTAAATGAGTCTGCTTAGTTTGATTTGTATAAACATTGCATTAGTAATGTGACGAAAAATATACCTTTTCATGACCATATTTATGAAGGACCATTTGAAATGGCAGTGCTGTTGAAAACTGAAAACTCTGTTGTTAGAGATATATCAAATATCTGGAGATTCATGTATAAATGTATATCATATATCACTATGATCACATCATTGAAAAGTAGGACAAATAATTGATGCCTTCCTTTTTCAGATAACTGAAACAAAACCACAACGAAATTGATAAAAATATAAGACGACTTTATTACAATATTTACTTACACCAATAATCCAGGTATGGAGCATGATGACATGCAATTGTGAATCCCGCCCCCAATATTACCACCAATATGGTGCCACTGACCAGTTTAATAAGTAAAACTTGAACAAGTGATAACTTCAAAGAAAGGATTGTGATATTGTGAACATATCAACTTCAAAATGAGGCATCATGGTAGCATTAATGATACAGATTTATGTTAGATTTTTTTATTGCATGCGATCATGATCCTCACCTATCATAGGCAGGGATTTTCCTTCAGTCCTGTATTGGTGTATTCTCTGTCTGCCTGCACTTTAATTGGCTATAAGCAGATTAGGATTAACAGTCTAGTGCCTGCACAATCAGAGTCTGTTCAAGTAAGTGGAGTTCACTTCCCACTGACCTCCAGGCTCACTAACCCACCACACTGAACACAGTTTATAATGATTAGTTAACGCAGTCATTAAAAGTAATCAAATATGACATGTGGCATTGGGTTATAAAACAGCAATTTAGTTTACCAGAAGTCATTCTACAATGACAGGCACATGTTCACTTTGTTCCCAATTCCTGGGGTGCCCAGAGTTAAGTATGCAAGTTTAGAGTCTTAACTGGTACCATCTCACCAGTTGTTTATGGTCATGACGTTTCTCATCAGGTGGGATTGTGACTGAGTGTGGTTATTGTCGTATGAAACAAATTATACAATGGTATATATTTACGTATACTGCTCAGTGCACAAAATATCTATTTCTGGTGTGACATCTATGTCACCGTATTTTCAAAAGACTCATATTTGTATATGAAATGTAAATTGCTGATTAAAAATTTCATCATATTTGTCAGATAATTCATTTTCAAATATTTGTATAAATGCAATATTGTGTATGCATATGATGTTACATGCAATATCAGTAAAATTTGTGTATGGCCATATGCATTAAACAAGATGTGATAAACGTTACTGTTTACCTGCAATTGCTGGCATACTTGCATTTCTACTACAGACTATAGCTTTAATCCCAAGTGTTGTAAGGGTTAGTAATTTTAATCCAGTAATTTTCATCCCTAAACAATATGTGCATGCAAAAAGAGAACACCGCCCTGTATTTGAAGGTCCCTGGTAGTCATACTCTTAAATTTTCAGGGGTCCTGGACAACAAAATGGGGGTACCAGACACCTAAATATTATTATTAATGCTATTATTAATGTTGTAATATTGTTGTAATTCAGTTACTGTTATTGCATTGTGCATCTTGGTCATCACATTGTTACAGTACATTAAATTGCAAATAATACATAACCCGGCTAGTAGCAGACTCTGTAATAACTTCTTGCTACTTGATTGAAATTTTACAAAAAGTATTAGGACTCTTTCTGCTTCCCCTTGGAAGCAATATTAATTTTCTTTGCATCCTTTGTCATTTTTATGCTCATAGGATGCAGGAATCTGCATCCAGTAAATCCTGGATAGGTTATGGACCTGAAGTATGTCAGAGGCACAATCTACTCTGTTACTACTGAATCTGTCAGTGTTAAGTTTTGTAAGTATGTGTTCAAACTTGGGAAATTTACATGTAAAATCATGTATTTATACAACAAAATGTAATGAAGTGCAACACTTAATGTAGACTTTGTGCAGTTACTGAATAAATATTGTTTGTTAAGATCCTTAAGTCTGAACTACTATACTTAACTGTGTAAATAGAGATATCATGTCAAGAGCATGTCAATAAAGTCAATAATACAGAATGACCAAGATTATTTGTTTTTGTTTTATGACACCAGCAGTGTATCAAAACGTGTGTGGATACAGGATTTTACAAGACAGATGCAATGTAAGGTCTAAGATGCTGTTGGTAAAAAAGTTCTAGTTTTGGGAGCATAGAAAGCTGAAAATAGTCATGGTCAAGATCAATCTTTTCAACAAACATATCACAGAAAGTGTACACAACAAAAAAACAACATTTTCGTTTGGCAATGTACAATTGTCCTTGAATCTGATGATAATAATTACTTCTTTGATTCAAACAAATCTTCCCTGTGGAATCATACAAAAGATATGGAAATTTCTTGCCTGGTTTGATCATATCATCACGCCCAGCATAAGGACATTTCACTTCAACCAAACAATTGTCATCTATGATTGCATCTGGAGTTGCACCCAAGAAAGGTATGTCTCTATCAATATAAAATCCAGCTTTCTTAGTCTTTATCCCATGCAATTTTTCAAAATGTTTAATAGCTTTTTTCATACTGTTTACCATGTATCATAGGTCTTGTACATGTTTGGCCATATAAAAGTGAATGACATAGTTTCTTTTTATTTCTTCTACTTGTCATTTTGGTGACTTCTCCGAACCGTGATGCTGTTAGTCGCCACTTCCTCTCCCTATGCCATCTTTGATTATTGCCTTGGTCCCTGGTACTCTTCTCTATCTGGACAGCATCATCTTCTGTGACCTGAAGAAACATAAAATCAATTTAGTAAACACTATTGTTAAAGTTGTAAAGATAGCTTCATACAGTTTAAGGCTATATCAGTTACTTATGATTACCATCAAAGTTCACATCACTTAGTAGCTTTATAACATGCTGCTGCTTGTGCAAACATAAACTATTTAAGTTTTCAGTTAGCATGATAGTGGCTTTAAATGCGAAATAACATTCTCAAATTTAATCTGGTTGACATTCAATTTACAAAAAAATGAACTTTATCAGTGCTAATTCCAGTTTCTGATCATGTCTGGAGTAATTACTGTTGGTTACAAGTGTTATGTTTACCTGCAATGCCCTATCAACCCAGTACTCTGAAAAGGGCTTGTCCAGATAGTCATGGTCCTTCACTGCAGTCTGTAGGTCAGCCTTTGGATGTAAATATTTCAGTGCAAGGTCTTCAGAAGTTGCTGAGCAAAAGTTTACCATCATATTACGAACATGGTCATCAAAGCCAGCCATCCTTCTGTATTTTGGTGGACGCGGGTCTTCCAACATCTTGTCTGACCACTTCCGCTTTGAAGGTAGAGACTCTGCTTTCACTGGAGAACCTTTGTAAGTGGATTTTGGTTTGTGGAAAGTCTGAAGATTCTCTGTGCAGCTCTTCTCCACATGAAGACTGCCTGTTGCAACAAAGTGCTCTGCCATGATCAGGACTGCTGCTATGTGCTTGCAAGTAGCATGGGGACCCTTCCCTGCAGGACACTCACAGTGGGAGATAACGGGAGCACCTGTCTTGTCCACCTTTATTTTATAGTTGTAGCTGACCTTGCAAAAAACAAGTTTTAGGGAGCGGTGACAAAGATGATTTAGGATTAATAATGGTGATAGTTAGATACTTAATAACAAAATAGCTTTGATCAAAAGTTGATCTCTATTTATAAATTTATGCTTAGACATTCACTGTGGAGTTACACTTTTATATTGGAGGTTTTTAGTAATGTGGAAAATAATTACCTTATTCTTCATAGAAGCACCAACAATTCCACTGAAGTAAGTGGATGATCCCTCAAAATACACGCTGCAAGCGAGGACCCTGTTGGCTGAGAACATCCTTGCCCCCTTCTCCATAGACTTTAAGTCACTGACAGCCTGATTATCTTCAGCCATGCGGAAAACAAAGTATCCCTCTGTCAGCTCCTTGGAGATTGGAGGTAGGTTGTTTTGATGCTTAGGGAGAAGCTGCCTAAATCCTGATGATGGCCACCTTGCATCAAGTGGCTCAGGAAGATGGATGACAGTGCCACGGAAATCATCATTCCGAGCATATGCCTTCAGTCTACAAAACAAATATCTTGTGTTGTAGAAAAAGTTTATCATGATTGATGATGTCACTGCATCAATCAAACTACTGATGAAATAATATTGTCTGACAGAACAATATTTCATTTAATTATTGAATGAAGATGTTTAGATACATACAAATACAAATTAAGCCTCGTAGTACTATTGTGATCAATATGAGAAATATGAAAATATTTATACAAGTGAAACATATATATATAACTAGTAACTTGTGCAGAAAATTAAATTACATGGATTACAAGAAGGTTTTTATTGTTGATTATCTCTTTCAAAAGTTTGTTTATTCTGGAATTCAGCTAGGACTAAGAAATAGCTTTTATAAATGCTGAAACTGCATGGGATATTACTTTCCACAAATATTTTTAAATTGGTATTAGTTTAAACAATACAAAGTAATTTACTGAGGAGTTTTCGACTATTCATGTTTATGTAAACGATGGATTGTGTTCAATGTGGCTCAATGCGTAGGAAAGCAAAAATGATGTTATTCTCGTACATTAAAGACGAGGTGCAGAAATGACAGTTTCATCTCAATATGGATTGTGAACGGCTTCGTGATTGGCTGACAACAAAACGTCGACCAATCAGAAAGCTTTTAAAAGACCCTGCATGGCTCCACATCAACAAACATTCTCACAGTGTGTCAAGCTATCGATGAAAAAGAATATTCATTACCCACAATACGAATAATATTGAGTTATCGGTTTTCTGAAATTGATTCCGTGATGTATTGACCTAAGACAATGAGTCGTTGAAAATATATGTTTCATACAATGAATAAGGACATTTCTCTACCTTTGCCCCGTGTTCAAAGTGACAAGTGCCAAGGTTGTACAGTGCACACACCCTACCGTTTGAGTGATATGGCAGTAATGTGTGACAATGCAACTATGTTCGAAAAATTCGCCAATGTATTAGGTCTGTATCTATCAAACACATACAAATATCACCGTTACATATATGATCTAGCGTACAAAAATCTGAGTGGAAGACATGATATACGACGGCCGACATTGACAAGTCAGCAGTGAGACACAAATGGAATAAGAAACGCTTTCTAGGTCTGTTGTATTGTTGTTACACTTTCAAAGCAAATAAATACCTTTCGACAAGATCAGTCTTTTCTGCCAGTGGTTGCTGCCTGTCTCCTGATCAGCTCCTGCTTTAACTTCTGAACTGTGAGCGCTTCGTAAGTTGCAGCCATATCGCGTCAGTAGTAACCGAGCTTGGTTTCCGCTCTCGATTCCTCTGAGTTCTGCACGGTGACTGGCGCAACGTTGGCGCAGCGCATAGGCCATAATGAACCAGTACAAGATCAGCGCCACAATAACCGATAGTACACCCGCGCCCCCTGGAAGCGGATTAGTTAGGCGGCGAACCCCATTGTTGGAACCGGTTAGGCAACACCTCGGGAGAGTCTGTTTTCGGCAGTGGTGAAGTGAACTCCTTACCAAGAAGGCGGGACATGAGTCTGTACAGTGATCTTGTGTCAGACATTGAATCCTGGATTTGAGAGTTCAGTGACATCTGTTTGGCCTGCCTTATCAAAGACGTCACTTTATTTCTCGCAACACCGTAAATTTGCCTGTGGATTTCAAGATGGAAGCGTCTCCAGGCTCTCTCAGCACGGCGCCTGGCTTTCTGATCCCATGAAAATTCACTTGCCAGTCGGGCCAGTGACTGTGGAGATTTACTAGCCCGACTGGATTTTAACTAGCCATGGGCTACCGGGCCAGTGGCTATTTCGCACACTGTTTGTATGATATGGCATAAATGTGTGCACAATGTTTTTAAAACGTGATGACAATATTTCATTAAACATGTTCTTGCATAACATTCCTGCAGCGTTTTAAAAACATCTCACTAATATGTTGTGAAATAGTTTCAAACACGTTGTAGCATGACGTTTTTGAACAACATTTTGAAAACATTTCAAAAAACATTTTCAGTATTTTTCAGAGATTTAGACATTATTTGTATGATATGGCATAAATGTGTGCACAATGGTTTTAAAACGTGATGACAATATTTCATCAAACATGTTCGTGCACAACATTTCTGCAATGTTTTAAAAATATTTCAATGACATGTTATGAAATAGTTTCACGTTTCACGTTTTTGAATAACATTTTGAAAACATTTCAATAACATTATGATTTGTTGTGAAACATTTTTATATCGTTCCAAAAACATTTTGTTTTTGAAAAACTATTTTGAAACCTTATGAAAATGTTTCGAAACTGTTTTGTGTTAACTGGGAATTATCCTAAACTTTAGTTTCTAAGTAACAGTTATCTGTCTGTAAACTTCAAAGGTAACCTAACAGAAATTTGGATATGTCCACCATTGTTTCTGGTTGACATATGGCTATGTATACAATATAGTCAACGGACTGCTTTGTTAATAACCGAAGTGATGCATTCAAGTTGTCTAATTTTGACAGATCAACGTCAACAGAGAGTGGGTTTGCAGCATGGGAAATTATGTATTTTACTGGTTTATCACAAGGAGCGATAAAATTTGGAATGTTGTCAAGTTTCATGTGCAGAAAGGAATGAATTTTATAAATTTCCAATGGAATTTTTTCAGCAATTAACACAATTATTTCAATATTATGTTTAGCTTTCATTCGGTAAGGCATTCCGATGTCGATCAATTGTATTTTCAGGCGATTGTTTTCCTGTAGGTTTATATCCTCACATGACATGCGATCGATCTTTTCAGTAACTTCCTGAACCGTAGGTTCAAGTGTTCCAGTACTTGGAAAGCTATCTGAATCCCGAGGCGTTGCCATATGCCCACATACGGTTTCGTTTGGACCAAGACATCTGTCATCAGGTGGTATGTCTTGCTCTCTTCTGTCAACTGTCAAGGTAAATAAGGGTTGACGTTCAGAGATATGACAGAAATCAGATTAAAGTTATCTACACAGTCAATGCTAATCCAATGCTATATATAATATACCTATATAACAGACACCTAATCGGTCGATCATAAAATAATCAAGGCCTGTTTGGAAAGAGTGTTTGGTCATATAATTTCATATCAAACTGTGTCAAAAATAATTATACACACACAATGCACCAGACCCTTAATCATTCATTTACTATGCTGAACCCTCGATTTGCAAAACAGACTTTTAATTAAGAAATACACTTCGCTCTACCACCATGTATAGTGTAATAAAACACACTTTTGCCCTGAACTATTATAGTTAAAGCACGAGGACGCTTGCGTCCGAGTGCTTTAACGTTATAATAGTTCAGGGCGAAAGTGTGTTTTATTACACTATACATGGTGGTAGGGCGAAGTGTATTTCTTTTCTAAGATGCCAAATTTAATACTTTCTAAAGATAATTACGATTAATTTTAAGGCAGAAAACAAACGACGGTGTCGGTGACCTAAATTAAGAATCCTCGCACAGGGCTAACTGGCGCGCTGTTCTATTGATGTGTCTGCCCCCTACGTTAAGACGAACGTTACCAGAAAAAAACAAATGATAACAGTTTGATGACGGTTTACTTTCGGATTAAATATCTTCTCTGAATTATTTTAATTACATCTGTCATTAACGTAAACCATATGGGGCAATATGAACGTTGCATTTCTACTACCAGCGTAAGTTTAGATCAGTACATCCAGAGGAAGTTGAGTAGTCAAGCGACATTCCACAATTGCATTGTGGGAATGTAAACATTACGAACGTTACCGTGTCGCTGAAAACTTGTGAGTCGAAATGACACATTTTAACCGTCGTAAAACATAAACGTAATGTTTCCACCAGTGATGTTAGCTGCGTGAAGCAACAGCAAACCAAGAAACTGGATGCAACGGTGTAGTTTACTGTAGGAGGCCGTACGAGGCGATGACAACTGACATGCATCGTGACGTCGCTTACATTGTGACGTAATGTAAAATGGTTCGATTACGAGGGGGGCACACTAGAATGGCGCAGTGACGGGATAACGTCATTCAATTGTTACGTCATCAAAAAACTATACCTTTATTGTCTGATAATGTATTTTTTTTTCGATTGTTCTAACCGCTAGGCATCTTAGAAACGATATTAAGTAACGCCATAGAGACATTTAAGACATACGTATGTTCTGATACTGATGCATTTTCGTCCATGAGATTCTCGTTTGTTTTTGTAAATTTTGATTTGCACACAAAAACTATTTTTCTTAATAAAGATAGTAGCGATACGACATTAGTCATTGAAAAAATGTCATATTTCACCACTGTTGTAACTATAAACACTAACTATGGCATTAATCATTTAGAGTATAACTATCACATTTACCATGCGATTTGAGACAACGTGTTGAATATTCCTAACTACATTCAGTCTGAATGTTCTAGCAAGGTAATCAGTGTCACTTTGGTAGATGGCGGCATCGTGTGTACATACCTGATACTGTCTCCTTGGGATAGAAATTGAAGTTAAACTCTTTATAATCTGGAATGCATAAAATAATCCATTAGAGGCATGCAAATGAAACATATGTCATGTCACACACTATACATACATACACAAGTTTGTTTGCCGCTACTGATGGGTAACAATATAAGATTCCACAATGCATGCGCCCCGTGAAGATCCGGGTTAGAATTGATCTTCAGCAACCCATGCTTGCCGTACGTGGCAACTAACGGGTTCAGGCTATAATTGGTCTTCAGTAACCCGTGCTTATCGTAAGAGGCGACTAACTGGATCGGGCGGTCAGGCTCGCTGACTTGGCTGACACATGTCATTGTATCCCAACTGCGTAGAAAGATGCTCATGATGTTGATCACTGGATTGTCTAGTCCAGACTCGATTGCTTCCAGACCGCCACCACATGGATGGAATATTGCTGAGTATGACAAACATGCAAAGTTTACATACAGCAGACTTCATATATATTCTGGGATACATTTACTGCGCAGTATCCTTTACCCGTCGCAACATTTCACCAAAAGGACAGTGTGGAAAGGTACAGTGACAAGCTGATTGCGTGCAGTCGTACCCAGGCTGCGTGGATAGGTATTCACATGGTTAATCACTGAGATGTCTGGTCTTATTTACAAAGCGCCGTCATATGGGTCGCGTGTAACATAAATCGGCCTTAAAAATAGATTAGACCCCTACGAGCAATGGCAATTAGATAATATTGTAGATATGAAAGTTTGGCAACGCCCCGAGTCGGACAACCTTCCATTGGTGTGCTATTTTAACAATTTTATTCCATCAGTAAGTAATAATGAGATTCCGAATTCACAAAAAATTTGAATCATATTCATGGATAACTGTCAAGTAAATAAACGCTGACGTTCAGAAATATGACAGAGATCAGATTCAAGTTATCAACACACCCAATGCTAATCAAAAGCCATAGACTTTTTAAATGATACTGATACTGATGCATTTTCTTCCATACGATTTCCATTTGTTTTTGTAACCTTTGAAATGCACACATACAAACACAGATAGTATCGATACGACAGTAGTCATTGTACCGCGATGCATTTCAACAGGTGTAGAAGCTGGAATGCATAAAATACATCCGTTACATGCATGCAAATCAAATATATGGCTTGGTATATATGTTTCTATACCTTATTGTTCACTAACAAGGTCAGAAACGTCGTGAGAAACGAATAAAGAAGTTGTTATCCATGAGATTTGTATTGTATTACTACACCAACTTATAAGAATACTTTCATGTATTTGTATATGTTTATCTCCAATATATCCCAAGCCCTGATGATTTAGTGACGCAATGCATACCTTGTAGTGTTTGGTTACTGCTAACCATATTTCCTAGGTTGTCTGCTGCGACGTTCGAACGTTCAGAAACTCCACCTGTTTGTCCACACTGCAAGTGTAGGGCCGCTGGAACACTTGCATTCTTGCAATTTGTTCCTGAAATACAGATAAACACTAAATTGAAATTATTTTGGTGTGCCGAACAATAGATGAGTTGTCAAACTAGGTGGAATTCAGGAAACTTGGAAATTACGGAACTTTGCCCACAGGAATTCTGCCCATCACAATTTTAATTGGGTGGGTCGGGGGCTGTTGGACTTTTGCCCACAATATACATTTTTGCCTTCCTCCCCTGTAAAGATTGTGGTGGACAGAGTTCCTGTGGGTGGGCAAAGTTCCGTAGTTTCCAAGTTTCCGTCAATGTTTATTCGATGCCACCTCGATGTGGAACCGATAGCATATCGAGAATCAAGTAAACCTTTTAGTCCGAAAAAAACATGTTGTCTCAAGAATTTGATAGGTGGTTTTGACTTGACTCCTCTGAATGTATACCTTAACTTGCCCACAAGACAAGGACTTCCTGTACAATCGTTCAAAACTGGTGGAGGCAACCTTTGCACTCAATGACTGATATCGATGTCTCCAGGTAAATAAAGGTTGACGTTTAGAATTATGACAGAAATTAGATCACAGTTATCAACACACCCAATGCTAATCAAAAGCTATATATCCAACAGAAACCTAATCAGTTAATTATGAAATAATCAGTACCTGTTTTTGGAGACAGTTGTTATAATTTCACATCAAACTGTTAACCATGCTGAACCTTCGATTTTCAAATGATATGTACGTTACGCCATATAGTCAGGCAAGATGTAGGTATGTTCTGATAGTGATGCATTTTCTTCCCTAAGATTTTCGCTTGTTTTTGTAACCTTCGAAAATTGCACAGTCCACAGGAAGACCTAGATTGTCCCAGAAGCCAGACCCCTCAGTCACATAGAATGTGACTTCTGCGATTCCTATGTTGACCGATCACACTCAGGAACAAGGAACACCAGGCTTCAGTTAGGAGGAACGATTCCAAATCAGCCATTGCCGACCACACCAAAGCCCAACCAAATCACAACTGGGACAACACCAACATAGAAAAGAACCAGGCAGACTACACAACTCAAACTTTTGGAAGCAGCACATATGAAGAAGATAGGCCCACCCTCAACAGAGATGAAGGATACTAACATTCCTAATGCCCACCATCACATGAAAATTGTGTTATCAATAATTTATAATTAACTTTTCTTGTGTACATCATGTGCTCTGCCTTCAACCAACCATACTTAACTTGTTACATCAACTGTGTACATCAACCTCATCTATTGTACAAACATTCAACTGGATTCCAATCATTTGGTTAATCTCTAACTCTATCACTTGTTTAAGTGGCATTTAGAAGGTGGTGTGATGAACAACAAGGAGTGTTGTATGGATATACACCTTCTTTAATATGATATGAGCGACGTTTCGGTGTAGCTACTTACACCGTTATCAAGCAAATGATGTACAATACTAGATGTACTCACCAGCAATCACACCCACTACAAGATCAGAAAGCTACTAGAAGCCATTCACATCAAGAGACTCCAACCGGGCATGAACAGAGACCAAGGATATTACATCCCCACTGCCGACAACCAACTCATCACCAAGCAATCTTAATCCTATTATTCTGCTGTCTGTCATATCACTGGCTTCCCCCCTTAATCCCCCATAGCTTACTATGTTTGTGTAACTATTGGCCTCTTGTGTAAACATCCACCACCTTGTACATCTACCTCATTAATTGTGTAAACATCATCACTTACTGTTCAACTTTACTATGTATATAAATATACCTTGCATGTAGTATTGTACATCATTTGCTTGATAACGGTGTTAGTAGCTACACCGAAACGTCGCTCATATCATATTAAAGAAGGTGTATATCCATACAACTCTCCTTGTTGTTCTAACTCTATCGTTGTACGTCACCTAACTGGCTTCCTATCAACCTACTCCATCTCTTATACAAGCTTTGTACGTGTACACCAACCTCATCTATTGGATATACAACTCATCCCCAATCTATCCTAATAACAACTCATGTATATTCTCTCAAATTTGTTCTCATGTATCACTTGCTTTGCTTTAGAATCAATGTTAAAGCGTCGTCTTTCACAGAATAATGAGGTTGTGAAATCCATAAAATTATCATCATTCTTCACTTATGATTTGTAGTATCGCCCCGTGCTCTTACCTAGCGCCTTCACCGGTATGCCTGCCTTCTTTGATACAGAATCCAGCGTGTTGATAGTTGTTTATGGGTTGATCAAGCAAAAGAAACGTCTATTCCGTATCCAGTGTTCTAGTCAATGTTTAATCTGAAAATCAGTAAATGCAGTGTGTTGAATGATAGGAGTGAGCTTTAACCACTAGGCTACCCCACCGCCCCATTTGAATGATAGGAAACATGATCATTCAAAACACACCATATCAGTCAATGATACAAATAGCTCTTTTCTTATCTACATGCCGACATGCGTCAGGCGAGCCATTGTGTGCAACGTAAAGCTGTCGTTTCCTCGAGAATACAATGTCGTCGGGAAATACATGTCAGCATGGTAATGTGGCCTGTAAGTAGGTCACCGGACAACGCGAGACCTTACGTTGTTTACTACTCCTAGTGACAAACAACGGCAAAGGCGATAGCAGTGTGACATGGGGAATGTCCTGATGTCAACCATTACATGTAACAGGCTACAAAAAACTTGGACTTGGATGCATGAATCGTTAAATTCTATTTGATATTTCATAGTAAAAAGGGGAAAGAGGATTTTGCAGTTGTGAATAAATGTATGATCACTTACGTTATTCATCATAGCAAATATCCATTCAGTTCACCCTGAACCCTTTCAGTATATTAATCATCAATGTAAAAACAAATACTGTTACCAAAGGAGATTGGACAAAACACATGTATGCACATGTTGGCTCTTTCGTGACGTGCTTGTAAATACTTCTAAGTTGTGCAAACACATTTTATTGGGGTTTGTGTAAACAAAAATTAGTATCTTGGAATTTTGAATTACTTGGAAGAAAACTCGTTGTGCATTGAAAGTTCTTGTTTTATTCTAATAAAAATAATGTATAGCATGTTCAATAATAATTTGAAAGTCTGTAAATAATGATTATTTATACATGCAATGTTTGATTCTAATAAATGTAGACTGTATAAGAGCTTTATCATTACAACCCCATTTAGCATTTGTTTATTTGTTCAGTTAAACATGCTCCATTTATCAATAATGTCTTGATGTCAGCATTGTAATGGACTGTAAATACATTAGAAGTATATTATATGTGTTGTCCCATGTGCTATGAATCTTTGCAGTTGGATGAGATTCACATGCTCAGAGGAGAAAGATGGACGAGTAGATCTCTGTATCACCACAGTTACCATTGACATCAAGAGCAACACAAACTGTAACAGAGCTTCAGATTCATTTGAACATCTGGTGGTCAATCAATACATTGTCTATAGAGAAACGCGCATGTGTAGTATATACAGCTGTAAACGAATTAAAGTCCTATACTTTATTTTGGACGCATTCTTGAATTGGAAATGCTTGTCATCAACATGGTGTAGCAGAACCTCTTTTGACAATTTTGAGACTCTCAGATAATGCAGTGTGAATCTAGATGAGTGACCTTGAAATTATTCCAGTCCATAGTGTCACATTATTTTCTATCAGGCTAGGCATCTATCAAATGCTAATAATGTTTCGTTTCTTATGAGTAATCATGACATTTGAATAAAATGGTTAAATAGTTCTATACTTGTTAATTGTTTTCAAAATATGAAATGTCTGTTTCTAAACATGTCTGTATTGGCAGAATATTTGGAATATACACAAGTAATTCCAAAATAGTTGAATATAGTTGTGAAATAGTTGAAAAACAACATTCATTTTCTGTCAACTTTACATTTTTTCTTGGATCTTTGAGTCATTTTTTCTTAATTTCTGTCACCTTAACTTCCATACAGGCATCCTTTAGACGTGGAAGACTTGGGTTAGAGGGCTGATTAAGTGGCTGACTCTAAGATTGTTGGTTCGAATCCCGGACGGGACTCAACCTAACAAGAGCAGTAGCATAAGTACTTTACAGAGAAAGAGTAATCCCAAATATAACATATGTTACTTGACTTTACTAGATCGTACCAAGTGATCTACCACGCTTGGTAGTCATAGCAACTGACAGTCGTAATAGCTGGCTAATTTCGGAATGTTTAGATCTAAGATCGGATATTTGTTTATTCCTGCAAAGATTATCAGCTCATCACTGACAACCACACGACCATTCGAAAAGCCACTAGTACATGTCTTTACCAATAATATAACTTCGACACCCAGTGCAGTTCTACCGTCGTATCTTCTCAGTATGCCGTGCAGTGTTTGTCATACAATTCATTTTTGGAAAATCAACGACATAGACATGTAAACGTGAAATATATTTTAATAAATTGTATTTATTGTACATTTTAGTAATTCTGGCCCATTCTATAAGTATATTTGGGATCCTTCCTACAAGAAAGCCCCATTACCCAAAAGACGTTAAAATATGGTACTTGTTGGTCCCTGCCTGGCGCTCGGCATTATTGGGTACAACAAGGACTGGTCGACTCGGAGTCAGTATAATGTGTCTGAGTGGGGTATTCATGCTTCACTGCGGCATGGTATCTCAGTGAGCTAGCACTATAAAACCAGCTTAAGTCTGGGCTAGTACAAGCAGCCGCACATACACATACACACGCATGCACGTCGTCATATGAGCGAAATATTCTCAAGCACGACGTTAAACCCAATTTCACCTCACCTCACCTCACCTCACCTCAAAGAACAAATAAGATATAAATACTTATAATGTTCACCTTTATATTTGGTGAAAGGGGTATACAAGTGTTCATCATGTTTTTGATTTGTTGTGGGGATGTTGACCCAAATCCGGGACCTTCGATATTCAATCAGTCAAACTTGAACGTAGTACATTTAAATGTACGCAGTCTAAGAGAAAAGGTTGATATTATTTCATAATATCATCCAGCATATATATACTTCCCCCTTCTTCATGGTCCATTATGCTTGACAACGGTACAAGAATCTGTATCGAAACGTCGCACTCACGAATAAAAAGAAGTTGTTATCCATAAAGTGTGTTCTATATTATAAGGTTGATATTATAGGAATAGAATTCAAAGACTGTGATGTAGTTTGTGTTACAGAAACCTGGTTAAATTCTGGTATTTCAGATGATGATATTTTAATACCAGGTTTTAACAAACCATTTAGAGAAGATTTACAAGGAGAGGTGGAGTTTGTAAACGTATGATCACTTTATCGGTAGTGGGGCTAGAGGCTCCCTGGGTGAAAATTTCAAGTAAAAATAAGCATCGTTTAGTTGGCACTTTCTATCCTGCTGATTACAGCAATGCGTATTAGGATTAAAATTGAAGTGTCGATAGGTAATGCAGCAGACTTGGATTTAGATATGATTGTTGTTGGAGATTATAATTATTATTGACTATCTCGGTTGTCATAAACAGCGTATAGAGTATTTACAAGCAACTTATGGCCTCAGACAGATCATAACTGAACCTACTAGGATCACGGAACACACTAGAACATTAATTGACTTAATCTTTGTCACAAATTATAATGATGTATGTTCTTCTGGCGTGACTGACCCTATATGTAGTGACCATTGCCCAGTCTTCGTCAGTTTGAAAAGCTGAAAACCACCTACCACATGCTTTAATTATTCAGTATTAGACTTAGAAGGATTATTCTCTTATTTTGATCAGGTTAATTGGAAAGAATGTTGGATATAACCGACATTGATTCTTTAATTAGTGGGGGCGGTGGGGTAGCCTAGTGGTTAAAGCGTTGGCTCGTCACGCCGAAGACCCGGGTTCGATTCCCCACATGGGCACAATGTGTTAAGCCCATTTCTGGTGTCCCCCGCCGTGATATTGCTGGAATATTGCTAAAAGCGGCGTAAAACTAAACTCAGTCAGTCAGTCAGTCAGTCTTTAATTAGTGAAACAGGTTTACCGATTTTTATTAGATACTTGCGATAGATTTATCCCAAATAAGACTGTAACAGTTAGAAACAGAGATAAACCATGAGTGACAGCTGAAATACGAAAACTAATTCGTAAATGTAATCGCAAACATAAACTTGCCAAACGACGTAATTCGTCAACTGGCTGGGAACTGTTAGAAGTTTACGAATTAAAGTGGTATCAGTTATAAAGAAATCAAAAGAAATATATGTTTCTAAATTGGATAATATTATCAATGAAAATTGTGATAGTAAGACATGGTGGTGTTTGATAAAATCTTATGTTAGAAAAAAGGAAACATCTGTATCATTTCCACCCGTATCACATGCTAATGAAATCTATGATGATCCAGAATCAGTAGCAAATATTTTAAAAGACTTCTTTGTCAGACAATCGACAGTTCCAGATCCAGACCACCCCTTCCTTCCCCCAACTATGATAACAGAAAGTAAACTAGATTGTATTGAATTATCACAACGCGACGTCCAAGACATATCACTCTCCTTAAACAATAGAAAAGCTACTGGCCCAGACGGAATTGGAAATACGTTTCTTAAACTAAGTGCTACTAAATTATCATTGCCCCTCTCTGAGATTTTTAATAAGTCGCTTCACGCAGCTGTATTCCCTAAGATATGGAAATAAGCATCAGTAATTTCCTTGCATAATAAGGGTTGAGTAAATGAATGTGGTAACTACAGGACCGTCGCCCTTACCAGTTGTGCATCTAAAGTTTTCGAAAAGTGTGTTCATAAATATTTGTTTAATTATTTTAGAGATAATAATATCATTAGTACAATGCAATCAGGATTCATTTCTGGCGATTCTACAACTTATTAGTTAATGGATTTGTACAATTTTATTGCACGTGCTTTAGACAAAGGTAAAGAAGTAAGAGCAGTGTTCTGTGACATAAGTAAAGCATTTGATATAGTATGGCAAAGAGGACTTTTAAATAAATTACAGTCATTTTGGAATTAGTGGTAAATTGATAGAATGGCGAGGTAGTTATCTACATGACAGAGTTCAGAAGGCACTTATAAATGGATATAACTCTGAATTTAATCCTGTGTTGGAAGGTGTTCCTCAGGGTTCAGTTTTAGGACCTTTGCTGTTCTTAATATATATTAATGACCTCGTTGATAATATTGATTGTAACATACGTATTTTTGCTGATGACACATCATTGTTTGTAATAATAGAAGATCCAGTTTTTACAGCAAACAGTCTCAATGACGACTCACAAAGAATATTAATATGGGCAAATAAATGGCAGGTGAAGTTCAATCCGGAAAAAACGGAAACAATTCAATTTAGCAGAAAATGGATTGCTATCTAGTCCTAAACCCGAGTTATTCAGTCTTATATTTCAAAAGGATGCTAACTGGGCTGCTCAAATTAATAGTATTTTAGCTAGAGTTACACCTATGATAAATTGCTTGAGAAGTTTGAAATACCGTTTTTCACGTAGATCACTTCAGATTATGTATCAGTCTTTTATATTACCGCTATTTGATTATTGTAGTCATGTTTGGGATAATTACAACTAGATGCATTCAGGACAATCTGCGGGGCAACAAGAGGTACAAGTCATAACAAATTATATGCAGAAACTAATTTCATACCCCTTATTGAGAGAAAATTTAACCCTCTTTCATAAAATGATAAACGGTAAAGCACCAGATGTTTTTTTATTTATGTAATCTTGTCCCAGACAACGTTTCGGCCAGTAATTCGTACAAATTGAGAAATTAACGAAATTTACAAAATATTCGCGTAAAAACTACCCTTCATTCAATATCATTTTTACTAAGTACAGTAGACCTTTGGAATGCTTTAGCAAATGACATAAAAAAAAATTTCATGTTAACATTCCCAGAATTATGTTTACAGACTTTACCTCAGTAGTACAGTACAGGTAACTTCTTAGTATGCAAGTACAGTGTTTCTTTGATCTCACTGTCAAATAACATGCTGTTCACAAATATGTAAAAACGGTCAAAACCTAAGCATGTATATGAAGTGTTACATGTTTACAGATTTTACCTCGGTAGTACACAGTACAGTACAAAAAGTTTCATTGTACACAAGTACAGTGTTTCCTTTGTCACTCACCCTAACATCATGCTGTTCACAAATATGCAAAAAGGTCAAACTAAGCATGTACGTGAAGTATTACATGTTAACAGATTTTACCTCAGTAGTACAGTACAGTACAGGTAGCCTCCTAGTAACATCAAAATGATGCAATCCCAAAAAACATTTACTGAAAAAGTAACCCCCAAGTCAGGAGGATATTCATTTGGATTTGATCTGAATTAGGGAAGTCGATTTTGTCAAATTATTCATTGTAGGCTTCGTCTAGGAGTTAAAACAGGTGTGGGGAAATGTCAAGATGGGGAAATGTCATGTGGGGAATTGTCCTGATGGAGAATTTTCCTATACCTCATAGGACAGCGCAATGGTTTTTCCTCGAGAATGTGCTCTGAGTCACACTATGTGCATGAAATGGTGCAAAATATGGGGTTAAAAGTTATCAGAATTAACTTTTACTTGTTTGAGTTTATTAAGGGAATGTGCCTTCGAAGAGAAATTTAATTCTTAATCGATAATCCATGCGGTGAACAGATGGAAACTTACCTAACGAACAGCACCCGTGTTGTGTGTACCAAGGTAGATCCGTGTACCCCTGCATCGAACGCTCTGACTGAATAATATTGGTCACGCCATGAGGTCATGTTGATCCGGAACTACTTCTTTCTTACAATCACGCGAGATCATTCATTTTTACGAGATTTTTTAAACACTTTATAATAGTCCCAGAGCAACTAAGTCACATTGTGACATAACGTTAGTTTATTCACGAACATTCAAGGACTTTCATACATTGGAATGCGCAAAGTAGTGCATAGGTATTTGCTTACGTCCATTACTCCGCAACCGGTTTCTTAAAACGGTTTCACCCGCTGAGATCCGGGTTAGAATATTGATCTTCGGTAACCCATGCTTGTCGTAAGAGGCGACTAACGGGATCGGGTGGTCAGGCTCGCTGACTTGGTTGAGACATTTTGAGGTAGAGAACTGTAACTGTAATACATGCATACCGCACGTAATGACAACTATTTATCAAGTCATATGTAAAATAATACTTTTTACTCTATTGATATACATCGAAACGATAACATGCTGTATTTTGTGAATATATCATTCTCTCCGACTTGTTAAGTTATAGAACACTTTATAATCATGCAAGATTATGGCCTGATAACAATTATCATCAAAGTGGAAGCTGAATGATGAAACCCGTGTCTGTATTTAAATTTCGGACTAGTGAATTATTTTGTGGGCTAGTAACTTTCAGGCATAGCTAGCCCGAATGGCTGTCATTGAGCCCATGAAATTGGGAGTTTGGGGGGAGTTGTTGATGATTTTTATAGAGAAGCATGTACCAAGTGAATGTGTTGTTTAATGGACCCTAAAACTTTATCTACAAAGTAAGTGACACCCTGTATGGCGCACGCACGCACGCACGCACGCACGCGCAAACACCACCACCACCACCATCCCCCACCACCCCAACCATAAATTATGAACGGTCCCTAAAATAATTTTTTATAATTTAAATAATTTTAAAGATGCAATTGGGGTGTAATACAAGTACGAACTCATTATTATTATTATACTGCTGGACGTATGCAAGTCATACTGGAGGAAACCCCCACCTATCACGCAAACAGCCGTCGCGGTTTTATAGGTAAACAAGCAAATACCCTCAAGTGTTCACAGCCCGAACGCGGGCTTTCTAATACGTATAAATATAGAACATGGCGCTGTTGCAAGAGTAAAAGCCGGGGTTAGAAATAGTCCTGAACGGGTAGCAGTGAAAGACGTCCTGCCTTGAACATACGAAGAAAAATTCAAAATGAACATGCGTCACTTTTTTCAAATCAATTGTTTATGATGTTAAGGAAACGACATATGACAATGGAAAAGAATACTGTTCATGGGGGAAGATCAGCTGACAAATGAATACATGTATGATATGTACAAATATGCATGCATAGAAGTGAGTGAGTTTAGTTTTACGACGCTTTTTAGCAGTATTCCAGCAAAATCACGGCGGCGAACACCAGAAATGGCCCCGGTTTTACACATTATGCCCATGTGGGGAATCAAACCCGGGTCTTCGGCGTGACGAGCGAACGCTTTAACCACTAGGCTACCCCACCACCCCGCATGCATAGAAATATTCATTGTACAATGGAGGGAATATGTTAGGCTTCACATCGCCTCAGGTAGGAATACCATCAGGGTGGTTGGGAGAGTGAATGGTGTTGTTTAACGCTACAGATAAAGAAACCAGTGAGTGATATCATGAACAACAATTTACACTATCGTAGTGAGATGACAAACCTAATAGGCACTTGGCCAAAGTGAACCTTTAGTTTCTAACTTAACCTGTTTCTAACCTACTCGCACTGTAATAAAATGGTATTTGCTTGTGCGGTTTGTCAAAATGTACATGGGGTAGACCTTGGGAAAATATCATCACAGTTTCGCCAGTCTGCCAGGAATATTTGAACGAGAAAGACCACTGCCCATTAACAAAAACAAAGTGTACGATAACACATATATAACTGACGTCTAAAATGACCATTAAGCCTTGAGGGTAACTCCCACTAGACCCTATTTAACCGCCTTCAAGGGAGATCAACGGCTGACAAAAGGTCCCGGCGGACTATTTCTCACCCGGACGATTTACACTTAACACCGCCATGAAAACACAATGAGGCTGTGCGTCGTTAAAGGCGAAGCCCCGTGTGTTGTTTAATGGCCATGTGGAGAGAATATTTCCCACCTTAATCATTCAGAACGGATGATAGCGGGCTGCAGTCTTCCATTCGTCCATTTAATGTGTTTAGTGTTGAAACGAAGTCATGAGCGACGAAGACGACCCGGGTACAGTGACAGTGTTTTCTGGACGAGGACATGAAATCCCGGAGTTATGGTTGAATAAATTCGAGACTTGCGCCAGTCTAAAGACGTGGTGTGTTAGTGACTCAGTCCTTCAGTTTCGACAACGTTTGGCAGGGAGAGCTGCAGTATGGTATCTGTCTCTTGGCACGTCACAGACTGAAACCTTTGAAACATTGAAACAAGCGTTTCGATGCCACTTCTTTAGAGCTGAGATAGATCCGTATCGTTTACGGTTAGATCTTGAAGCCAGGCAACAGGAACCGGACGAATCTGTGGAAAGCTATCTCCATCACAAGATGGTATTTTTGTATCAGTCCAATAAGCTGGATCCGGAATCCTCAGAGGCTATAGACCTAATATATAATGGATTCCACCCCGGACTTCAAGAACGCTTGTGTCGAGATAATATCAGCACTTTACAGGACCTACAAATATGTGCAAGGAAAAAGTATGCGGAACTTTTCAAACCTTGTGGCAGAGTAGTAAGAAGAAGAAACCATCGGACAAATTCATTTGAAGGAGGTAAGCTTTCGTCATTTAGACCTAACACTTAGGTAAGAATTCATGTTTACCCTTAGCCTAACCATATGTTTAATAGGTCATTGATAAATTTTCAAATCAGTTTTAAACGAGTTTACAAACATTCCTTAGCTTGTTAGTTAGGTAAAGGTATGCAGTCAGAGAAAAATGTTTCCAAGACGTCTGTGGCGCTAAAAGTTCACTGTGCAGAGTTGCGTATCTTTGTCATGCCAGGATGGTCTTTTCATTGGCTCAGATCCGGGATATGTCCTCGTATGGTCTTCATGTTATTAACACTGTATTAGTGAACATATTTATCAGGGATATGGTAAACGTGTACTTGCGTCCCTCCGTCCTGCATGTCCGCCGGCAGTCTACTAAAATACTGCTGAAAGTGGCTTAGAACACCCCTTACCCCTTAGAGTGGGTATGTGGGGTTTAGGGGAATAGTGTTCCAGGAATGTCACAACATGTAAAGTTAAAGTGGGCGAAAACTCGAAGTGGCGTATGTTTGCGACGTTTACCACGTATAATCCGTGGGTACATATAGAGCGAGCTGGGATTCGAAGCCAGAGTCCTAGGTTTCCTGTGTGGCGCGACATTGCACAGCGAATTCCTTCGTCTTAGACGATTGAGCCACCCGTGTTCAGTTATCCATTAGACGTATCCATTGTAACGTCATATCGACGCCGTCAATTACCTTCATGGACCAGCACCCTGATGAGGCACGTTTATTTACCCATAACCACTGAAAACTACATAAAATAACTTTTGAAGTTACGTCGTTTGAATGAAATTTTATTTCTGTCACCATGTTTGAGCGACATATTCCTGTGTGTACAGACAACGTCGTGACTGGCGTGACGGGCGGGAACATACACACTGCCAACACCGCCGGTAGTGTCCGGGGCGGCATGGGAAACACCAACGTCATCTACATGTACGGTATGTGCAAATTGTAGTTGGTGATCCGGCGTAGGTAGGAACCCGTACTCCGAATGCTTCTCATACGGGCAAGTTGAGGATTGGGTGGTCAAAATGTATGCATTGCATTCATTGTATTGATGAAACTGTAAGGATCATTTTATATGGTAGCAAGTTTAGGTTTGCTTCGTGCAGACGCGATTAATAAAGACGTTCGTTACAAGGATTGAACGCCGCTGACTTATAGTATTGATTATTGTGAGGTTATTAATTTTGTTTTCCAATGATTATATCCATACTGTTCTTTGTTGCTTAACTACAACATACGTTGTACAAAACAACCAACATGTAAGCCTGCGTAAACAATGGAAGTTACGATCATCACAGCGCTAAGATACAGGCCCCGTTCCTCAAAGCGATCGTAGCGCTACGACAGTCGTAAGTCTATGTTAAAGTATGGGAGTTACGATTATCTTAGCGCTACGATCGCTTTGTGGAACGGGGCCCAGGGCTTCAATTTTTTTTTAAAAACAGTAACTTGTCCTGACTATTTTTCCACTTGCCCTGATTTTATGAAATAATCATGATGATGTAATTATGAAAGAATAAATCAACATGGTATTTGATGTTAATGTTTACTGGACTATTTATTGAAAAGTGATAAATAGCAAAGAACGATAACTCTACTTTACTATCATTGTGAAATTTAATAGCTACATTTTGAGCAGATATGAAATTCAATCCAAGTTTATTTGCAGGTTGAAACCATAAATGGAAATTATCTAGTAGCCCACGGACAAGTAAGATACCATTATTTGATTGCCCGAAATGAAAACTGACTTGTCCCGGGCACCGGGCGATGGGATTTTATAACCCCTGAGATATCTTGTGCAACGGCTCTCCGATTCCTTTTTCCAGAATTGGTTAATCATTTGTTCTATTTCTTTAGTCTACCAAGTGATGTCTGAAGATGTGGCAACACTGCTCTGCTCTTGTATTGGAAGTATTGGTGAGTATATATTCTGTGGATTAGTTGAACATGCTTTTGGTGGTTCTCACATAATATATGCTACATGACGATTAGCAAGTTCCTTGTAATTGTGTTCGACGTTGCCAATAGAACCTTGACGTCATATGACCCCAGTGTCTCAGATGATAAGATGCCGTTATCATCATGCCGTGTTACGATGTTATGTTTTATGTGAAGTTCCAATTCAAGAGGGGCGGTGGGGTAGCCTAAATAGTGGTTAAAGCTTTCGCTCGTCACGCCGAAGGCCCGGGTTCGATTCCCCACATGGGTACAACTTGTGAAGCCCATTTCAGGTGTCCCCCGCCGTGATATTGCTGGAATATTGCTAAAAACGGCGTAAAACAATACTCACTCAGTCAGTCAGTCAGTCCAATTCAAGAGGCAATGACAGGATATTACTAAATTAATTTACTTGAGACAGAAAATTCTTTATTCCTCTTACCTTGTAGATGATAATCTAAATAATACTCGACCTATGATCATATATCATGCATATGTGTAACTACAGGTTTAATTCTCCTGTCGAAGTTTTGATGATTTCGTCAAAGAACAGCAGCACTTGGACTGATGTCAAACAGGAAATATTTACTTACATGGTACAATGGATGCACCCGTGACCACTAGTGTACATATATGTGCAGCCCTATTCCTCGGATTCATTATATACACATTTATCTCGACTTGCACAGCAATGTCGGTTACCCTTTTGTCAAAACCGGTCCCGTGCTGTAGGTTTATTTTTCTATGTTAAACTGGACCACGCGCGTCCCAAGTAAGAACGTACCATCAAGAGTTACCTCCCTTGTTTGCTTTGCTTGTAAACAAACGACGATTCCAGATTAAACGGATATTGACAATGAAGCATTTCGTTTGAAGCTTTCAAATCGAAGCAGTTCACTTCTAAATGAAAAGGGCGAGAATGAACTTTTCGAAGATTTTGATCAAGCCACTTTGTATGTTATTCCAGGAACGGATGAAGAAACGGATGAACCAGGCAATAGAAACCCTACATCTACAATCGACTCCGAGGGTGAGTAGATAAATATCTCAAAATGTTTTAATTAATGGTTGTATGTAATACACCTTCATTTCTGTTCCTCAAAATGTGCAACACTGAACGTTTGAGCTGCAGGAATAAAGCTCTACATTGAAACAAATCTTACGACTTTGGCATAGATCACAACTACAAAACTATTTATTTACTTATAAAGATTTAGAAATGATCGTTGACAATATCATGAATTCAGTAACATTGTTCATCTACAAGTTGTTGACACTAACCCCGCCTACCCTTTTATCGGAACTCACTAGTTGGCTGCAGTGTGCGAAATAGCCACTGGCCCGCTAGCCTGTGGTTAGGAAAAATCCAGTCGGGTCAGTAAATCTCCACAGTCACTGGCCAGACTGGCTAGTGAATTTTCATGGGGTCATTTTGCAAATATGTCACTCTCTCCGATTTGTTAAATTATAATACAATTTTAAATCATGCAAGAGTATGGCCTGATAAAAATGTTCATCATATTAGCAGCTTAATGATGAAACCCGTGTCATGCCGTCAATATCTTATTCTCATCTATTTGTGTAATCCTTTGCTTAGTTTCTGCATTCAACTTTTGGGCTAGTGAATTTTTTTGTGGGCTAGTAACTTCCAGGCATAGCTAGCCCGACAGGCGAACAAAATTTGGAAACTATTTCGCACAGTGGTTGGCTGTTGGCGCGCCTAATGCATCTGGGTTTATGGAAACATATCATAAGTTGTTTGGTTAGCTAATCAAATGCCATGGAATCACCTGGAATTTCAATAAAACTGTATGGATGCTTTTTGTTTACGATTTAGTACTCTTAAACTGCCAAGGTAGGTTAGATTTTCCATAAATATAGTTAAAGCATCCATGTTTTATGTGATCAGGCATAATATTTAGCGCAAATAAACGCACGCATTAAGGACTCTGAATAGTATTATGTTAATTATGTTTCAGGTAAGGAGCGGCTTGTGGACGCCCTGTTAGGTAAGTAAATCATGATTTTAGAATTCTAAAATAACAAATGCAGTATTGATGCCAACTGCGTCCACTCTTTACAGGATTTAATTCCCCTTGTCAATGTCGCACGACTGATAACGACAAACCCTATATCCTGCCGCCTGGGCCTCTACAATTGGTAGCAGAGGAAGTGCACCCCCATGCCCATCCTCCTCTCCCCCTCTTCTTCAAAATGCTGGATCCGCCCCTGCATAACAACTAAAGTTTAACGTTTCCTCTTTGAACTGTTGGAGAGAAAATGAAGTTTTGCTACTTTAGTTTCTAATAAGGACAGCCGCGAGATTGAGAAATGGGAACTATATGCTTCTAGATAGAATCCAAAACAGCAGAAAATAGGATTCACTACATGCACTTTAGACTAAGGCTTAGTCTCTGAATATATATTATTTTGGCAGTAGGGAAATTAATGTGGTTCAGGGACTGTGAGACAGACTACATGCACTTGTACAATTTGAGCTACATTCTCATTGATGCTATCTCACTGAGCAGGACTGAAAGGCAAATTCAGCTGCTGGCAACGAACGGATGTAGCAGAAGCGTAACATGGTGGGAGACGCTGTGCACTGACCCTGGATTTGAAGTGAATATCACAATAACACGTGTTATTGACACCAATCACACCAGCTGGTTTGGTCTATTATTATTGGAAAATTTAACACTATATTTTCAGTTTGCTTTCAGAAAGACGTGTAAGTGTCCTCTTTAAACCAACTGAAATAATGTCTATACGTTGTCGATGTTTCAGAATCTCTCAGTGATGGGTCCTCTAACATCGTGATCCGTAAGGGTGGTACCAATGAACAGGGTGATCGGCCTCACGGTGGTGACTTAAAAGGTTCGTATGTTGAATACCACCCGTAAAGATTCGGGTTAGAATTGATCTTCAGTAACCCATACTTGTCGTGAGAGGCGACTAAGGGGATCGGGTGGTCAGGCTCGCTGACTTGGTTGACACATGTCATCGGTTCCCAATTGCGTAGATCGATGCTCATGCTGTTGATCACTACATTGTCTGGTCCAGATTCGATTATTTACAAACTGCCACCAAATAGCTGCAGATTGCAGCGTTAAGCAACAAACAAATAAATAGCTGAAATATTGCTGAGCGCAGCGTAAAACTAAACTCACTCACTCAATGTTCAATACCAAAAAACAAAAGGTAACTTGGTAAGTTTAGACAAGTAATTTGTATGCTGAAATTATATTGATAGAAACACAACGGGCAATACATTGCAGTTATAACTCGAATATTTGGATTAATAGATTATTAAAGATGCCAGATTGCATTTTGTAAATAAGTCCTTCCGTTAATGACTGCCATCATTACATTGACAAACTGTCTCATTTTTACTACTTTAAAAGGTATTATCTCAGGTTAAAATGTCTGTACTTGGACTGACGTGGAAAATTTCATAATAGAAATCGTCCTGGATGTACATATTCAGTATGAGCTTTATTGCAATATTTATTCAATATTGCGTCTTCCATCTTACAAAATTAAATATTTGATTCATGTTATTCTTTTACCATCCACTGTTCCCAGTAGACAACAGTACATACTGCTGCCATACTGTCAACAACATTCCAAGTCTAAAAATAATGAAATATATTCTTTGAGAATTCTAAATATGCCTAACCCGTGAAGATCCGGGTTAGAATTGGTCTTCAGCAACCCATGCTTGTCGCAAGAGGCGACTAAAGGGTTCGGATGGTTGGGCTCACTGACCTGGTTGACACATATCGTCGTATCCGAAATCGATGCTCATGCTGTTGATCACTGGATTGTCTGGTCCAGACTCGATTTTTTATAGACTGACGCCATAAAGCTGGAATTAGGCTGAGCGTGGCGTAAAACTAAACTCACTCACTAAATATACCTAATATGGGTTATAAATTCGACTAATTGGTCTTCTGACTATTGTCGCTGCACACTGCAAAGCGACACCTGTCGATCGATGGATGAAAAAACATATATCATAAGTGGACCAAATAGGCCTAGAGACAAACTGACACGTGTTTCTCTTTGTTTCCCTTTAAGTTTGGATGTACACTTTAGCGTCATGACTACTTAAATGAGTGAGTGATTGTGGTTTTACGCCGCTTTTAGCAATATTCCAGCAAAACCAGAAGTGGACTTCACATATTGTTCCCATGTGGGGAATCGAACAGGGTTTTCGGCGTTGCTAACCAACGCTTTAACCACTAGCCTACCCACCGCCGTACTTGAATCAAATAAGGCTCCTTATTTCAGACGCTTCCATCAATGATTCATTCAATGCTGATGCTGATCATGTCGACGAAGACCTACCATTCCGCTTTGAAGATGAAAGTTCGTATGTCATGTTTTTATATATACAGTGGCCCAATATTTTCACGTAAATTGTCCTTCAATTCGGTGATGGGTGATAAATTAGTTTGCAATCGGAATATCCCATATTTTTATATATTTTCAACCGGAACTGATTTCAAGAATTATTTAGAAAATTAGTAAACTAAGGTAAACATAAACCATTAACGCCAATAATCTCAATTGATCTTGAAAGAAAATGTCCCCAGTTTGCCTATTACAGTCCGTTTGAGTCAGAAACGGACCGATGAATTGCAAATTTTATCATTGTACAAAATTGCCACATAAATATAAATAGTACACATGTTTATCATTTACTAATACCCAACAGCTTTTTTTATATTTGAAAATTTTCCGGACTCTACCAAAAAAGTTGTTTAAGAAACTATCATCATTGAAAACTCAAACGGACTGTACGTCCTGTGGAATCCATTTGAGACTGATGTCGTTTTTCTAATGGAGTTGAAAGAATACACTCTTTTGAACTCAATAACATATAATAGTCGTAATCCTTACCAAGTCCGCCCCATCCAGGCATCCCGAAAGTGTTCTATTTGTCATTATTGAGTAACTTTAATGCTTGCCATAACATACAAAAAGGTGGGTGAGTGAGTGAGTTTAGTTTTATGCCGCACTCAGCAATATTCCAGCTATATGGCGGCGGTCTGTAAATAATCGAGTCTGGACTAAACAACCCAGTGATCAACAGCATGGGCATCGATCTGCGCAATTGGGAACCGATGACATGTGTCATCGAGCCTGACCACCAGGTCCCTTTAGTCGCCTCTTACGACAAGCATGGGTTACTGAAGATCAATTCTAACCCGGACCTTCACGGGTCACATACAAAAAGGCTATGTGACGCCGGTAATCCGTCTCAGTGCTTATTAAATGCAATTGATTATCACTGATTATCATTGAAGATCTCCGTTATTGATTGATCGAACAGATTCATATCCCAAGTTCACGGCCGAGCTTAACCGGTGTGTTAAAGACATCCACAGTTTGCTGTCCAGCACCAAGGAAGATGAAGAGAAAAATGCACCGATTGATGACACTTCTGATACAGATAAAAGTACGTACAGCTGACTCGCCGAACAATATCATCTTAAATGTTCAGCAAAACCGCATTTGCAATGGTATGTAGTACCCTAGGTCTCTGTTGATCACAGGGTTTGTGGCGGCGAATTTCGATGACTTCAAATGGTTTCTTTTCGTGAAGTTCTAGTTCTCGAAATTCGCCGCCACAAGCCCTTGATCAACAGAGACCAAGGTTACTACATACGGCCTACGAAGAATTTACCAAGCTGTAAACTATCACAGCACCCAACCAGCATGTTTTTGCTACTTAATTCCTCCTGTTTTTTAGCTTCGTCGCCTTCATCACTTGGTTGTAGTCCCTTTTATCTTGAAACAGTGTAAGGATCTACACCGAAACGTTCCACTAGGCTATAAGCAAAAAGGTGTAATCTTCAAAGTTGTATGCTTCCTAATTTACTAACTGCGTTCATCTACCAGGGTCAGAATCGGATACGAGAAGGAGAACGGATCCAGTATCGGTGCCGGACGACCAGGCTCCTCGGTGCATGCAGTGTTACGTCAAGTTTACTGTTTTTAAACGAAAAGTAAGTACACATCTTGACATATAAATTTATAACGCTATTAAGACAAATTTAACAGCAATCTCTTCACCATCAGGCCAGTATCGTTAGCCTGTCCACACGCCATATATTGTACGAGTGGGTTTGTTAGTTCGTGAGTCGATAAATTAATAGGTTTATTTTAACGCTTCTGTGGACAGTATTCATGTAAATATGTTGCTCGTGGTCTTGACGTTAGAGGGTGGTGTGGTGCTGACAAACCTATACATATAATTCGATTCTTTTCCAAACTACGATCATAGGTTTCAGTCAATAACTGGATTTTGTCAGTGTGCATTAAACTCCATTCTGATATGTTTCGTTTTCTCTCCACGATTTGGAAAGTGTGTTCAACCTGATTCATCCTTAGCATCCACCCCAACTGGAATCACAATGACTGTGATCAAATATCAGCATATACTTACCACTGTAAAAGTGAATGAGTGAGTGAGGTTTACGCTGCTTTTAGCAATATCCCAGCAATATCCCTGCGGGGGGACACCAGAAATGGGCTTCACACATTGTGCCCATGTGGGGAATCGAACCCGGGACGTTAGCGTGACGAGCGAACGCTTTAACCACTAGGCTATCTCACCGCCCTCGCACAGTAAAAACACACAATGTGAAATAATCTTCCGAGAACTGACTGAAAACATGAATTGTTATATGGTAGTGATGCCCGAAGGCATGCATCATTGCAGTAGTGTTCCTACTTCCACATAGGCTTCCAATTAGTTGTTACTGTAAACAACAGTGCGTTCCCAAAGTGTTTCAGCAGATATAGTACAACCAATTTGCAGTTGTGTAATCACCATCTTGAACCTGTGCTGCTGGGTTACACTCATTATCACATCTTCCCTCTGACTGATTTGTAATTAGATCGATCAGTTCATGGTTCTGTTTAACCCGAAAACATTTACTATTAATTTTTTATTTTGTATCAATCTTTTTTACCTCCATGCAAGTTCCGATAAACAGCCGTTTAATGATATTTCTGTCTCAATAAATTCAGGTATGCATATTTCGTCCTTATCCATCCAATGATGACTTATTAAAATATAAAATATTTCTTGGAATGTTTGACATGTAATTTATCATTTTTCCCAATGCAGCACCACTGTCGAAAATGCGGTTTCGTTGTGTGCAAGACGTGCTTAACAACAGAAAATTCGGAGAAGGTATGTAAGGCTTGCTACACGGAACCGTCAACTGAATACTTGAGAATTGTCTGAATACAGACCGAAGTCAACAGACATATCGGAAGGACAAGATATTGTGTCGCGTATCCAGATCTTTCCAAGAACTATCCACTATCAGATTAGGTCAAAGTGATCATGATACAAGATATCCTGACAATGCCCGACAAAAAGGCACAGAAGTTTTGTGACTGACACTCTTTGTAAATCCTGCTGACCTCGACCTTTAATCTCCGGCACACACAAAGCGGCAAAGCAAATATTGCAGTAATGTATAATGCTAAAGGTATACCATTCTTGTAATACATCCTTAATTGTTCTAGATTTGATGTATCATCACAGGCTCACTCATGACATGTTTACCACTCTGATGGCAGAAGTATCTGCGATTGTAAACAGTCGCCCAATCGTGTCAACTGATCCAGAATCTCCAACAATCGTCAGTCCATCAGTTCTTCTAACTCACAAGACTGACTCAGTATCAGGTATTGGCAACCTAACACCAGTTCATGACTTGAAACATTTATACAAGTCTCAGTGGCAACAAGTGAAATCTTTAGCTGATGCGTTTTGGCACAAATGGAAAGTGGAGTATTTGCATACGTTACAACCCAGAAGAAAGTGGAGAAGTCCTGAGAGAAATGTCCAAGATGGAGACGTTATTCTTCTTAGTGACAAGAACCTACATCGAAATCAGTGGAGACTGGGTGTTGTAGTTACTCCTTAATGTTTTAATCTTATATTTTATACATTTTATGCACATATTGTCTAGTGTGCACTGTCTCATTGGCCATCTGGCCCGGTGTCTGTATTTTTCTATGTCTTTTTACCGTTGCCATTTTTTGACATGTACATTCACGTGACACAAAAATAAACTATTTTGTCTGTCTGTCTGTCAGTTACTGCTCTACCTAGCGATGATGGGAAAGTCTGTCAAGTTATGCGAACCATGAGAGATGGAAAACCAATAACCTATACTCCGCCAATCACCGAGTTAACTCTGCTGTTGCCAGCAGAGCAGCAGTGAATCTTTGATATTGTTGACATCTGATCAGAATTAGTGAAAGACTAATTTAACATGTTCCGGAACATTTGAGTTAACGTTAAAGATTCATATTCTCATGAGTTTATCTTAATTTGGTATATATATATATGTGTAATGATATTCAGTATAAATATCATCGGGGGGTGTGTTCTGTTTCCCATTCTCATCTCTGTTCTTTTTCACATTTTACTTACGCTTCTTTTCTTTTCCGTGTGTTAGTTGTTTTGAAACTCTCGGGGAGTGAGATAAAAAGTGATGGGCCAGACCGCATGGTCTTATTGGGTTTCGGGTTGGGAGCCAATCTCCCAAATGCGTGTACAAGAGGCACAACTTATGGCTTGCATAGAGTAAGTAGTACATTCGAATGATCACTGATGTTTCTTGAGAATGTATGAATGTATGAAATACAATTTACCGTTCCAAATATGCTCAATATCTGTTTATTATTGTGTGACCGTCACCTTCGCTTTCATTGATTTAGGTATGCGTTTCAGTTTCACAGTAATTATATGTAAACAACTTTATCAGGTTGGTGTATACAGCAGCAAATGCATTAGTAACAAGGAAATGTAATATTTAATGCAACTGGGTAATTTCGTAATTGGTATGCACTCCACATGTTCGAAATACTGGTTTGAAGCGTCCGTAAAAGAGTTTTGATTTATACATTGTCCATTACATATGGTTCATTCTCCACTAAACTTGCACATTAACATCATCTGACGTCTTTGTGAAGTTATAAAAATATTTACACGATCTTTTAACATTCTGTTACATTGGAACTACAACAAAGGTGGACATAAATAAAAACATATCACAATCACTTCGTAGGAAGGGTACAAGAAACGTCTGTTAATCCCACACAATGCTGTTATGTGATTTTTCGTTTGTCTTCGACAGTGTGTATTTCAGTCAGTACACCTTTTGTTGATCAATTTGTCTATTTACAGCTGTCTGAAATGTTCTAATTTGCCACAGTATTCTAATAAATATGTGTGAAGCCCATTTCTGGTGTCCCCCGCCGTGATGTTGCTGGAATATTGCTAAAAGCGGCGTAAAACTAAACTCAGTCAGTCAGTCTAATAAATATTTATGTGTAGCCCTGAACGTCATATTTTGTGTTGTATTTTGTTTCTTTATACCAAATTATGTGTCTTGAAATATGTCACCAGATACGTTACGCACTTTCAAGCGTTCATCAAACTCCTCTTAACAGCAACAGGACGTTTTATGTTTACCATAATTCATTTGCCTCAAGGTTTGTTGTTGAAATTTACTGAACTGAACAACAACTACCATTCGTTCATAAAACTTCGACCGCCTCCGTGGTGTAGTGGTTAGAGCGTCCGGAGAGCGGAGAGTCGCGGGTTCGATCCCCGACCGCGATATACCAAAAGAGGTTAAAATATGGTACTTGTTGGTCCCTGCCTGGCGCTCGGCATTAATGGGTACAACAAGGACTGATCGGCTCGGAGTCAGTATAATGTGTCTGAGTGGGGTATTCATGCTTCTCTGCGGCATGGTATCTCAGTGGGCTAGCACTATAAAACCAGCTTAAGTCTGGGCTAGTACAAGCAGCCGCACATACACATGCACACGCATGCACGTCGTCATATGAGCGAAATATTCTCAAGCACGACGTAAAACCCAATTTCACCTCATACAACTTCACAATGTTGTCTCGATGGAGAGAAACAGCTGGCCATTGCAGAATAGCAGCGTGTGGCAGCCATTTTCCCGCTGCGACGTGACGTGACGTCCCGGCAGTATAGTAATGATCTCGAAAGATGTCGGTCTAGTCGCGTTCGAATCCTGATTATATTGTGTTTCTTGGTTTATCTACCTCATACCTCCTCCTGTGGCTTCAATAGTGTACCGCCGTTGGCTTTGCGTCTTACATTCAGATATCCCTAGGTGATATATCTGAAACATTTACGGCGTCGAACCCACTCACTCACCCACTCTGTACAGCCGTGTTACCCCAGTTGTGAAACATCAAGTGCGTGCACTTACCCCGGTCAAATGTACACTAACAAAAACAAGTAGGACTTGATTGTTTCGGAACAATTATTTATTTACTTGAGCAACAAAAATACATTAAACATGTTAGTCATTACTCTAGGTAAACAGAACGCAAACAGGATACAATACAGGTCAAAATCAACAATTAAACCTTGAAACCGAATGGAAATAAACACAAAGTACGGATTTCTAGAGTGATACGTTCATAAAATATCGGTAATGACGGAGAAAATATCAGAACGATGACATATAATCTTCCAAGGAGATCCCATAGCTTGTGTTGTATATAGAATGACACTAGTGAGTGAGTGAGTTGTGTTTTACGCCGCTTTTAGCAATATTCCAGCAATATCGGCGGGGGACACCAGAAATGGGTTTCACACATTGTACCCATGTGTGGAATCGAACCCGGTCCCTTTGGCGTAACGAGCCAACGCTTTAACCACTAGGCTACCCCACCGCTCCAGAATGACACTAGGAATATGGAAAGATGTTCGGGAAATATAGGATGGGGGTTCAGTGTTTCTATTTCAATCTCAAATCATTTACCCTTTTTCACAGACATGTTATTTCAGTATGAAGACCATAGATTTGTTTGTTTGTTGTTTAACGCCGCACTCAGCAATTTTACAGCTATATGGCGGCGGTTTGCCAATAATCGAGTCTGAACAAGAACATCCAGAGATCAACATCATGAGCATCGTTCTCCGCGATTGGGGTACGATGACAAGTGTCAACCAGGTCAGTGAGCATGACCGCCCGATGGGGACTGAAAGAATAAGTTCTTGGGACTGTATTAATTTGTGTGCTGATCAAGACGACATACAAAAATAAATACCAATGTGGTAATTTTGTGAGTGTATCAGTGAAACGTTATCTACACGGAATTGACAGAACAAATGCGGATGGATACACCAGATTCATTCGCGGGAATTAAGTGGAAAATCACGTGGAAATTATGAAATCGCCAGAATTCTGGATTTGTGTAAGGGGATATCGGAACAGGCATATTCGTCTCGCATCTTTCGTATCGCTTTATTTTTCACCAATAATACGAAAAAGACTTTGTTCTGCACTGGAAATTCCATCAGTTGCCAATGATACTTCTGTAAACTTGGTGGGCACAGGTAACGACTTGTATTGCCCAATTAAACCATTTCCTTTATAAACATGCAATATATTTTCAAACAGAACAAAGGTGCAAAGATATTGAAGTGTAGCAGATTAGAAATCTATATTTGTATAATCACAATTATTTGTAAAATATGTACAATATACAGAGTAAAAATATAGCACAATTTCCTATCTTGGAATAATAATGTATATGGATATGATTAGTCAGACGAAATAGCCAGTAACCGATGTTATATGCACAGTCATAGTGAGACACATTTAATTTATTGTTATCATCTTGTAATAATTGTTTATCCATTCCTTTACTTATATGGGATACTGAATTTATATACAACGGTCACTTTCTAAGCTTACAGCAATATTCCAGAATTAATATAACCATTCGGTATTCAGCCTTCGGTTGTTTTCACTAGATCATGTGACACATCAAACTCATTCTCCCGCATGCGCAGAGACCAACATACCTACGCACACATCAGATAGTGCACGGAATCAGATAGTGGTAGCAGTGGTCACGAGATGAATTCCGATCTCTGATTACTTTTCCGATTTCGTCAAGCTCGGCGACGAATCTGTAAACAGACAAATATGCTAGACTAAGTATAATGGTTACAAGATGATTTGTTTACAAGACTACACAGAGTTGTCTCCCTTTCATCATCTCCCCAAACAACAACTGCCCTTCCTGGGACTGTATTCATTATAAACACCTTGTCAGATATGCCGGTCAACGTGGACCATAACATACCACAAGCATGTGAGCTCATGTCTGGTATGTACTAGTTTATGCTTTTGTATATGTTTGCGCTAAACGTAATTTTAACCAACTGAATTCGAAGGCACATCATCATGTGGTGTCAAATGTTAAATTTAGCACCATGCAACCGTTTAAACCTATTCTTGAATTTAATTAGTAAATATTGTTGTAACAGCAAGCTCATTGTGCTTATGATTTTGTTCACATGGCTACCGACTATGACTGAGAAAGAAGTACTTTACTACAAATCGAAGGTTTTACTCATAAGTGAAATTCCTTTGAAACCTCTGATTGGCATATGAGGATCGGGCGTTTGCCACATTCATGGAAGAACATATATATGAACGTATAAATAATATCTCCATCAAGTTCGGAAAGCCTTCAGGTCCTTGTTCAAACCGGTGTCTCATGAATGTGGCCCGATAGGTTGCAAAGTTTTATGTTTAGATAGTATTGAGGGCTTGCCCAACTTTCATTTTTTATAACACCTGCAGTGTTATCGTTTGACGTTTAATGATTTTAATCACTTCCAAATGTTGTTTTCTTATCATTTTGAAGTCATAAGGAGAACTGAGAGCAGTCTGCCATTAATTGTAGTCAATATGATTCATATAGGGATTACCATTTTTTAAATTGTTCTGATAACGGGATTGTATGTATTTTTGGCAAGAATTTGAAAAAAGATTTTTTTAGCAAACAACGTGTGTAAGCCCGTTTTTTTAAAAACAAAACATGGTAGCTACGCCCCTGGTTCCTGATCCACTTTTGATCAGTCTCAGTATGCGTCGTGCAAATAAACCAGCCATGAGTGATGGGTACTTGGTGCTATCGGCACACAGTTGATGCCCTTGAGACACCACGAACGAGGTTATCGTATGTACCCAATAACCCCTTGACCATAACTAAAATTAAAAGACCGCCGAAGTAGTCAAATACCTTGTGTGTATGTCTGCAGCCCGTGGGTCATACAAGTACATGGAGTCCCTATCTCCCAGAATCCCCTTGTTGACTGTGTCCGACAGGACTTGCGCCAGTGCCACGCCCTGATCCCAGTTGGTGTCGGTCTGCAGGGCGTTCAAGACGTCCGACTCCTCATGGGGCGTCTAGCAAGTGACCAATATAATAATTATGTATGCATACGTTTTGAAACATCAACATCAACCAATATTCCAGCAGTAGTAACAGGCAGTGATGAAATGTCTATAAATGGATCACTGAAAATGTGTGCTGACACCAGAGGTTCGAAAATAGGGTCGACAGGTCCTGCTCTATGTGAAGCATCCACCATACACACTTTTGTTAATAACAAAAGTGAGAGTGAGAGTGAAACTCAGAATAGTGGAATAGTATCTCGAATCATACTGACAAGCAACGAGTAATATTTAGCAAATTATAGACCGTATGTCTTCTATGAAATTTCTGCAATAGCTTGGTGGTGGTATCGGTTGTGTAACCTTAAAAAAGCTTAGTTGAGCAAAATACGAAGTCAATAAAAAGTACATGCTCTAACATGAGAATAATCTTGTGCTGGTTGCATCGGTTTTACGTTCATGAATAGGCTTCAGGCGTTATACACATCTGGGGATTTGAACTCGTGTGGCGCAACAACGCATGCCAACAGAAGATGAATAAAAGCGACAAAGGGCATAACATGATCGACATAATCCGTTCCATATTTCATAAGAGATCTTTGCCAAAAGCAGAGTCGTGTATCCGGCTTCGGCCTTTACCACAAGCATATGTCCATATATAACCACAAGACAACAAGGCGTTCGCGAAAATGTGAGCATATCTCGCCGGAGCAGCAACATTCGTAACAAACACACGCAAAGGCAAGTCAACTGCCAACCTCAACAAACCTCTTACAAGACATTTTACAAGCCTGAACAGGGAACAACATCGGACATCTCTGCTAATAGTTGACTGCATTGTACAATTCATATGATAAGCATGAATCACTCTCAAATAGTGATGAAACACTGCCCATTTGACTAAAATCTTAACTCACTCACTACTCACTCATATACTAGATGAAGGGGATTTAACCCAAACCAATACAAATACACATTTTAACACACATGGAACACACGACTTTAAGAGCAGTAAAGGGGTTAAAAGGAAAACGAATCAAATATTGGGTAAAAGGTTTCAAAACACTAGGATTTAACCTTGTTTTAAGTGATACAGTGACTGGAATAACAACAGGTCTTGGAAGGAATGGATTCAACTTTCAAAAAGTGATGTCTTGCTCCAGATGGTAAAACAGAATATCAAGAGTTGAAAGAAGTTAATGGATCCTCTAAAAGTATAAAAAAAAATCCAATTACGCTATATAACAACCCCGTTCTTTTCGTGTAAAAGTTCTGTTTTCTCACATGCACATTTTTTCATAATTTATCTTAATCCTACAGTTTTCTTCAGCCTCTTTAGTTAGATGGGATTGGTTATTACTATAAAGACTGAACTCATGTTAAGTACCATTATGATATTAATGAACAGGGAGAAAAATATTACACTTCCGAAGCAATACCTTATCGGCTGGGGGTGCGCCGCTTAGCTTCAGTGGGTAGTTGGGTGGGAAGCCGTACGAATCATACATAGCCCCGCCAACTGCCGCTTGCTGCGCAGTGCACGTGAAGATGATTGACGTGACCAGATCTTGAAGCTGTTCCGGTTTACACACACTACCGTCACCAGGTAGACCCTGCAGTCAACAAACCATGCTGGATTGGATGATATGACCTTGTCAATATTTACATAAATGTATAGTAATAAAATATATCATAATTAAATTATCCGTGATGATCCGGGTAAGAATTGGTGTTCAGTTTGTCGCAATAGACGTTTTACAGGATCGGGTGGTCAGGCGGGGTATTCGTGTTAAGGCGACTTTTTAGTTTCAGGTATTCGCGTTAAGGCGACTTGGTTGACACGTCACTTAGTTTTCTTAACATTAATAGTCAGATGATTATTTTTGCGCCAGTCTGAATCTTAAGCCGAAAGTGGCCCTCTGAGCTGCTCATTAGTCATGTTAATATCAGCGTCATGGGTGAATTTAATTATATGAGATCCAGTGGAGTCACACCCATATGTAGCATGAACAATACCGGTGGTAAAACACTACCTTGAGGAACTCCTGTATCGTTAACCTAAGGTTGATGACAACGTGCTGTTTACACATTCGTGCTGTGCGCGACTTAATCCAGCCATTGGTATATTGTTGACCTTCATAATGGCGAGTTTCTGCATTAGCATGTGGAGCTGTATCGTACTGAATGCTGAAGAAAAGTGATACAGTCGCGTACTCTACACCTCACCTGATTGCTATTGACGTGCTTTGACGGTTTGATATCTCACCTCTATCCCCATGCCGCCATCTTCCTTGCAGGTGGCCATTTCCTTCAGCCAGTTCTGTAGTTCTGTATCGTTCTGGATGCTGTCGGGGTCAGCTGGAAGCGAAAAAGATCAGTTTGATCATATACATACACATGTTTACTGAAACGTTTATTCTCATTGAAGAGAAGCTTAATACTTTGCATCTTTACGTCCCTTTACACTTGCCCACTTTACACTTGACGCGGAATGAGCCGGAATGCTGTCAGAATGAGAATTCCTGGAATATCAAACTTCATTCTAAAACTTCTTACTGCACTCCGAAAGCATTTCAACTATTCGGGCCAATTCTTGTAACATGCCCGAATGTTTTGAACATGTTAAAAAATTTCGAGGTACATTCGTAGAGGGAAAATATCGAACGGTATTTGAAGCGTATTCTAACCGCATTCTAAGTATTCTTACTGCATACTGGCTGCATTGAGAGTATTCTGAACGTATTCGAAGGAGAATGGATGCTCAAAATGATATCGTTTATTGTTTCAACAACGGCAGTTTAATATATTCGAACTTGGACCAGATAATTCAGAGGTCGATATTGTGAGCAACGACCCTCGCCGTCAGGACTCGATGGCACGACATTGCCCGATCACCCGATCTATTGGTGGCCTCTTACGACCACCATTGGTTGCTGTGGTTAACGTTGAGGTGACGGTATCGTACCGTAGTATACCATGGTGTACTTGATGACGTAGTTCTGTATGGCGTAGTAGAGCAGCATGCCGTCGTCACGGTAGTTGTAGTTGGGGAGGACGCGGATGTCGGACACCTGTGGGTCGTACACACAAAGTAAGATCAACACCCTGCATCTGTATTTCAGCATAAATTCAGCAATGGCTCTTACAACTGGAGTTAAAATATTGAAGATCGATCATATGATATTCTGAGAGATGGGTCAGCTGTATAGGAAGGACAGGGGGTACAAATGTTTGGGGTTTCCGAGAATATGTTTGATAAAAAATGTCAATGTCTTGGACTGTTGAACAAAACCCCAGAAATTCTGTCTCAAACAATACGCTGATGCTAGATTTCTTTTTAATTTGTAATTTAGGCTCATGTTTTTAAATGAAAATGGTTTTGCCGCTGTACCTTAACAAATAGTCTCCAAATAAAATTCCCTCCCCTCCACGTACCCCCCCACACCACCGCCAGAGTATTAATGGTGGTTCCATTTATGCCTATACACTCATGGATGGCGGTTTATGACGCGTTGTTCTGTCCTGTCAGATCGAAATGTGTTAAGGAGGAGGAGTTAGAGTGAGTGAGTATGATTTTATGCCGCTCTCAACAATATTACAGCAACATCATAGCGGAGACTCGAGATATTGGCTTCAATTTTACCAAGTGGCAAATCGGACCAGTGCCTCCATTAGCCACAAGGCTGCGTTACCCATTAGAAAATTAAAATTAGGAGAAGCAGGCTTTTGTAAATAACCAATTAATTTCACATACTCAATTAAACACATATCTAGGACTTTTTTTATCATTGATATCATGTATGAATTTAACATCGGAAATCAGTCCACACACTCAGCCTATGACTCACAAAGACACCTCCACACACCAGTCCACACACTCAGCCTATGACTCACAAAGACACCACCACACACCAGTCCACACACTCAGCCTATGACTCACAAAGACACCTCCACACACCTGTCCACCCCACCCCCCTATGACTCACCGACACCTCCACACACAAGTCCACACACAAAGCCTATGACTCACAAATACACCTCCACACACAAGTCCACACACAAAGCCTATGACTCACAAAGACACCTCCACACACAAGTCCACACTCTCAGCCTATGACTCACAAAGACACCTCCACACACCTGTCCACCCCACCCCCCTATGACTCACTGACACCTCCATACATTCACACACAAGTCCACATACTCAGCCTATGACTCACAAATACACCTCCACACATCAGTCCACACTCAGCCTCTGACTCACAAAGACACCCCCACACATTCACACACCAGTTCACACACTCAGCCTCTGACTCACAAAGACGCCTCCACACATTCAGTCACAAACCCATACACCGATTCACTTCGTGTACTTGAAGGTAGATTTACGACAAATACAAGCTTTAAATGCAGTCATGTACTGTCATTGTCAACGTTAAGAGAACAAACTTCAGATTAGTGCCGCATTCAACCTTTCTCACGAACACGTTTACATATATCTCCGTTTATAACACCCTGTTTACAAGGCTTTATTATCGAACCACTAACAATTCAAATCGATAACGAACAGGCGTTTATCGAACACCACGACACTGAGTGCATCACATCAAATTTCATTTACAGATATTTACACGTAACGTACAAGGAGTTTCACATATGAAGCGCAATAGATGCAGACTGTAAAACCAGTCTTTCTCAATAAGATCGAAGATGTAACACTGAAACTGGGCGACAGAGCGACCCATTACATGTGGACATAACACAAGATATGTTATCGATTAATCATCTTATGTACATCGATGTGACTATTTAAGTCAGCTACTTTCATCGTTATGTGGTCGCCCTACCTACCCCTCTTTTAACGACGTCTTCTGGGAGACAGCTGTTGACATTAAAGCGCCATGACTCAAGTCTGGAAGAGAAATGTAACTACAGTCACGTTGGGTTCCTTCACATGAAAACAGCTGGTGATCGGGTATATTATGAAATGCGTCCATTTTTCAACCAAATCGCAGTATCCTATGGGAAGTTTCAACATAATACATAAACAATACTTTCTTCTCTATTGTAACACGTAGTACTAATAAAATGAATTTAAAAACAAACAAAAACGTTCTCAAAGTCCACCACTCTGTTTAACACCACACTCAGCAATATTCCAGCTATATAACAGCGGTTTGTGAATAATCGAATCTGGACCAGACAATCCAGTGATTGACATCATGAACATCGATCTACGCAATTGGGATACGATCACATTCATCAACGACGTCAGCGAGTCTGACCACCCGATCCCGTTAGTCGCCTTTTACGACAAGCATTGCGACAAACGCATCACGTAGGAAAGTGCACAAAAATTTTCAAATCATCATCATCATCATCATCATCATCATCATCATCATCATCACCAAGAGTGATAATTAAACCATTGCATTCGTTACAGAGGCAAGAGACGGAACTGACTGTTTCATGTGTTAAGTCTCTCTGATGTATGAAATCAAATCAACTGTAAACATTAGAACACAGATATTCTTTTTCTATGATTTATTAACACATACCCAATTTCTAAACTGGGACACCAGACTATGTTGACTGGTGAGAACTAATATGTGCGGGACGGGAATGTGAAACTTATTCCTGTTATTTAGAAGTTATATTTATTAACAATAGTATAATTGGTAATACTGCTGTTTTTGTGAGGTAGCTCGAGTGTGTTCTTGTGGGGTGGTTCTTGTGGTTCTTAGCAAATGTGGCCTCTCGGAATTGAGTTCATACATTTCACCTAGACGTGGGAACAGAACTAGGGCATTGGCGTTACGTGCGGACGCTTCATCCACTAGGCTATTTTCCTCCTACATTCATATATACAGGCGTATTTGCTGTATCTGGTTTCAAAGTTTCAAGGTATTACTTCAACAGTTAGAGTGAAAGTTACTTTTTTCTGAATGCAGTGGGCTATTTTCCTCCTATGTTTTTATATTTAAAGGATTCGCTGTAAATTAATATGTTTAGCTGCGCACTGATTTGTTAATTTGATAGAAGGCTTTGCTGTATTTAGTTTCAAGGTATTTCTTTCAAGAGCCAGCGTGGCGTGTACTTTTTTCTGAATACAGTTAAAGAACTGCATGCCCGACTAAATTATTTTTCAGAAAAACGTCTTATTTCTCATCCCTACTTTGTTTTGATAATTTCTCCACCTGCCTAGCCTGCTTTCTGGAGTTCTAGTGACGGGCATATGTCAGCTTGTTAGAAGACATATTAAAAACTTTAGACGTTCGTTCAAGTATTTGTTAGTGGCATAATTGGTTTCCTTCATTCTCCTTCCCATTGATTGAAATCATACACCTTCAAAATCATCTTGTCCACGTAAGCTGAATAGCGCACCTTGTCAGCCAACAACGACATATACTCAGTCTGTGTAAACATTTTCCAGTGATGTGTATGAAAATAACAAAGATTTTGTTACCGTATTGATGTTTAGTATTTTTGCAATTCATCCGTCTCTTTACAAACGGATTTTATGCGCGTGTTGTCGATTTCGAACTTTGTTAGAATTTAACGAGGCGCATCACACATTCATAATTGTGTCCATGCGTGACACAGATAAATCGAAATGCAGTCTGGATGTCTAGCTGAGTTATGTAATGGAGGTATTGAAGGGAGTGAGTTTGGTTTTACGCCGCTTTTAGCAATAGTCCAGCAATATCACGGCGAGGAACAAAAATGGGCTTCACACATTGTACCCTTGCGGGGAATCGAACCCGGTTCTTCGGCGTGACGAGCGAACGCCTTAACCACTAGGCTACACCACCGCCCCTGGAGGTATTGAAGGGCAATCAACTGAACATTTGCAATTGTCGGATAACCAAACAGGTGCGGAATGAGTGAATGAGTTTAGTTTACGCCGCACTCAGCAATATTCCAGCTATATGACGCGGGTTGTAAATAACTGAGTCTGGACCACATAACCCTGTGATCAACATCATGAGCATCGATCTACGGAATTGGGATACGATGACACTTGTCAACCAAGTCAGCGAGCCTGACAACCCGATCCCGTTAGTCGACAAGCATGGGTTACTGAAGATCAATCCTAACCACGGATCTTCACGGGTAAACAGATGGGGACAAACAATTAGACAACAACAATTTGTATCTACATCCAGGAAAGACTTAATCAAAATACATATGTTCTGTATGTTCGGTGCACATGGGGATACCCCTACGTTTGTTAATTATTTCCAAAACAAATTAAACCAATGTTAACCCATACATTCTATAACTGTATTCCTTGAAAAAGTATTATCAGCCGGGGCACCGTTTAGACTTTTTAGGGTTTTTAGATACCCCGAAATCCATATTCAGGAAAATGAGCATTTAACATTATCATATTGTGATTTTGGTATGACGCAGTTAAGCAGTCAATACAAACAATATTCTGCGGTAGATATGATCCTGTCATTTTAACATGCAATCAGATGCTCATGATATAGTCTGAATCGGACAATCGGCTTTCCTTTTAACAAAGGTTTCTTATGGCTGTGAAAAAGGGTTTTGTCGCTTTGGTTTGAAAAAATATATGTCCTTCGTCAGAAAATAACACACGTTACGTTTGTGTTAAAAATCTGTTTTATATAGAATTATGCAATAAGCGTTGAATAAAACAAAAACGTGCGTGTTTCGTCAGACAATTCTACATGATGCTATTACTTTAAGAACAGATTACACTGTATGGAATCATATAGTGGGTAATGCATATTGCAAAAGAAGTGTTTCGTCAGGAAATACAGTGAACCATTGTCTTTTAAATGACTAACTGTTAAGGAACTGTTTTGTGATAGTACTATAACAAGGGTTTGTCAAAGATATTACATGATACAACTTTGTCAAAAAAGACTCCATAGGGAATCAAAGAGAAAGGTGCCCATAAAGCAGAACAAAATTTTGTCTGAAAACAATACATGATTTATTTGTGTTTAAAATGAGAATATTATATGTCAGTCCCAAGCGGTGAATAACATTTCCCATGTTTTAATACAATGCATAGATGTTGTATATGCATGTCTGTATGATTCTTTCACTACTGACAAACATGATGAAAATGGCAAAGGTTAAGATAAGTTATAGTTCTGTCTTCTTTACAGCGAAGTGTGCTGAAACTAAAACCAACATGGTCGCCGCTTATAGTTGCAAAATCGCAGCGTTAAGCAATAGTCACTTCTAAAACTAACATGGCATAACACATTACTCTTTGTGTCACAAGCTCACTGTTTATGCATCATCACCTTGTGTGTAAACCGTTGTTTCTCGAACGGTCGCAGATGTCGACGTATTGAACAGCAGTGTTTGTTTGCTCATGTGTACTTTCAATTTACTGTTACAAAAACTACAAGTTATGAATTCATTTTAAAAAGCATTAGTCAATGAATAACATTGTCCTGCTTTGAATTTATGAAAACAGCTGTTACTTTATTTCATGTATGAACAAAGGAATTATTCAAACGAGTTGAAAATACATTAACGTGTTGAATTGTAAGCATTTCCGAGTTCTTGAACATACTCAATACAAAATAGTTTGTTTAAACTGCGTTTTACAATTGTACATGCATCAGACTTACACTGTATGTTGACTTAATGTTATTTATCCTTCCTAGTGAACTACATTTAAGCAAACGTCGCTCACTATCGTTACATGATGTGTTGTACACATTCCGTATTCCAACTTTCAAGCTCTACTTTAAAGTCAACTGGATATACATATCAAATCTCGAATCGTGTACAGCGTTCGAAATGAACGTCGGTGGTTTTCCGCGGGTCCTTATGGCTTTGTTTGCTGGGAATTACTGATTCAGCAGCTAAAATATAGGCCTACACATTGTGATCTAGACCCACAACTTGTTATGGTTCTGGGTCCTCAGGGCCAGCAGCGTTTCAGGGTTAGGCATAGGGGGACCTAGAAAGGGTGTGTGGTGGTGGTTGTGCATGGGTGCGCACCCCCTTTTTGTCCTGAAAATTTATTTAATGACCATTGAAACTCGCGTGAAAAGGATGTGTGCACCCCCTTTGTACCCCTTTCTTTAAAAGCTGTAAACGTCCCTGTAAGGGCAAACACTGATCTTGTACGTTTAAAAATTTACTTGTGTTAACCCTTCTTCACCAAATATCAGGACACTTCCGCCAACCATCAAATTTCGTTTTTAACAAAAGTTTAATAGCTCCGCAGGTGAAATGCAAACTACAAATATTTGGGTATATTATAAAAATTGTAATAACCACATAAATTTAAACTGGAGCAAACTCAATCACAGACGTATGACCTGATGTGTGAACAGCTTATAGACACGACAGGGTCAGTGGTGGAGAACACAAGACAACTTTATGGCTACAGAACACTCACGATTTCCTGATGACCTTCTTGACCCCCGGGCACCGATTGTTGCCACCTTGTCGACCACGCCCTCATCTGCCAGGAGGTTCTGCATGATGTCACTGTGAAGGAAAGATGCAAATAATCGTAATCCATTGTGGGGAGGGAGGATGAACATATTTTACTGGGGATGGGGGTGGGGTGGGGCTGAACTGTTAAATAGCCCAACCGGTTAAGCCGCTTTTGGCAGTATTCCAGTAACACGAGAGCGTGTCTGCTTATTGTTGGAAGAAAGCCCGAAGTACAGAAGGTCTGAGCTGTTTACTACTTTGATGAAACCCACGAGCATGCTGTGATTGTGACAGACGAAGGAACGTAATCGGGCCCCTGATCATAGGTTCCTGGCCTGACCAACGGGGGTAACTCTGCACAGCGAATAGGCTTAGACAGCTGAGTCACCTAGGTCCCCGCTGGTTAGAGAGTGGCATAACATTGCTTTATGACAAGTATGACACAATTCTCGACTGAGTGAGTTTAGTTTTACGCCGCACTCAGCAATATTCCCGCTATATGGCGGCGGTCTGTATGTAATCAAGTCTGGACCAGATAATCTAGTGATAAACAGCATGAGCATCGATCTGCACTACTGGGAACCGATGACATCCGTCAACCAAGCCCGCGGGCCTGATCACCCGATCCCGTAAGTCGCCTCTTAGGACAAGCATGGGTTAGTGAAGATCAATTCTAACCCGGACCTTCACGGGTGCAGTATTCTCTAAATAACCACTAAATGTTTTTTTGCTAACATGGATAATTCATCGGTAACAGATTATCTGAACGTCGCATTAGAGTAGACTCTTCGGGAATGGCAGTATTACACGGGGGAAGTGTCCAGTTAATTGTTGTTTAGAGAGATGATCATAAGAAAAGAAGACATTTCTTGTAGTTAAATAAAAACTTCTCTCACTGGACGTCTCTGTTGAGCATTAAGGAACCACATTTACATTGCACATGTCATACAGTAGAACACGACACCCGGTACCCATCCCACAAACACCCGGTACCCACCCCACAAACACCCGGTCCGACGTATACAAATGCGGCTAAAAGTTTTCCTTCATGCGACACAGTTACAAATATGCCTGTGTCGCTTTAAGTCACAATATCGAATCGATAAATTCGCACAAGATAACACAAACATAAGTTACGACAAGTTACTAATAATTCGATTAAGATAAACACCATAAAAACATTATTTTCCTATCTTCAAAAAAAATAATAATAGTAATTGATCATCATTTATGAAAATTCCCTCCAGGCAGACAATGTCTCACTTAATTATTCTCCGGCAACAGGTGGTTTCGAACCGACAAGCGAATGCATAACGCAAATATCGGACTCGTTATCTTTACAATGTAGATGATTTAGACGTTCAGTATGCGTGAACAATGCGATCGAAACACATAACGATTTACTTTTGCTGGCTATACAACATCACAACTGACTTTTTTTTGGATATATATGTGAGAAACCCAAAAAGTAAATTGCAAAATTCAAACTCACTCACCTACCACATCGTCCTCGATCCTGTTTCTGGGGACACTATGGGGCGAGTTTAATGGATATTACCACGAGGTTACCTGGCTTTCAGAGGAAGCTATACTGAATTTGAACACGAACGCGAACATGCCATCATGGGGGTAGTCTAGTGGTTAAAGCGTTCGCTTGTCACGCCGAATTCGAAGACATTCGGTGTGGTTCGATTCCACCCAAAATGGGTACAATTGTTGTTGGTGAATTGAGAAATTCTGTTGATTTGTTAGAATCACCATTTCTGGTATGTCCAGATTCCGCCGTGATGTTGTTGGAATATTGCTAGTGGTTAAAGCGGCGTGAAACTAACTCACCCACCCTTAATGACCACTGATGCTGGAATATTGCTAAAAGCGGCGTGAAAGCCCATATGACCACTATCTAAACTAGAAAGCCCATATTTTTAGATCACATTAATTATGAATACGATGTATGATGTTCATTACATATAAGATGTTGCATGAGCTTTGTATCACCTGCTTGCAGCCATGATGTTCACGATTATATGTAAAATGTTACATGAGGTTTGCATCACCTGTATGCAACCATGATGCTCACGATTATATGTAAAATGTTGTATGAGGTTTGCATCACCTGTATGCAGCCATGATGCTCACGATTATATGTAAAATGTTGTATGAGGTTTGTATCACCTGTTTGCAGCCATGATGCTCACGATTACATATAAAATGTTGTATGAGGTTTGCATCACCTGTATGCAGCCATGATGCTCACGATTATATATAAAATGTTGTATGAGGTTTGCATCACCTGTATGCAGCCATGATGCTCACGATTATATATAAAATGTAGCATGATGTTTGCATCACCTGTATGCAGCCATGATGCTCACGATTATATATAAAATGGTGTATGAGGTTTGCATCACCTGTATGCAGCCATGATGCTCACGATTACATATAAAATGTTGTATGAGGTTTGCATCACCTGTATGCAGCCATGATGCTCACGATTATATATAAAATGTTGTATGATGTTTGCATCACCTGTATGCAGCCATGATGCTCACGATTATATATAAAATGTAGCATGATGTTTGCATCACCTGTATGCAGCCATGATGCTCACGATTATATATAAAATGTTGTATGAGGTTTGCATCACCTGTATGCAGCCATGATGCTCACGATTATATATAAAATGTTGTATGAGGTTTGCATCACCTGTATGCAGCCATGATGCTCACGATTATATATAAAATGTTGTATGATGTTTGCATCACCTGTATGCAGCCATGATGCTCACGATTATATATAAAATGTAGCATGATGTTTGCATCACCTGTATGCAGCCATGATGCTCACGATTATATATAAAATGGTGTATGAGGTTTGCATCACCTGTATGCAGCCATGATGCTCACGATTATATATAAAATGTTGTATGAGGTTTGCATCACCTGTATGCAGCCATGATGCTCACGATTATATATAAAATGTTGTATGAGGAATGCATCACCTGTATGCAGCCATGCTGTTCACGATTATATATAAAATGTAGCATGATGTTTGCATCACCTGTATGCAGCCATGATGTTCACAATTATATATAAAATGGTGTATGAGGTTTGCATCACCTGTATGCAGCCATGATGCTCACGATTATATATAAAATGTTGTATGAGGTTTGCATCACCTGTATGCAGCCATGATGCTCACGATTATATTTAAAATGTTGTATGAGGTTTGCATCACCTGTTTGCAGCCATGATGCTCACGATTATATATAAAATGTTGTATGAGGTTTGCATCACCTGTATGCAGCCATGATGCTCACGATTATATATAAAATGTTGTATGAGGTTTGCATCACCTGTATGCAGCCATGATGCTCACGATTATATATAAAATGTTGTATGAGGTTTGCATCATCTGTTTGCAGCCATGGTGCTCACGATTATATAAAAATGTTGTATGAGGTTTGAATCACCTGTATGCAGCCATGATGCTCACGATTATATATAAAATGTTGTATGAGGTTTGCGCCTCACCTGTTTGCAGCCATGATGTTCACGATTATATATAAAATGTTGTATGTTGCATCACCTGTATGCAGCCATGATGCTCACGATTATATATAAAATGTTGTATGAGGTTTGAATCACCTGTTTGCAGCCATGATGTTCACGGTTATATATAAAATGTAGCATGATGTTTGCATCACCTGTATGCAGCCATGATGTTCACGATTATATATAAAATGTTGTATGAGGTTTGCATCACCTGTTTGCAGCCATGATGTTCACGGTTATATATAAAATGTTGTATGAGGTTTGCATCACCTGTATGCAGCCATGATGCTCACGGTTATATATAAGATGTTGTATGAGGTTTGCGCCTCACCTGTTTGCAGCCATGATGTTGGTGAAGTATGGCGCCAGCATCTTGAACAGAGGATGCGAGATGGACAGATGGCGATGCATGGACAGACCAACACTCTCAGTGAGGAGACAAGCTGTGCCTGAAAGAAAATACATGATACATTCAATACACCAACGTTCTAGGACATTTTATGTTAGGCCACATACTTCACGGATTCGGGACAGTGACATTTGTTGAAATGGAAAACATATCAGATTGTTTTTATCCCAATACGTTGATAGCAAGCAAACAAAACAGTTCTAACCAAAAGCCTACTCGCAATATTAATGTTTACAAAACAAAAAGGAAAAAAAAGTTTAAGTATTGAAACGTTGAGCTGCTATTTGTTTGCAACGATTATTTAAACAAACCTTTCTGGTGCTCTTCTGAAATATATATATTTCAAGGTCGATCAAGGTGTTTCGAAACGGGATGTAAATGTTTAAGCAGTGGCACAGGCGAATACACAATTAATGCACTTCTGTTGGTAATCTGTATCAGTTGTCACTCATTTCCTGTGACATGAAAACTGTTCAGACGTTTTGGTGAGCACGAGACCATAAAGATTTTTGGTAGACGGTGTGTTACTAGAAAAGCCATGTTCAGTCTGTTGTGATTGTGGAAACAAATCTGTTTTAGAGGTTTATTATATATTTATTTTTTAAAATATAATAAGACGCATCGATGCACGCCAGTGTCCCCATTTGATATCCAAGGGTTATATTACTTACAGGAACAGATGTGTTACAAGCTCTCCGCCATGTCTAATTTATCGACGTATAGTTGAGGTGAAAACTAAACACAAGTTACTTCCCTAATGACGGGTATCTTACTATACAACAAATATGGCCTTATTTCAGATTTATATTTATTTAACTACCTATCACCAATACTTCAATTGTTGAGAAAGACGCTCCCATTTATACAGTTTTTTTGTTATTGAAATGAATGATGGTGTTGGTGCTGATATTACTGTTAATGATGGTGTTAGTGATGGTGAAGGTGATGGTGTTGATGAATGGTGATTGGTGTTAACAACGGTAATGGTGCTGGGATTGTTTAACGCTGGTGCTGGAATTGATGACGTGGGATGATGTTACTGATGCTACACATGCTGCAGCTGACGTACCGATGTAAGTGACGGCAAGATGGTGGTTGGCCTCGGCGTTGTTGTACCACAGTTTGGCCAGCAGCCAGGTGTACTGGTCATCGGAAGGCAGGAACACCTGGACAAAGATGCAGGTAATCCGCGTTATCTCAACAGTCTCCAGCCTCCAGACAGAGGTCATAATGATAATAACAAACAGTTTGCTACGAGGTGACTGTACATCCCAGAAGCTAATCAATGACCGTGTAATCATACATACCCAAACATCACTCCAATCACAAACTGCCCACTCAACGCAGGGAATTTATTCAACTTTAAATCAAGGTTACTAGTTCGGGGACCATAGTCGTCCTGTTGAACATAAGTTGAACTGTATCTAAAGACATGGCTTGTACCTACAGAATGACAGTGTCTACATTCATATGTGTCTTCAGTTGTGTACCTGTATCTATATGAGCTTCCCTATATTTGTGTCTCTCCACAACTCTGTGTGATTCTGCAGCGTGTAAATACATACAAACTAGTAACTACTGTGTTTTCATGTGCTTCGTCAACTGTGTCTAACATATTTGTACCTACTGATATATTTATGAACAAACTGTGTTTACCTTAGTCTACCTTCACGTGTGTATCTACAAAATGTGTCTACAACTGTGTCTACAACTGTGTCCCTGCAAAACTAAATTCCTTTTTACATGCATAAAGAAACAGATCAGCAAGATGGGGATGTTCATCAAAATCAATGACCCCCCTCCCCAACCCATAGTTTCTAAGCATAATGTTAAACATATTTAATGACACACACACACCCAACACACACACACACACCCCACACACACAAACACACCAGATACAGATAAATGTTATATACTCATGCCAATAATGGTTGTCACCCCCTACCCACCCCACCCCACCTCACACCCTCTCCAATTAAAAAGATTTAAGGGGGTGACAACCGTTATTGGCATGAGTATATATGAGGAAGTCCAGAACCGTAGACATCTCATTTAACTTCAGGTAACATGTGATCATTATTGGTAGTGGAAACAGTTTACCGGGTTATCGTCACTGCGTTCTTGGAACAGCTGGATAGCAATGGGCACGAGAGTGTTCCTCTTGTCCAGGTAGAACAGCGCTATTGGGGCACAGATCTAAAACATAAAGAAAGTCACATTAACTCAAAGATATCAGTTATATCAGTTACGACCGTGAGTCCGGAAACAAACACTTACTTTCCTGTGCAAATTGTGTGATTGCTTCAGGTGAGGCAAGACATGCTTACCCTTTTTCTTACAACTGATGACATAAATGATTTTTAGTGACCTACTTATTTAATTTCCTGATTAAAATTTGGCTTTTATGCCGAATAGAATCTATTTTGGTGGATAATAGGGAATGGTTGTTCGCTGGAGTTGACAAACATGATGACCAAATGTTTCTATTATGGCAGATTGTCCAAAAGCGACTGCGGTTGAGAACTTTTACCTGAATATTTAGCTATATATAGTCTGCCATTACACGTAAAGAATCTTAAACAACCCGGACGTGACCGTTTATGACACCGAAAGGGCTAACCATAGTATAGTTTAATTAAGCAAGGGAAGCTCAAATGGTCCATATTAACGAGGTTTCTGTTAACAGAGTCTTTACTAGCTTACACATGATGACTAATTATCCATAATTTAAAGACTTTTCTACAGAGATCCCAGCAAATAAATTGGATTCAGTGTAGTTTGTGACCGTCATATATCCCTACTTTATCATAACAATTCTTTTGAAATGACAGATGTGGAATATTTGATAACAATAGGAGACCATTGCCAGTTGTGACCAAAACACCATACAAACCGTATGACTAAGCTAAGGACAGCGATGATCAATACAAGCACAAAGACGGCTGTACCATCTGATAATACATGGATTATGTGGTCAGGAATTTGAAAACTGAGTAGAATGAATAGGTTATGGCGTAATTATAATATGTCGCATCCGTCAAAAGAATAATAATTATGAAAGCTGGTTGCGAAGGTTAAGTACGTGGGAACTGTGGAGAATGGTCGAGTATGAATTTATGAAACGAAATCATAACACCGAGAGTATGGAGTCGGTCATGCATGCATAATACTATTAATGTACGTTCAATGAAGCGTAAATGGTTTATATTAGCATTTAGATTATAGACCAAGCAGTATCTTGTTATGACACATTTCGTTCCAAGGTTTCATTGCTGGGATGCTAGACTACCATATCTCCATCAATGTGTTTGTTTGTTAACCTCTGTGTGTGTAACCTTCAGCTATATACATATGTCCTATCCAGCTGTTGATTACTTGCTTGACAAAAATAACACCATCGATCTGTACTGAACAATATAGCAGTTGAAAATCTACGAGTCAGCTTAATATGTTTCAATATCCTTTTGGCCAAATAGATGTTAAAATGTTATAACCGATTAAAAGAATATTTATTTAGTTTATATATAAAGAAATAAATGTTATTTTCTGTCGTTAAAACGTGTTACCAATATATTTCGTATGATTTCCCCGTTGTCGATGACCACGTGTGTCAAGACGTTGCCGTAATGTCATGTGTGACAAGTTGACATATGTGTACACATGAATATGTACCTGCCGTAATATTTGAATCAATTGCATACAGGAATGTGGACGGCTAGCGTGAAGCCAGATTAGGCTGCTACCTGGTTGAAGCCAATGTTGTTGCAATACGTCTTACACCAGGGAACCCGTGAAAATCCGGGTAGAATTGGTCTTCAGCAACCCATGCTTGTCGTAAGAGGCGACTAACGGGAACGGGTGGTCATGCTCGCTGACTTGACACATGTCATCGTATCCCAATTGCGTAGATCGATGCTTGTGATGTCGGTCGCTGGATTGTCTGGCCCAGACTCGATTATTTACAGACCGCCGCCATATACAGACTCGTGCCAGTTATATTGGGCCACTTGACGTAATTTCCATAGACTATTTCAGTGAAGCATAAATATTTTTCAGGAAGTGAGTTTAGGATGGATCTTTGTAAAATTTGACAGGCAAATGTGAAATCACGCATAATTTCATTTCACTTTTCAGACCACTATTTTACTGATGACATCACAATTAACAACTTAAGTATGGTTCCACAAATGCATAATCCCATTGGCCGCCATGCTAAAAGAGTTCACGGCACTGTACATATGTTGGGTGAATGGTTGCCATTCGATAAATAAGCAACGGAAAATTAAACAGAAAGTATTTGATTGTAGGTAAGGTGATTCCTCACAAATGTGCAAAATTTGACTTGGATCTTACGGAAATTAAATTCATGAAAATTATTTATGCTACACTAAACTAACATGTATGTCTGTGGAAATTACGCCAAGTGCCCGAATATAACTGGCGAAACAAAGAAACCAAACCCAGCACCAGCGTAGCCTACAAATGCCTATCTAGTTTAGTGGGTAGGTTGGGTTTAACAATAATTGTTACTGCAACAGCATTCACATCGTCTAAGGCTTTGACAGTTCCATGTGGACGGAAAGCCCCAAGCGATGCAGATCTTCGAACTTAAGTCATTTGATGAATCTAAATATATAGACCACTCTATATATTGATCAGAAACCTTTCATGCAGCCACACTATGATATTGATCCATATTAATAGCTTTGGGAAACGTTTATACCTCTGGTTTTAATTACCTGTCACATGTTCGGAGTGAGAGTGAGATGAATAAGTATCAATATTGTTTCAATGTCAACACGACCCGCACATACCGTTACAGCTAACCGTTAACAGTTCGTGGTGACCAGTATGTGGCAACCCATGCCCACCATTAACAATACTTCCTTGATACCCTGTTTAGTGCCATAACGGTAAAAATTAAAGACTTATCAACTATTGACAAATGTCTTTGATCATTTGCAAATTTGACATGAAAATCACAAAACTGAATGAATTATTATAACATTTTTGAATCGTGAATCGACACTTTAAAACATATTTGATCAGTGAAAAGGTTGATCTTCTCAGCAATATTGCAGGCATATTGCTAAAACATGGACATGTTGATACAACGACATGTCTGTCAAAAGGATAGATAGTAACACAGGCCACAAAAACGTGAAGAAAATGCACAAACACAACGGATGAATGAAACGATTGGAAAATTCCTAGATCGATAGATGTAAAAAAAACCTATAATTTTATATATAGCTATATAACAGAGAATTATACATAGACAGACACGTCTGAATAAAAGCAACAAAAACTTTCCACATTCATACAAGTCTCGATTGTCTATTGTGAAATTCGCACTATGTAATGAACATGTGTGTATGCATCGCTGTGGAATAGTGATGATACCAGGTGTACGTGCAGTCAGGATGAGAATTGGTTTGAAGTATAGTCTGTTTGCACTGAAAACGTACCAATGAATGTCAATTAAACAAAAAAGTAACTCGAATAAGATGAAATTAAGATTGCGAATCCTCATAATTTTACCTTGCCAACTGACCATTTAAATCTCAGAATTTTATTCTAAATTTTCACTTAATTTCTTAATTTGATTTACATTTTAGTTTAAAGTGAAATTCATCGGTACGTTTTCACTGCAAACAGACTATAACCTATGTGCGTCTTCAGAGATGATTTAATGGATCAATTGATAAGAAACGGTGATTTGTTCACCGCATGTCATAATATGTAATGTTTCATAATATCTATCACAGCAAAGTATAAGTACAACGTATGTTCTTACGGTCAACTCTTCATTGGGAATGACAAGGTCCTTCAGGATCTCTAGGTCACAGATGAACAGTTTATTGTTCTTGAGAGCCGTCTTCACCGACTGTCCCTCCAGGAAGGGCTTTATCATACTGTCAGAAACTGCAAATCTGGGGAAAACAATCATGATAATTAAAATACAGTAATAATAACTGATATCTGGAAACAGAACAAAAACATCCGATAATAGATAGTAACCTGGAGATACGTGACATACGTTCAAGGAAAGCTACAACGGCGTGTTATTTAAACAATCACAATAAAAGTCACCAAATCAACACCACGTATGTAAAACTGTTTTATCTGCACACCCATTCCTCTGTCATTAACATCTGGTGTTGATTGTTAGTGTTTAGGCGTTATTTATAAACCTCAATTAACCTACATCCTTGGGACAATTTGACATATATCGACTATCGAGGGGTGACTGAAGTTCTGAGCCTATGTGGGACTGCGTTGATGCAGTTTTTGACATGTGTGCTTGGGTGTATAGAATGTCGCCATAGGGTTGTTATCCTCCAGAACACAACTGAAGTCCTCCTCATAATAATTACAAGAGTCAGAGACTGATGATGCCGAATCTAGCGAGTACGGATGATGTTGCATGAGTTCAAAGCCAGAGTCATCTGTTGGAGATACGGATACAACAGACTTCCTCACGGTTGTATCATCCTGTCAGAGCGACACATGCACAGTGGGCGAGTTTTCCATGGGCTTGATATTCTCAGTTGACTACGCCCATCAGCATAATATAATCATTGGTCGGGTGTTGGGGATACTTGATGACAACAGGGTAACCAGTTTGTCGATTTTCATCAACTGAGTATACTCAGTCACACCTTAGTGCACATGCAGTCTGAAGGGTGGGAGGCAATATACATAAAACTGCAAATATGCACTACTCATCATTTGTAGTGAAGCTCAAACTTTTAATTCACCCCTTGTATATGTATCCCAAAGGAAAGGAAAGAATGCTGGTATAATATGATGGGGCCGATAAGAAATTTTAGTGGATCTTATACGATCACATTAACAGAGTTAGTGTTTGGTTTAACATCTTTGAACAGTATTTCAGAAATCACGAAGGGCGGTGGAATAGCATTCGCTCTTCATGCTGAAGACTCAGGTACGATTTCCCACATGGGTACTATGTGTGAAGACTATTTCCTGTGTCACCCGTCGTGCTATTGCTGGAATAGTGCTGAATGCGGCGTAAAACCATACTCACTCACTCATGTATAATCACCATATAGCTGGAATATTGCTGAGTCTGTCGTTACACAACAAACAACCATTCATGAAGACAGCTTGGGGAGATAGCCACGAGTGTGACTGTATGGTGCTGACCATCTTGGATATATACTCATGGAAACAAATAAGGGAACACATAAAAGTACAAGTGTACCTTATTCTTTTCTAGGTTTCTTCACAAGGTATGCACTGTGAGTGAACTTCTAGAAATAAATAAAGGAACACATGTACTTTCATGTGTTCACTTATTCGTTTCTATGAGTATATTATGTCAGCTGGGACCCATTATCATTTTGGCTCATTTCAGACCGAACAGCGAATTGCGGTGCATTAGGCGAATAGGTTCGCCTTATTGGAGAACGAGGTCACGAGACTTGTGTGTGTCTAGAATATCGATACAGTTCTATTTTCAAAGTGTGGGCATATACACTGGCACAGAACTAGCACAGTTACCCTCACCCTGGATTCAGTGAATGACAGATATAACACACCGCCACAGGTACTACAACAACACTTACTTTTTAGGGATTTCCGAGCAGAGTTTGATGAGCATCGGGTTGACACCGTTAAGTCGTTGATAACCAAAGCACCAGTCTTCTTGCCAGAACAGTTGACACTGAAGACCATACAGAACAAAGAAAGAATGATTTTATGGATGAATGGATGGATCATGGAATGAATGAATGGACTTCAGCTTACTGTTGTTGGAATACGATTCATCCATTTCACGATGTGACCTTTTTTTCTGAGGGAATCTCGAAACAAGTTGCAGGCTGTTAGTATTTGGTGAACACAGTGGATTGGTTGCTGAGTAAGTGAGTTTACGCCGCACTCAGCAATGTTCCAGCTGTATGGCGGCGGTCTGTAAATAATCGAGTCTGGACCACACAATCCAGTGATCAACAGCTTGAGCATCGATCTGCGCAATTGGGAACCGATGACATGTGTCAACCAAGTCAGCGAGCCTGACCACCCGATCCCTTTAGAAGCCTCTCACGACAAGCATGGGTTACTGAAGATCAATTCTAACCCGGATCTTCACGGGTTATTAGACGTTGGTCAACACCACGGACAATGGTATGGGAATCAAAATAACCCAGCATCATAACCAGAATGAATCTAAAATTCGGAAAAAGCTTTCCAAGAATTCTGGCACGTTAACGGTACAGCCACAGACGATTGAACCAAGTGTGTTTCTGTTAATGAATTGTGTATGTAACATCACATGAAAATATGTGGTATAGCAGCTGTGAAAATACATGGCACCATAACGGTTGTTTCGAAGCATGATTGATACAAATATTTAAATATGCATCATACGATCGATGTAGGTGAATGTTGCTACTGTTGTCTAGTGTGTTTGTGTTGCTGTTCCTAGGATATACAACATGCACTAATATGCATATTCTTTTGTCAAAAGCAAAACTAATGTGTATGCTTCTGAGCCTGAACATTTTTTAAAACACGTCCTTAAGCTCTAAATGACTCATTTAAAGGCGGAATCAAATTACAAATGGCCTGCGGTGTGGCTGAAAACGTTTTGTAGCAGAATGCCTGAAGTGAAATGTTGATATATGATCGGCAACAGCGGGTGACGTGACATGATAAACGGGACATATTCCCTCTGTCAACTCCTATATGTGAATAATTCCAGCGACAGTTCAAAGCAGGACATTCATCAGATATGTTATACTTTCACATTTCGGCTTATAGTTAAACGCAAAATGAATATAATGTTACAACGTGTGTGCTCTCAATTGATGTACGTCCTATGGTAAAGACATAATCATTGACAGCGATGGAAGTTAATTTCAAAGCTTTCATACAAATGTTTAGTTATACAACACCCAGGATGATATGTATATGTATGGTCCTGCTGAGCTGTGGAAACAGTCGGATCTCGTGTTGTATTATACCAATACTATTACTTCCAGTTCCAGCTCTGAGCAACTAGGGCTGTGTACTGGCAAATAAACGTATTGCAAAACATTGCGAATGAGGTACCAGTATTGCGATACGTATTGCGTTATTGGGAGCTACGTGTTTGACAGTGAGTGCCACTACTTGTACATGTTGATCCTATTTTCTACATTCTAAGTACCTAAACATATATGTTATGGTTCTCTCAAAATCAGGTTCGATAGTCAGGGATACTATTGTCTTTTTTATACAATTTAAAGTATTACATGTGTACAATGTGTGAAGCCCATTTCTGGTGTCCCCCGCCGTGATGTTGCTGGAATATTGCTAAAAGCGGCGTAAAACCAAACTCAGTCAGTCATTCAGTCAGTATAGTATTACAGTATGCCGTTTTGTCATTGAATAATGAAGGAAAACATTGGTTGTATATTAATGTCTGTGTAGTATTAATTTAAACCATAAAGATAATCACAAAAACTTCATATACGTTTTTACCCAATATACCGGTTCTCAGAATAAATATTGCAATTATTATACGTATCGTTGAAAAGCGTAGTGCGATATACCGGTATACCGGTAATACCGTGCAGTCCTACGAGCAGCTGTTGGTTACTGCGGACATCCCAAGTGATACAAAACTATATCTGAAAACATCTGTGGCAGCTTTGAATGCAGGAACATATACCAAAACTGATCTATGCAAATATAACTTGTTACACATCCAATAGATATGAACACTAAGCAATTATTTCCAGTAATCTCCCTTTGTCATGTCATGAACCCTCACAGACTGACATGGAGTAACAAGACGGAGTATCACCTTGGGGATGTAGAATTCCTCACTGGCATAAATCCCCCCCCTATATCCTGCAGGCACGTCCACTCGTCCTTCTTCAGCTGCTGCGCCCGTGTCTCCACCAACTCCACCACGCTGCAACGCTGAATACAGTGAAGTTTATTTAATCGGTGGACTGACCGAAAGACAGTGTTTGTAATGTGAACAGGGAATTGTTTTACATGTATCTATGAAATGTATCGTCTAAAATGGCTTTTGTCGAAAGTACTTTACCGAAATCGGAAACATAACTTAGTAATAGATGCAGTCAGCTGTTGAAAGCTGATTAAATACCGAACTGATAAGCTAGTTCGGAAAGCAGAAAATGTTTTTGTATTTACCGAATTATCCATGTTTGATTATCTTGATTATCATGACTATTTGAAGAGACATGTATACTACTATCGTACTCTCCTCGACAGATGGTAATTATGCATGCTTAGACAGTTAGTATAGTGCCAGTTGTACTGTTACATAATATAAACACACCTTGAAATCATCGGGGAAGGCTTCATCATCGGGAACCTGTGCCACCTGTAATGGACGTCGTCGTCATCATCGTCATTATTATTATGTTTTACAGATTAAAGATAATATGCAGCAGAGCGGGGTCGGGTGATCCTGGCACAGTCAGGCTGGTATTTTAAAGGCTCATCATCAGGGCCCTTGCCCCCTTTACACGCAGCCCAGACAGCGATGAACTTCTCCCAGGAAACGCTGCCTAATGGAACCCACCAAGAACTTTCCGGAGAATATGTAGACTCCCCAACACTGCAGCCTTCTCCATTACTCAGAGTGTCAGAAGGGCTGTGTACCCGTTGGAGAACCCGGACACTCCTGATCTGCGCCAAGAGATCAGGAGGTACCAAACCAAGGGCACCGAGAACAATGGGGAGCCTGACGACAGTGTACTTGGGATGCAAGCAAGACATTTCAAAATCGAGGTCCGCATATTTAGTATGCCTTTCCTGAATCATTATTATCATAATCATCATTATTGCAAATCTCACAGTACTCACGTCAATTGTTAGTATCTTCATGATAACGATTACTTCATAATAGCTTTCACATTTGTCATTTCGTCACCGTTGTATTCATCATAGTTATATTGATGATGATGACGATCATCTTCATCTTATAAATCTAAACATGCATGCATGTTATGTTTATCACGTATTCACGTTTGTTTCAAATATAGGGTGTTATTCTAATTGCCATCCATTCCATAATCAACATCATAATGTAACAGTGCCCTTAAGTGACTCAGTACCATTGCATATCAGTGTTTAGCTAACAGTGAGTGAGTGAGTGAGGTTAGTTTTACGCCGCACTCAACAATATTCCAGCTATATGGCGGCGGTCTGTAAATAATGGAGTCTGGACCAGACAATCCAATGACATGTGTCAAGCAAGTCAGCGAGCCTGACCACCCGATCCTGTTAGTCGCCGCTTACCACACACATGGCTTGCTGAATTCTAACCCGAGTTACCAATGGAACACAAACCAGCCTCTCCTGTAGTTTACCTGAATGGGCAGTGTGGTGTCGGCAGTGGACAATTTGTAGGCTCTTCTGGTCTCCTCCAGTTCCACCTCCCGTTGTTCAGTATTGACGTCATCTTGCGGAAGTGACGTATCATACTGGTGTATGACGTATCTATAACTCGGTCGAATCCATCTGAACACAGGAAACGTGTATTCGACATTGTAATCCGGGTCCTCAATAATAACCGTCTCAAGAAACCAAGTACTTGTCAGTCCTGTGTAGTCTCGCCAAATCTCGATCCGGTCAACGGGAGAGGTCAAGGCCGCGAATTTACTCTTCGAAAGTTCGAACACATCCTTTTTTCCGCGATCAAAATTCGATTCGAAGAGCTGATTCAATTTGACCTCATCCGAAGAATTTCCTTCTTCATCCTTTGCTACAAACCACACACAAGCATTTGTACCTGCACATTTCCTGTCCCCGGTCTTCGCAGTGACAATGATATGACTACCTTGGTTGTTCCCCATCTTCCTTGACGGCGCTCACACCGACGTCAACTCCAGCGCAGCTCGCAAAGTCTCCTGGTGCTGTGATGGAGCGTGGTGGGAGACTACTGCCATCTGTCGACCGGTGGTATTGTGCTTCTATTCACCTGCTGTTAGAAGCTACCTAAGCGTGGTGAATATATGGATTTTATTTCTTAAAATGTCACACAGGCAGCAATGACTATGTATCAAGAGGTAGGTATATGTGAAATAAATTGAATAATACGCTGTCAATAAATTTGCAAGGTTGAATATAAGCATAAATACAAACGCGTAGGGGTTGAAGCTGATATTTGCATCAGGCGATCTCATCAGGCGATAGCTCCGTTTGACGGACTGTATAACTGTTAATCAATACTAGAATGTTGATGAATACATTTCCATATGTATGTACGTGTCCTCAAAGTGGGATGTTAATAGGTTTCTGAATCTATTGCTTGGTTCGTTGTTTAATGCTGCACTCAGCAATATTTCAGCTATATGGCGGCGGTCTGTAAATAATCGAGTCTGGGCCACACAATCCAGTGATCAACAGCATGAGCATCGATCTACGCAATTGGCATACAATGACAACCACGTCTGATCACACGTTCCCGTTAGTCGCCTCTTACAAGCATGGGTTGCTGAGATCAATTCTAATCCGGATTTTCGCGGGTCCTGAATATATCAATTCTGTGTTAACATTACACATTTACATTGCTTAACTGTGTTGTCAACAAGTGAGTTAGTGAGTGGCGATATCCATTAGGCACGACAATGTTTTTATGTGTTTCAGTTTGCGTACATCTATGAGCCTCGTGGAGGTTCTTACATATTGTTTGTTTGTAAAGCACGTTGACTGAATGTTCTATAAAAAACACTTAAGTTTTGTTATTCAGGTATGTCACGTCAAGATGCACACATTTGTTATTCACGTATGTCACGTCAAGATGCACACATTTGTTATTCACGTATGTCACGTCAAGATGCACACATTTGTTATTCATGTATGTCACGTCAAGATGCACACATTTGTTATTTACGTCAAGATGCACACATTTGTTATTCACGTATGTCACGTCAAGATACACACATTTGTTATTCACGTATGTCACGTCAAGATACACACATTTGTTATTCACGTATGTCACGTCAAGATACACACATTTGTTATTCACGTATGTCACGTCAAGGAGCACACATTTGTTATTCACGTATGTCACGTCAAGATACACACATTGTTATTCACGTATGTCACGTCAAGATACACACATTGTTATTCACGTATGTCACGTCAAGATACACAAGATACACATTTGTTATTTGTTATTCACGTATGTCACGTCAAGATACACACATTTGTTATTCACGTATACCACGTCAAGATACACACATTTGTTATTCACGTATGTCACGTCAAGGAGCACACATTTGTTATTCACGTATGTCACGTCAAGATGCACACATTTGTTATTCACGTATGTCACGTCCAGACACACACATTGTTATTCACGTATGTCACGTCAAGATACACACATTTGTTATTCACGTATGTCACGTCAAGATACACACATTGTTATTCCTGTCACTTCGTATTTTGGTTTTGTGTGTTTGAACGCCCCACTCAGCATGTGCATTGTCAAGTATGGAGCAGACACTCCTGTGATTGATATTGTAAACAACGGTCCAACCTTCTTAAAGTGGCATTTAGAAGATGGTATGATGGAGAGGACCACTTTTGATGGATAGACATCTGTATTGCAATAGATGTGACGTTTCGGTGTTGCAATACGATGGCACGCTCTCAACAAAGACGACTTTAGTCGCCCCTTACGATAAAGATAGGGGACCATGAATCTCTGTACAGCGCAGTAACAGTATCACATCTGTATTCTTACAGGCGATGATACGACAGGCATTTTCCCACTTCAGTAAGTCGGCAATTGCTCAGTGACGTTTGAGTTAGTGAGTCTGTGAGTGAGTGAGTGGGTCTGTGAGTGAGTGAGTGAGTGGGTCTGTGAGTGAGTGAGTGTAATTTTTCGCCACTTGTAGAAATATTCCAGCAATATCACGGCGGTGGACACCAGAAATGTGCCCATGTGGGGAATCGAACCCGGGTCTTCTGCGTGACGAGCGAACGCTTTAACCACTAGGCTACCCCACCGCCACAGTGATCTCTTTCAGTCATTGTCACATGATTCTCACAAATTGCTCATGCATATCTTTCCATGACATTTTCTCTTATCAAATTGCTTGATAAAACTACAAACGTTCAAAGATTTGCGTTTGTTTATGACACCAGTTAACGAGCATGTAAGAAACATTGCAGTACACGACTGAACAAAATCAGCATTCTCATCATCTCGTGTGTTTTCTCTTTTGAAGAGTGTATTTCACCGAAAATACACGACAACACAGCTTATATACATATAGGCTGACATCCATGTATATATGTAAAAAGATTTGCATTTTCTGATTTGTTTTGTTTTGTCATACAATGAACATAAAGTTACAGCTACTATGGGAGTGGAAAAAGCATGATAAAAAGCATTAGCGGAATAAAGAAACTGTTTGCGATAATTAGCAATTCATGGAACTATTAGCTATCCCTCCATTACTAGAATGTCTATAAAGGATGAATGTATTGCACTATTTCTGTATTTGTTACCGATCAATCGCTTGTCATCCGAAATATCTTTTTCAACTGCTATATTTACAGATGTGGAGGAAGTCATTCTCTCTCAAACACCTCCTCCCGCTCCAACACCGCCGACTACACCAAAACGACCCCAACTACATAGCAACTGCACCCAAACTACACCGCATCTACAGCCCTTACCACTTCATCATCGATATCTTATTCTTGACAGCCTCCCGCCTGTCGATGAGCCGTCTTCATCAACCACAACACCACCTCCCACTACACCATCACAACACAACCTCCCACGACACCATCACAACACCAACATTACCACTACACCATCTACCACAACACCACCTCCCACGACACCATCACAACACCAACATTACCACTACGCCATCTACCACCACACCACTTCCCACGACACCATCACAACACCAACATCTACCAATACACCATCTATCACAACACCACTTCCCACGACACCATCACAACACCAACATGTACCAATACACCATCTACCACAACACCACCTCCCACGACACCATCACAACACCAACATCTACCAATACACCATCTATCACAACACCCCCACGACACCATCACAACACCAACATGTACCAATACACCATCTACCACAACACCACCTCCCACGACACCATCACAACACCAACATGTACCAATACACCATCTATCACAACACCACCTCCAATGACACCATCACAACACCAACATCTACACCAATACACCATCTATCACAACACCACCCCCACGACACCATCACAACACCAACATGTACCAATACACCATCTATCCACAACACCACCTCCCACGACACCATCACAACACCAACATGTACCAATACACCATCTACCACAACACCACCTCCCACGACACCATCACAACACCAACATCTACCAATACACCATCTATCACAACACCACCACCCACGACACCATCACAACACCAACATGTACCAATACACCATCTACCACAACACCACCTCCCACGACACCATCACAACACCAACATGTACCAATACACCATCTATCACAACACCAACATGTACCAATACACCATCTACCACAACACCACCTCCCACGACACCATCACAACACCAACATCTACACCAATACACCATCTATCACAACACCACCCCCCACGACACCATCACAACACCAACATGTACCAATACACCATCTATCACAATTCCACCTCCCACGACACCAACATCTACTAATACACCATCTATCACAACACCACCCCCCACGACACCATCACAACACCAACATGTACCAATACACCATCTATCACAACACCAACATGTAACAATACACCATCTACCACAACACCACCTCCCACGACACCATCACAACACCAACATCTACACCAATACACCAAATACCACAACACCACCCCCCGACACCATCACAACACCAACATCTACCAATACACCATCTATGACAACACAACCTCCCACGACACCATCACAACACCAACATGTACCAATACACCAAATACCACAACGCAACCTCCCACGACACCATCACAACAACAACATCTACCAATACACCATCTATCACAACACCACCTCCCACGACACCAACATGTACCAATACACTAAATACCACAACGCAACCACCCACGACACCATTACAACACCAACATTACCACTACACCATCCACCACAACACCACCTCCCATGACACCATCACAACACCAACATCTACCAATACACCATCTACCACAACACAACCTCCCACGACACCAACATCTACCAATACACCATCTATCACAACACCACCCCCCACGACATCCAACATCTACTAATACACCATCTATCACAACACCACCTCCCACGACACCATCACAACACCAACATGTACCAATACACCATCTATCACAACACCACCTCCCACGACACCATCACAACACCAACATCTACCAATACACCATCTATCACAACACCACCTCCCACGACACCAACATCTACTAATACACCATCTATCACAACACCACCACCCACGACACCAACACAACACCAACATGTACCAATACACCATCTACCACAACACCACCTCCCATGACACCATCACAACACCAACATGTACCAATACACCATCTACCACAACACAACCTCCCACGACACCATCACAACACCAACATGTACCAATACACCATCTATCACAACACCACCTCCCACGACACCAACATCTACTAATACACCATCTATCACAACACCACCCCCCACGACACCAACACAACACCAACATGTACCAATACACCATCTACCACAACACCACCTCCCACGACACCATCACAACACCAACATGTACTAATACACCATCTATCACAACACAACCTCCCACGACACCAACATCTACTAATACACCATCTATCACAACACCACCACCCACGACACCATCACAACACCAACATGTACCAATACACCATGTATCACAACACCACCTCCCACGACACCATCACAACACCAACATCTACCAATACACCATCTACCACACCTCCACGACACCATCACCACGACACCATCATCACAACACCGAACATGTACCAATACACCATCTACCACAACACCACCTCCCACGACACCATCACAACACCAACATCTACCAATACACCATCTACCACAACACCACCTCCCACGACACCATCACAACACCAACATGTACCAATACACCATCAACCACAACACCACCTCCCACGACACCATCACAACACCAACATGTACCAATACACCATCAACCACAACACCACCTCCCACGACACCATCACAACACCAACATGTACCAATACACCATCAATCACAACACCACCTCCCACGACACCATCACAACACCAGCATCTACCAATACACCATCTATCACAACACCACCTCCCATGACACCATCACAACACCAGCATGTACCAATACACCATCTACCACAACACCACCTCCCACGACACCATCACAACACCAACATGTACAAATACACCATCTACCACCAACACCACCTCTACCATAACAGCTACTCCACCACCGTTCTCTACACCACCACCCACGACAGCACCCAACAATACTCATCCTCCCTGTACACAACACAGCCTCCAACTATACCATCATATTTTCAGAATTAATGTTATGAAATACACTTTGTATTTTTGTGTTTTTTTGTGATCAGTTCATGAAATAAAATATGAAGCCGTTTCTTTGATTTATGTAATATTTACGTGTGTAACATTACAAATATAAACATTAAATTCAAATGTCCCCCCGTTAGGACTAAGTAACGTCCTGATTATAGATATGTTCTCAGAACTTCTCAGAACAACAAGACTTCATTCATGTATTCAGTTTGTCCAACAGAACGGTCCGCCGAAATCGTGAATAGAGCAAGACGACCTATCACATCCCGTTGTTATCCCCAGTGCACAAAGCAGCACGACTGGTTTGGTGTCAGGCTGAACGTCACTGGAATTTGACATCATGGGGAAGGGTCCACCAGTCGAACGAAAGTTGATTTCATTTTGGTCATGACTGATGGCCGAGCTTGTATTTTACGCCGCAGAAACACTGCATATGCGCTACAGAATATCTTGGAGCAAGTACCGTTTGGTGGGTGTTCATTGTTGGTGTGGTGGTACCTCTCACATGACTGTTAACTTGACCATGTGACGATCAGAAAACATTTGAGTGGACAGCGGTACATCACTAACATCATAGACAGCGTCGTTGTATCACAATTTGATGATCATCCTCTGAATGGTCAAGGCCGGTCTTCATAGACTACAATGCTGTGCCACATCTTACACGTGTCGTTGGTGATGTCGTACGTCAAGAGGCGGTAACAACGCTACCCTCGTCCTCCAGGAGTCCCAATCTTAATCTCATAGAACTTCTTTGGGACATTAAGGGCCACAGATTACGACAGAAAGATCTTCCAGAACAAAATCTTGCTGAGTTGGAACAAACCCTCCATCAAGAATGGAACGCAATACCTCAACGTCAAATTCAACGTCTGGCACAATGAGAAGGAGGGTCAGAGATGTCATTGCATTTGGCAGAGGTTATACCAGATAATGACATATATTATCGGCCAGTGTAGAGCAAGACGACCATCAGACGTCCGTTGTTATCTCCTGAGCAGAAATCAGCACTTGCTTGGTGTCGAGCACACACACACGCGTACGCACACATACACACGCACGCACGCACGCGCAAGCTTACCTTGATATCAACCAAACACTGAATGTGTTACTTCAGTATTGTCGAGCATTGCAAAATTTGACTTTTGAGGCGAACGTAAAATCTAGTATAGCACGGGGGCTTCACGTTGCCAGTTGTGTTGTGAGTATGGTTTTACGCCTCTTTTAGCAATGTACCGGCTATATCGCTGCATGGGACACTAGAAATGGGCTTCACACATTATAACCATGCGGAGAATTGAACCTGTGTCCAACGCATGTCGGACGAACGCTTTAACCACAAAGCCACAAACCACAAAGCTGCCTCACCGCCCCTCAAGATCCGGGCTAAAATAGGTCTTCAGCAACCCATGCTTGCCACAAAAGGCGACTATGCTTGTCGTAAGAGGCGACTAACGGGATCGTTGGTCAGGCTCGCTGGCTTGGTTGACACTTGTCATCGGTTCCCAATTGCGCAGATCGATGTCATGCTGTTGATCACTGGATTGTGTGGTCCAGACTCGATTATTTACAGACCGCCGCCATATAGCTGGAATATTGCTGAGTTCGGCGTAAAACTAAACTCACTCACTCACTCAAGCAGTCGAGCCTGAGACCGATGTGGTAAAAACTCCTTCTAAACACATGTGGGTGCTTGGTATCTAACTCCCGATCATTGATTGCTGGGCCTAAAAACTGAATAGCTGTTGGTGGCTGAAATTTACTTAAATGTTTAAACAGAGAGTCACTTTAATGCTGTCAAAATACGTTTGAAACAATACCTACAACAGTGTTACACGAAATATATTTTCAGGAAATTAAATCTACGTTTACCGCAACCCTTGTCACATTGCCATCTAACTGCTTTAGAGTCAGTGAAATCTGTGAAGATCCGGGTTAGAACTGAACACATGTTTGTCTGTTCCTGGAGTTCAAGACGACAAACAGGATCGCATGGTTAGGCTCGCTAACTTGGTCGTCGGTTCATGTCATTGCATCATAAATGCCAATGTCGAGGATCATGATGTCAGTCACCGGATTGTTTGACCCGAACGAACAAACAATAGGTGGAAACGTGACAAGTGGCGTTATAATACACCGTATTCAACACGGTCGTTTTCATGCACGCTATTTTCACACATAACAGATGGATGAGGATGCGACAATGAGTGATAGTCTGTACTTAAAATCTGAGGTTTCGATGTCATTAGTTTTAATGCGAGAAACTGAAAACGTTACGTTGTCGCTCTTTTGAACGAAAGTCTAAAGAAGTCACGTACATGCATGTAGTACAAATTATTTCAAAATTTCTTATTGTTTCTTTTCTTTCTAAAACCTGAAACTTAATTGAAAAGCAACCGAAGTAACGAGAAAATACTCCAAATTCAAGAAAATATTTTGATTAACGAGAAAATAATGAAAACAACAAAACATAATCGAAGCGACGAGAAAATAATCGAGGCAACGAGAAATGTCGATTAAAAAATATATTCAATAGCGGTGTTCGCTGGCTTAATTGCGAATCTAAGGGGAGATAACCAACCCCCCCCCTCCCTTTAAACAATTCTAAAACGGGTATGTACGACGTAATTCAACTGAACAAAAATATAACAGTTTGTTCAGTGTTGGACGAATATAGGCCTTTAAAGGCCAAGGTCGCCCTCAAACCTTATCTACCTACCTACCTACCCCAAACAATTCACTGCATAAATTTATTTCCTCCTATATTCCTCCAGGACATATAAAGCGAAATATCATCGCCACAATAAAGTGGTCAAATATATTGCTGAGTTCATCTCACTACGGACTATTTTTTTCCTAGAAATTTCTAAATGCTATGTTGAAATTTTAACATAATACTAATGACATTTCAAAATAAGAGCTTGAGGACACTAAGCTAATTTCTAAATATGCTTCACGTATCATAAACACAGAGAATAGTAATGACATGCTACAAATGTCATTCGTCATGACAATATCATTATGTCGTTTACAAGGAATTCAACATTTTCAGAAATAAGTTTTATTTTTATATTTGTTTATTAATTGGTCATATGTGGGGGAAGGTGCTCTGTATTTCAACCTACGGAATTAATTTTTTTATCATACATTGCACTTTCGAACTGGTCCCTAAGGTTTGTCAACCCTGGACGCTGTTAATGTGTAATGCATTGAGTCTGTTATGCCACATTCACTATGTGCATGTTTCTCCAGTATAATGCTCATAAGACCCGTTTACCTCAGGTGTTATAGCATCTCCTGACTGTCAGGGGCCACATTATCAATCATCCGTCTCAGACAGGTAAGCTTCATTCTAGACCAATCAAATGTCGCCGCTCTCTACGCATGCTGCGTTTAAGCGAACAGTTTCCTTTCCCATACTCAAGAACATGCTGATATTGAACCACCAGGAACAACAACGACCGCCTTATTATGCCATTCTTGGGGTATGGCTATATAAAGACATAATCCCAGTTCAACGACGGAAAGATATTATGATATTTGAGTGATACCGTTACAGTGAGATTGCATGATTGTATCGCCGAAACGCAGCCTTGTTCTAATATTCAGATCAGAAGTCGCACATTGAGGTGGAATGCGCGCCATTGTTGTTTGTGGAAAATGCTTTAAAGGGATTTGAAAGGTAAGTTATTACTTGAAGAAAGTGGCAAACAAACTCAACATCCTGTTTTATTCATAATATCTGCAACATTACAACTATCAACCTTTGGCGGAGTCTGCATTTTGGGTATTGTGCGTAACAGGTCAAATGTATGCTTGTCGACTGAATTTTGTTTGAAATATCATAAACTAATGATTATGCGGTATGTGGTTAATTGTAATCACATTTTCATGATTGTGGCTTATATTTTAATGTCATATTTATATACTCAAAGCTATATTTTCAACTGGACAGATTGTAGGTCAACGGCGCTGCCCGAATTAATCTACTAGTATGACAAAGTGACGAATACTATTTACACAATATGGGGCATTGTTCTTGCTAATTGTGGGAAAAAAACAAATTAACATTATCAAGTTTGCAGTACATTGATGAAGAATGATCCCTGATACCGAAAGGCAGAAACTGATTTTCGCCATAAATTTATACACGACACTATACTTTACACAGAACACTGAATATGAGACAAAGGGCTTAGAAGAATAATTTAGAAAATAATAAATCTATTTATCTTATTAATCTCGTATATTTCCGCCTCACATCAAGTTTTTGTTTGAATATTCGACTTTGAGTTTTCATATGTTTTGTTTAGAAACTTTTTCCTACACATAGTTTTAACTGAAATTCAAATGTCCTTAAATCTTACCTCTCAAATATTGTTCTGTTCTTTTCACATAACGAATGTCCTGGCAAACGTGAACAATCACAGGAGGAAAATATTTCTGTTGTGGAACACTGACTAAACTAAACATAAACATATCACACAATCCATCCCACCCCAAACTCAGAATATTACTCAGTTATTGCATTTCGTGAATGAATATTAAATGCTCATTAAATCAGTGCAGGTAATCTGAATTCCAAAGATTCCAACGTATCAAACAATTAGAATCCTCGCGTTAGGAAACGAGATGTAATTTCTGTCCACTTCCCATCTGTCTTGACTGACCATTACTCAGTTGTATATGTAATACGCAAGTCACATTTCGGCCTTGTTCTCAAGTCGTTCATCAGATGCTCCCTCGACGCTGTCCTTCGAACACGGAAGTGTAGAAAATTGTTTCATTTCAGATGTCAAGATCAATGAGATTTATCTTGTATACTCAACTGCTTTTGATACCAATTCTAGTCAAGGAATCATTCCAACAAATCCATGTTTTTGGTGAGTATAATATGATTTGATATATAAAGTTAAAACGAGAGAAAAATATGTATGTATGTATGTATGTATGTATGTATGTATGTATGTATGTATGTATGTATGTATGTATGTATGTATGTATGTATGTATGTATGTATGTATGTATGTATGTATGTATGTATGTATGTATCACTTTAATATTGTAATATTATTATGTACGATTTAGATATTATATAAAATATATGTATACATATTGTAATGTTAATGTCATCAAATGCTGTAGAATTATATAAATAGCATAAAACAACGACCGTTTGACGTTGACATTATTAAGTCTTTATCTCAAAAACCGCCTGATTTTTTAACTGTATTTCCTGTTCTATTTATATGTCTCACCACTTAAATGTCTTCCTCGTTTACCTATTCCCAGTTTTTGTACAACCCACTTACATAACGGATTCATCACAGGAGCATGTTGAATGCCGCAGGCAATATCCTGTCAGACGCTATATCATACATAATGTCTTTATACGAAACCCACTCTTACAGCTGACTTTTAACCTTTGACACAGATTGTCCGTCCGACTGGGTCAGTTCCTGGTCGGAGTGCTATAAGTTTGTCAGCTTTCCCGAGGAATCACACGAGAATGCGCGAGCTGCATGCGCAGTAAGTTGAAATAACTACAAATATGCAATAAAATGTTGAAATTAAAAATAAACAAAGATTTAGATAAAGGACAAAATATTACAGCATGGATTCGGTCACAAACCCAGCTCAGAGCAATTATTCTTCTGCTTAAATTGTGTTAGGTCTTTGTTTAAATGCGTCTTGGTAATATATGTATTCACCGCATTAAGTTATTGTTGTTAGAAAATGTAGAACCACTTACATTTAATTAATGTAAGTGTCAGGTGCTACACATGCTTACCCTTAGCCAGGAATAGAACATGCTTACCCTTCTGTGAACACCTGGTGTCATCACTGATTTTCTGTGATCAGGTTAAACGCTTTTCATCTCTATATAATCTTTTTACGGTCAATGGAATTATCTGTTTTGCCGGTAATCGAGACTTGTTATTCTCTTGCGTTGACGTGTTATACTTATGGAACAATTATTCATATAAACAATTTTAAGAAAAGTAAAAGGGCATCACCGAATAAATTTCGTTATTTTAAACCGGGCTGTGTCTCCATAAATAAAGGTCTCTCCAAAACCTTCTATGCTAAAGAAGTTTATTCTAAGGGAGATGGAGTGTTTATGTATTTTCTCGACTGTGTAATGGTGAGTGTTGTCGAAGTCATAAACCGGTCCGATAAAAGGATATCAGGACCCTGGTTACAATATCCGATAAATATGCAAAAAATCAGATACTCTGGGTGAAAATACGTCAATTCTTACGATTATCTTACGAAGGACATTATTTGATAAAGTGATTGTTAGCCGCGTGTGCTATCGAAAACATGATATAGGTAAATATATATATATAAGTAAGAACAAATCATAATGTTGTTACGCTAAGTACAATGCCTATTCCTAAAATGTGATATTGAAGCTACGGAAACCCGCACGGGTAATAATCTTTATGTCATTGATCTCAACAGTATCACGGAGCGGCCTTGCTAAGCGTGGACAGCAGCCAGGAACATAACTTCATCAGTGATATGATACAGAGGCTGGATCCCTACCAGTAAGTATGAAGGATACCAATTAGATCTAAGTTAGATTGAGTCTTCAGCAACGCACATGGGTCGTAAGAGGCGACTATCAGCTGGCCCTGTACATGCAGTCGCAGCCCAATTGCGTAGACCGCTGCTCGGGATATCGATCACTGGATGGTCCTGGGAGACTCGACCGTCATTTAGTTGCATTGTTGCTGAGTGTGTCGTCAAACAACAAACAAACAGGCATTAGGTTGGTGACCAGTCAACGTGAAATCACACTGCATATATTGTCAATCTGTCTTCAGTGGTTCATTTGTATTATAGTTTATTTTATCAAAGTTCAAATATTTACATATTTGTCTAATAATACACCATAGTTGGTAAAGGCCGTGGAACTCATATAAAGGATCATATAATTTTAGAAAAATGAATGAAATTTTATCATATGTATTTTTTTTACAGAAATGGGGAAAATAAATATTATGAAACCAGTAACTATTGAAGGCATTAAGATTTTAATGAGAGTAATTGTAGGACATTAGGTGTTGATATGGGCACATTGTTTGATTGCACTTTGACACCAGTTTCTTCATCCCTCATCTTTCATCCTTCATCCTTCATCCGTGTGATGCAGGCGGTCATGGTACACAAGCGGGGTACAGAAGTCTCAGGCAACTGGCACAACGACTATGTCCAGCCAAGCCTCGTTTGTGTCTGGTCAAGGGTCACTTCAATCCCCATCCGGGTCACAGGGTCAAGATGATGACATCAATTCAGCCTCCAATTCCCAGTCTGAGTCTGAATCGATGATCGGTTCTTACAAGTGGCTGGGTGACGGAACGGTCGTTGGATTTGACAAGCAGTTCTGGCTTCCGGGTACAGACTTCACCAAAGGGGAAGTCATTGTGTATACATATGGGGGTAGGTACTGTTCATTCGGTTTGAATAAACACGTTTTCAGATGTTTTGAGGCTTAAATTTGTTTGGGAAAAGCGTTGGTACGGCATAATGGATGGATTTCAATCAGTGTCATTTAAAAAATCGTCCATCATTAGAAGTAACACTTTTCTTTGTATTTTTATTGGTTTTGCATAAGAGGCGAGTGAAAGGGAAATATTTTGTAGGAACCTTAATGAAATGAGGGCCAAATATTGCATGAACGCAATCCAAGTATATCGCCGTGATATTGCAGGAATATTGCTAAAAGTGGCGTAAACCATACTCACTCACTCATTCATAATAAACAACTTTAATGTTTGTTTTACAGTGATCGGCTATGGATGGAGTCTGGTGCACCCGGGGGACAAACTGCCTTACATCTGTGAGATTAGCATGGCGGAGTCGTACCGCATCGTGCACATCGAACGGGACTACGGTAAACCTCCTTCACTGTTTCTGTAAACATACACACAAAGTAATTGTTCTGGTTCTACTTTGCTGTCTCAGCGTCATACTCTCCGTTAACCCGATAACCAAATGGGGATTCCAGGGAACTAAAGCTTGTTGAATGGTCCATTTACTCCAGTTACTCGAATACTATCAGTAGTCACTCGTCCCATCAGGTAGACAAAAGAGTCCGGATTAACAGGGTTCCCACCCATGTCTAAACTGAACTATCCATACCTGGACAGTAGCATGGATGTATGACAACAATCAAATTGGGCATAGATGGGAAGTTCTTAATTAAAGTCATTAATTTGATTTAATTTGTGACATCAACATGACGTCTACCAGTAAAGGAATATTCATTATGAATTATCATTTGTTTGTTGTTATTTTCCGATGTTATGGTTATATTCAGCATGTCTGCAAATGGATAACAGATAGACCCCTTTGACATAGCAGTGCATAGCGCTAAAGGGTTCTCAGACCAAACATCCAAAAGACTAAAGTGGTTGTAGTAAAAAGGTCAAATTGTACCTTAAAACATATGATTGTTTTTTATATAAATTTGATGTTGTTGGGATTGTGTTTCAGTTTACGTATCTAGTGGTATTATTCTCGGCCAATGGTAATTTGACGAATACACTAATGTATCTGAAGTAGCTATATTTGCGAGATATACAACATCTTTAGAATTATTTCACCCTCGTGATATTTTTTTCTGTGTGATAAGTTTTTTGTTGTTGAAAAGAATATCACTCAAAAACTCGACTGAACTTGGATGTAAATGTTTTACTTTTGATGCACACTTTCTGGAATGTGATTATTACGCATTAAGTGCGGATCTTTGTTTAACTATTTAGTGCCAGTCACTACAGAATGTGGATTTAAACAAACAGAAATCAATGTCCTTTTGTGTTTGCCACAGAACCCAACAGTTAGGTTATGACTAGGGGATTGTCAAGCAATCAGCTATTTACAGTGTTACTTGCACCTGCCTAACTGATGGGGCATCGAACTAGTGGGAAGACACCGTATCCGCTCCTTCACATGAAATTCTCAGAACCTGTGACTATTGTGTGTTTACGTGCACCGATGGCGTGGCTCAGTGTTTGTATCTCAGTTATGATTCGCCTAGTCTTGACTTTAGGCTTGCTGGCCATCTCGTAAAAGCCTTGATATTACAGACTGCACGGATAGCCTGCATTCACCCTCCTCTCTCATTTTGCCAGGTTCTTTGTTTAAAGCATTTCGTTTACCTATTCAGTGAACAACCCTGTGCACGTAAAAGAACCCACGAATCCGTTGGTAAATGACCAGATGGTGGTCATCTGTTGCAAACACCTAGTTGCGGGTACAGCAACGTGCAGTAAACTTGGACAAAGTACTGTGACTATGTGCCCCAGTCCACCCAGCTGTGAATGGGTACCTCGTAAGGATAGTGGCCTAGTGGCTGCAAAAATTGTATGCTCACCAGGGAGTTGAGATTGAGAATACGATGTGCCGTTTGAGATTGACATCAAGGGAAAAACAAAGCGCCTTTGAGCAGCTGAGCTGGATATTGGCGCTATACAAATACTAGCATAATAATATTCACCCACGCCAGCTGGTGCATAGGTTGCCAGCTCTATTCACTGTCATACACCCTCTGTCACAACAGAGGAGCGCCCAATTGCCACATAACTCGTTGTCCACTCGACTGAAATGATTCTGTCATCAAAAATGGTTGAAAAGATTGTCCTTAATTATTGCCAAACAATTTATTCGTAAAGAATTGCCCAGCTTGTCTTTGCAGAGACAAGTTCGAGGTTACAGTAACTGTTACGGGCTGAGTACCAATGCTCCCCCAACCTTCTGTTGAATATTTAATGGTCATCACTTAATGTGCATCGCCTCAGAGTTACCTTGTATCCTTATACGCTGCTCTCAGAAATATCATTGTGCTTTCAATAGTTGTTTGCTTGCCACAGCTATATAGGGTACCTACATGTACTTTTTCAATTGCCCTTTGCGTTCTTGAAATCCCCCCTTTGTCAACTCTTACAAATATGATTTAAGAGATATTGTGCATGAAATCATGATTATACACCGCAAGGTGTATTATCATCATCGTTATAATTTTTAAATTGCACAAACTGACTGCATGTGTCATGACCTTGACCTCATTTCCAGATTATGGCATTAAGACATACGACCCGAACGAGTTGCTTCGAGGCCCAGCGTTTGTTACCCAGCCCGAGAGTTTGGTAGTGGTCGGCAAGTCAATCAATGCAGTTATTGAATGCACAGCCACTGGAAACCCCCGACCTCAATACAAATGGTTCACCGGACCGAATTTTGAAACGGAAGTGACACCTGAAGTTAGTTCGCGGTACACATTAACCAATGGGAAGCTAATCCTTGAAAACCCAAACGAAAGCGAGGACGCTGATCTATACAGGTGCTCGGTAGAAAACAAGTTCGGCAAGATCCTGGGAAACCCCATCCAGATCTCATTTGGAAGTAAGTGCTCTTCCTTTCACAACGAGTTAGTCCCAGTGCAAAAACGGTTATTACGTGAAATAAATTAGTGATATGTCATTGATTCTGTTGACTTTGTGTACACCAGAAACGTTGCTGTTGCATTACAAACGATCTTGCATGACGTCGTTCCAACAGGAACAACAAAACTTGAACTTGTGACCATAAAACCATTATCTATTTTTAAAGTACATATTCTAACAAATGCATCATGCATTGAAGAACCTATTAATCATATTGGAGGTAGTAGTTTGGATTCAATATGTCTGACTCACTATCAGAAACATCCGATAATCCCGAGGGTATACGTTCCGTACTAAAATTATCGGGCCGAGCCGTAGATGCATCAGGGTACTAGTGGCGATTTATCGGAACGTATACCTTGGAGATTATCGAGGATGTATCAGAAATCGATAAAAATCATAATTTCTACCATGTGAATACCATTGTTCGGCAGTCTATTGTGTAGGGTTGCGTCCTTTATACGTAACAGGATCCGGTGCACATGGATGCGAATGTAAGATTCACCTGATATCATTCCTTGTTTGTCAGCTACATACAATGCCTTTGTTCATTTCACCTGCATCATTTATGGTTTTCCTAACACATCACTCCGACGTCTTGTGGTGCATTGACAAACGGTTCAGAGACGCGATAAACCCAACGTTTTCAGCGTCAATGTTTAATGGAGGTTGATGTGATTATACTCAATTGTGTTTTAAGATCTTGGGGAGTTCTCCAACGTCCCAGACGCTGCCGTCCGCGCCAAGGCCTATGATGGAGTAGCCATACAGTGTAGTCGGATCTCCTACAGGCCAGGTGAGTTGCTTAAATAAGCGAGGTGACGAATTGGTCTTCAACATCAGGTCAACATCTGTTATTTACCGACCGTGTCATACAGCGGCTTGAAACAACGAACAAATAGTGTATGTACTGCTTTAAACCAAGCAAAAACAGTCTCACCTTAACATAGATACCTACCTGAGTGACATCAGCAGTGGGGAGTAAGGATGGGCTAGGGGTTTGGTAGGGTATCTATATTTTTGGGAAATGCAACTTAAACATATCCTTGAAAGAAGCATACAAAGCCTTGTGTTGAGGAGTGTGGCCAAAGGTATATGGTACTGTAACTTTACTGTAATTCAAAATCATATAAACATTTCTAGATCAAACTTGTCTTCTACTTGAAACTTTAATTTCTTTTAAATCTTCTACTGTTATTCAAATTTTGTGAATGGTGGGGAGTGTGTGTGTGTGTGTGTGTGTGCTATCTGTAGGGCAAGATATCCTTACCCTTTCCGCGAACACCTGTGTCATCCTTCATTTTAAGTGGTTTAAACATATTTATTCATTTACTCATGATGGGATTGGCATTTTCATTTTAAGTGATCCAGTCATATAATTTTCAAAACTATTTTCCCTTTACGCCACAACGAATTGTTCCTGAGTATAGTCAAGACTGCCGCTCTTCATTATTTCCATGACAACCAGAGATCGATATTTTAATCTTTAAACCTACTTCTGAATTATGCCACTCCAGTGGTCAGTGAATATTTTGCATTAATAGTAATCGATCAAAGTTTCTTATAACTGCTCATAAGTTTAAGTTTAGGGATACACAAATATGTTTTTAAATAAGGCTATGGTAATCTGAATATGTGAATAAACCACAAATAATAAATAAATTAAATGATGATATACTGTATTAAAATAATTAAAATAACATTTATTTATCATGAATAAATAATCGCTATATTGGTTGTGTTGCAGCTGTGAAATACCAGTGGTTGAAAGGAGACACGAGGACGTTCGTGAGACCGCAGATGCAGCCATACATCTTCATCTCAGCCAATGGGAAGCTGTATTTCTCCGAGGTGACTCGGATTGATGAAGGAGAATACCGGTGTATTGCTATCTTGACTGGGCGCAACAGGCATTCTATAGGCACGTCGCAACCGCCAACCAGAACCAGTTTGCCCATCCCACTTCTAGTACATGACCAAGGTAAGACGGAGTCCTAGTAATACCACACATGTATAAATTCACGCGCATTTATATCAGATATTTACCGACGCATACGGTACCTCTTTGTCACGATGTGACAGCCCACCACGACGGGAGCAAACACTTCCTGATCAATTAGATTATGAAAACATGGGGTTTAAACCAATCAGGGCTGTAGGGCTGCTCTTCTCAACGGGGTGCCCCCGGTTTCCCAACATTTCTTAAAACAACAAAATCAGCCAGGCATAGACCAATAGACGGATTAGTATGGGCAACCTCGAGGTTGGGGTGTCAGGTTGGACTGCTTAATTAGTGTCTAACTGAAATATGTTCACCATGCTTGATGGGGGTGTCAGATACGTTGGAGTGCTTAAACTGAAATGTGTTCACCAAACTTGACGTATATCTATCAAATATATTTTAGAAGGTATTAGTTTACAAGAAAGCTTAGCAACACAGCTTTATGCAAATCACGAAAAACAATTATTCTCAAATGCACTCATATTTAGGTGAAATGCATCTTTTTTAGAAGAGTTAAATAGTCCTATTTTCTTGTTCATTCTTACTTGAAAACGATACAAGAACCTGTATCGAAACGTCGTGCTCTAGAATAAAAGAAGTTGTCATCCATATATACCTGTTCTATCTGACTTGCAACTTCTATCATGCCACTCAAAGAAGTAGTCCTATTTTCGACCATGTCGAAATAAACCAATAAAAGTGATTTAGATGTCCAAAAGAAAGGTTGAAATATAATTATGGGATATGTTTGATGTGATTGATGTTGAATGATGATGTCAGAGATGTAATAAACAACCACTTAACAGTCCACTCCATTTTGTTATGTTTAAGTCACCTTTCCAACCTGTCACCCCTAAAATGAAAGTGAGTGTGTCACAACGTTCTTAATCCTCTAATCCTCTGTTTACTTAAGTTTCCAAAGGTTGGAATCCGGGAGTACACCTTCTCAACATACTGCACATAAGCTCGATGTATACTCCCCAGGGAGTTGAGATTGATAATACGATGTGCCATTGAGATTGACATCCAATGATCGAGGGGAAAATATCAGCGCCTTGAGCAAGCACTAGTTGCCTGGATATGTGCGCTATATAAGTATCATATAATAATAATAATAATAGTTGCCCTGGGTCTAGAGAAACATTCTCTTGACAACGGAGCCTGTGCTGATGTGACACGCCACATCGTTTGCTTGACTCTACTTTGTGTACCATACAGAAGTACAGAACCATCAACAAATCAACATTGTGGATATTTTCTACATCCCTGGCTCGTTAGGAAAACCATGGGAAGCCTTGTTCTCATCATGAGCCTTTACACGCTTCACGGGAGGATTATCAGACAAATATATTTATGCGAGACTGGGCAATCAAATTCTGCCAGGAAGAACTCCTACGTTAATCAAACCACATTTTCCCATTATAGTGGGTGAAAAGAAGCTATTTAGAGACGTCGAGGGGTTTGGTCTACTGTCTGATTAATGTTGTTGACAATGATTTTGTTTAATATTAATGTTTTATATTGAAGAATTTACATGATTGAGTAGTAACCGTTTCTGTTGATATAACGGACTAGTTTGTACACACACCAATCTGTCAGTGACATCCTCAAGCTTTCTTTGTAGCAATGGTACGCTTCATATATCATGGTCTGAAGCTGTGATATATTGAATCTGAGTTTGTGTATGAGAGCATCAGGTTTGCATAAAATGTATACTTACATTGCATTATTGTGGAAAAGGACTTAATGGTAACACATTAGACAGACGCTCTATTGTCTAACATCCACAGCGGCCAAAGCTGACTGGGGACCAGAGATCCAGAACGATTTCATCGCAGTGTTTCCTCAACCGCCTTTAAGAAGCCAGGATGTCAGACTCGAATGTTTCGCATACGGATCGTAAGTATCTACACCTTGCTGGTTTCATTAACTTTGGAATAAATTAATTAAAGGTAATATGAGCCAGGGTGTTGTTCCTAAATCAACACACGTTCGAGATTCAGGGTAAAAATGGGTTCCCAGGTTTGATTTAGGTTAGAGCAACCTAAAATGGGGTGGATGGGTAGCCCCTCTGTTCTTCTGCTATTTGGTTGATTACGTTCCATGTATCCCGACAGCTTATGATGTTTCACTCACTGGGTCGCCAGACTCAATCTTCAGCAAAATATAGCTTGAAAACTGCCTCCGATAAACAACATTCACTTTATCATAATTTTTCTGATTGAAGACTACCATTCTATAGAGGTTGATAGGCCATCTATCCTGACAGCTGAAGGGCGGTGTTTGATCCCCGCTTCATACTGCATTGAAAAGAAGTACTAAATGGAATTGCTACACTGTCTGGAGCTGGCTATCAAGGAATAGACCAAGAACTCATCCCCTCGGAGTCCCTTTGTCCGACTATAGAATCCGTGTTATCTAAGTAAACTAGTACAATAGAGGGCCAGTCCAGACTATTACAAGCTGCCCTAAAAACACCCTTGCACGTCGCTGTATGAAATATTGCTATACCCCATTTCACCTCACTTCTTATTGAAGTGCTATGAGGACCATTACTGGTTTGGGAACCTGAAGAAATTTATTAAACCAAATCAAAACTTTAATTCCTGACTGCTACAATGCAACCGATTATAGACACGAGACTCAACCGATGCAGCATCACTCATCATTTCCGCAGTCTCCAGACTGTTGTGACTTTAATTCTTTAGATCCAATCTAAAAACACACATGTTCAAGATAGCCTTTGAACTGTAGCTCTTTACCATTAATCTCATCTTTATCTTGTGGGCTTTGAGCATGCTTTAGCATAACAAATATATGCTATTATAATGATTGCGTGTTTATGTTGCCATTCTGGTATAGTTGATAGTCTCTCGTACAGACCCTGAAGCAAATATATCCAAGAAAGCCCACACAAGTCTAGAAAATGTGGCAAGTCTAGATTTCCTCAGCTTCTGAAAATGAAGAAGGTCTCAGGGCTCCTTTTCATTATATTTTATATTTTTTTTTACTATGAACCTTTTTCAGTAAAATATGTTCATTTCAGAGACTAGTTGTTAGTCTAGTATAGTTGATTGGATCTGTACAATTTGAACCTTTAACTGTTCATTCATAAGGAGAACAATTCAATTTCGACCGTCGAGTGTCGAATACTTCGAATCCCAATGGCGTTCATTGACCATGCATGTTCAAGGAAGGCTGATAATGTAGGGACCGATAATGCATATTCATGCTGTGTAATGTTAAATTCTGCTGCAAGATTAACGTTCCTCCTATTCCAGATCAACCACTCAGTTTCTGTACCAGTGGCACAGGTCAGGGCGACCCATACCCCGGTCAGCCAAGCTGCTTGACCACAACCGTGCGTTGGTGATAGAGGACGCCCAGCTTGAGGACAGTGGAAACTACACCTGTACCGTCAGTAGGGGCACTTCGGCCAGAGACAGCAAGTCGTACTACCTGGATATAGCAGGTGAGAATATGCAGATCAAGAACAGGCTGCCGTGGGGGAGAGACTAGTGCTTTTACCTAGAGCTAGGGGTAGTAAGGCTTGGGAGTATACGTCATTGTGTAAAATCTACATTTGTAAAAAAAAATCATTCTAAACACGAGCGACCAAATCACAAAATCTACCTTTGCTTTTGCAAATAGAGGTTCTCGTAAACCTGACCATATTAATATTACTTTCGACTGTATATTACGTTCGCATTACATTCGGGCGTTTGCTAGCTGATGACGTCATCAAGTCTGTTGCTCAATCACCCGCGAATACCCGGGTTAGAATTAATGTTCAGTGTCCCATGCTTGTCGTAAGAGGCTATTAACGTGATCACGTGGACAGCCTCGCCGGCCTGGTGCACACATGTCATCCTGTCCCAAATGTGTTTATCGATGCTCATGATCTTGATCACTGGATTGTCTGGTCCAGACTCGATTATTTCTACATGATTCATTGTCCAATAGCCGTTTGGCAAATAATCACATCATAAACTCTCCCTGGAAATTATATTTATTACCAACGAAAAACATGAAGCAGCCTACAAAGGATACGTCTCGAAGCGATTTTACTAAAACGAAATACCGAGTATAAATTCTCGATGAACGGTTGAAGACCTCACTTCGTACCTGTAAATGTGTCTTGAATTCCAACATATATTTATGAGTAAGTGTGAGTTGTTTGTACGTGTTTACAGTTTCACCTGTGTGATCAAAATGGATGATACGTCCGCCGTAATACACATGTTTCTTTCTCTTTCATACATTTAACGAGTACATTTGTACCAACATCTTGCTGTTAATCGACATGGTTGACACATGCTATCGTATCCCAATTGCATAGATCGATGCTCATGATGACAATCACTAGATTGTCTGGTCCAGACTCGATTATATACAGACCACCGTCATACCCTGGAATATTGCTGATTGAGGCGTTAAACATCAATCCAAATGATATTTTCAGCAAAGCCCTACTTCATCGTTCCACTCCAAAACCAGCACGTGGACATCAACTCCCAGCTGACCTGGCGCTGTGTGGCCCGTGCTAGCCCCACCCCAATATACATGTGGTACAAGAACGGCGAGGTACTACAGCCTGTCCCTGGGGACACCCTCGTCACTGGCTCCACCCTCACCATCCTGAAGCTCAACCCAGAGAAACACAATGGCATGTACCAGTGTTCAGCCAGAAACACCCATGGGGAAACCATGAGTGCCGCGCAACTCCGAGTGCTGTGTAAGTGAAGCTCTATCTGATAAAATTATTTGTATTTTTACCCACGTAAGTTTTGGTTGTTGGCGTGAGGTAAAACTGAACTGATCAATTATTGAATAGCTTAACACCGATAAGGTTTCAAGTTGTTATATATTTCACAATTTACCAGACCTCCATGTATTAACGTAAAATATAATTTTCACACGAATTATATGGCTCTGTGGTGTGTGTGAACAGTACAGTACTGTATGAAACATTAGTCGTTAATGTATGAAAGTGTCATTTTTAAGGGTGGGTATTGCAGAGAATTTTCATATTGCGATATATTGCGATGAGAAAGCATGTATTGCGATATGTATTGCAATATATTGCATGAAGTATTTTTAAACAAAAACTACTTATAATCGAGTTACTTCTTGATTTATAGAGCAAAAACACAACAAAATCACTAGGTTTGATAAAGCTTTAATAACAACTTTTAATCATGATAAAATAAAAATGTGAATAATATTTGGCACAAATGAACATATCCGAACATTTCCGAGTGTTACGAAGTTTTCCGGATGCAAGTCAAAATACCGGTTTTCGATCAGCGTATCGCAATACGTATCGTGTTCATGCCTGAGCCGGTAAATACCGGTAAACCGGTTATATTGCGCAGCCCTAGTCATTTTGTTCTGTAGTTTCTGAAATTCGAGTTGAAGGTTTTCTATTGGATCCATCTGCTCTACATGTTGCCACATTATGGCACTCGACCCCTAAGACATGAATACTGTGTTACACTGCTTCACGAAGGACCAAAATTCAGAACGATGCATATCATTGTTCTCAGTGCGTATTTATAAGGAAGTCCTCATCCTGTCCACCCGTGTCCATCTGATCACCAAGTTGTGAGTGAGGACCAGAACTGACTAGCCACAACTGACCAACTACCACCCTTGATTGCTGTGTCCACAAAATTAAAAACAGACAATGCATTAATGTTGATTAAGATGAGTTATCACAACTCTTGTAACCTCTAATCAACGATTACGTACACTTGCGAAATTTGACATCTATCATTAAAATAACTTGGGCTTTATATGTCTGTATCAATCCTGTGAATACAATGTTTTAATAAGAAATGTCACAGTTATTTAAGTTGCGGTGGTGCCATTGTCCCCTGAAGATCCGTGTTATATCTGATCTTCATCAACCCATGGCCAGAGGCGACTAACAGGTGTTCGGGCTCCTTGACTGAGTTGATGGATGTCGTAGATCAATGATCATGATGTCAGTCAGTGGAATGCCAGATCCAGACTCCATTATGTACGAACAGCCGTAATACAGTTGGATTTGTTGAGAGCGACGATGAAAAAACAAACAAATATGTGTCATCATTTTAAATGTTGCTTCTGCCCATGCTGTAAAACCATCACACTTTTTTCACTTTGCAGCCATCGCGCCTACGTTCAGTAAGCACCCGTTGCCTCGGTTCACCAAGGGGGCGGTTCGAGGCAACGTGACTATAATGTGTGAGCCAGAGGGCGCTCCTCAGCCAACGATCACGTGGTTTAAAAATGGCGCCGCACTTCCGGAAAATTCAGGTCACTACCGTCAACTGCGCAATGGATACATTGTCATCACAGACCTTCAAGCATCAGATGGAGGGACGTACAGATGTACAGCAACTAACGACAATGGGGAAACATCAAGTTCCACACAACTGACAGTCAGCAGTAAGTGGCACACAACGCTTATATACTGAATATGAATTTGGACAATAAGAAAAATCTACTTCCAAAGTAAGTTCCACACAACACCAATAAATTGAATATGAATTTAGACAATAGGACAAAATCTACTTCTACGGTACGTGGCATACAATGAGTTTAGTTTTACGCCGCACTGAGCAATATTCCAGCTATATGGCGGCGGTCTGTAAATAATCGAATCTGGACCAGACAATCCAGTGATCCAGACCACCCGTTATCACCACCCGACCACCTGATCCCGTTAGTCGCCTCTTACGACAAGCATGGGTTACTGGAGATCAATATTCTACCCCGGATCTTCACGGGTCGTGGCACACAACACCAGTAAATTGTATATGAATTTGGACAATAGGAGAAGTCTACTTCCACAGTAAGTGGCACATTACACTTTAGTCTATTAAGTTGTCTGTAGATTCTGACAATGGGAAAATCTTGTTCAGTTGAAAGTTGCACACAACCACTAACACAAATATTGATTTTGAAAATAGGAAACATTTATTTTAGACTGTAAATAAAATATTAAAAAAACAGATTCAAATGATGCTAGCTTGTATATAAAATATGACGGTGGAAGGACCTCTAATTTGACATGTAACCGGCCAAAGGACCACTAAATACACAAAAGGTACTAGACAGTTTTTAGAGTGACACGTGTCGATTAATCACCACTAGAATGGGTATAGATTAGGACAGAGGGGAAGCATGTTTTGGTAGACTGTGAGCTCTAAAATCACAAACCACATCCAGAGTGTATGTAGATAACGGACACACTGAGGACTAGACAGCTGACTATTGGTTGTAAGATGCACATACCAACACAAGAGTGCACACAGAGGGACGTATGTTGTTGTGGACAACTGCCTACAAGTGGTAAGTGGGGCGATGGGGTAGCCTGGTGGTTAAGCGTTCGATTGTCACGCCGAAGACCCGGGTTCGATTTCCACATGGGCACCATATGTGAAGCCCATTTCTGGTGAAATTGCTGGAATATTGCTAAAAGCAGCGTAAAACCAAAATAACTCACTCACTCACACAGGTGATAAGTCGGACAGAACACCGATAGATTATGACACACGTTTATGGCCACACAAGTGACCACTAGATGGTGTGTAATTGATGACAAATGGGGATAATGTAGTCCTAGCTTATAGAATGATGGTAACGATTATTATTTAGTCCAATGTGGAGTGAGTGAGTGAGCTTAGTTTTACGCCGAACTCAGTAATATAAGGCTATATGGCGGCTATCTGTAAATAATCGAGTCTGGATCAGACAATTCAGTGATCAACAGCATGAGCATCGATCTGCTGGGATACAATGACATGTGTCAACCAAGTCAGCGACCGTGACCACCCGATCCTGTTAGTCGCCTCTTACGACAAGCATGGGATACTGAAGATCAATTCTAGACCAGACCTACACGGGTCTCATGTGGAGTGAGTTATTATTTAACGTCACATCGGCAATATTGCAGCCATATCGTGACTGGGTCTCATGTGGAGTGAGTGACAAGATAGTCATTGTATTGAAAGCAAAAGGTAACATAACTGTCTTTATGTGTAGGTATTGAGAGCTAGCATGTTAATGAGCTTCACATAAAATGTTAACATGATATTTACAGTGCAGAATATAGAATATTTACCTGATACCAACTGAACATGTTTTTGCGGTCAGGACAAACAAGAATCACTACACCTCCAACTAACACGAAAGTGCTGGTCAACACGACTGCCTTCTTTTACTGCCAGGCATCGTTCGATTCTCATCTTGACATGGTGTATGTGTGGACATTCAACGGCAGGTTGATCGACTTTCATGACCACAAACACTTTATACAGGTGAGAGCAGAGTGTCCATACGATTCCATGTGGGGGCGGATCCAGTGTGTGTGTGTGTGTGTGTGTGTGTGTGTGCGTGCGTGCGTGCGTGCGTGCGTGCGTGCGTGCGTGCGCGCGCGCAGGGGTGCGCACCCCCCTTTTGTGCTGAAAGTTTGTTAAATGACCAATGAAACTCGGGTTGAAAATGAAGTGTGCACCCCTCCTTTTCTCAGTAGTGTGCACCCCCACCCCTTTCTCAAAAAGCTGTATCCGCCCCTGGGATGTACAGAAAACAATAACTGACGGGAATGTTTTGTATGCTTGAAGACTTAATGATTGTTTATCTGGTCCAGAATGAACTATTTGCAGACTGTAGATATAGTGACATATTGTGCCTAAAAGAACACTCACACTCTCTGGATGACTTTTATCAGACCCACAGTTTAATTAGATAGTTGGGTACCACATCGGCTCCTCTAAGGTCCTGGAGACTTTCACGAACTGGAAACAGGCGCTATATAAATGACTTATTTGATTGATCGGCCTAAACGCTGCATCACAATTTCAAATTGCAGTTGCATTCTTTTGGATGGACAATGCAACACTATTAATGATTGGTACATTATCGAAATCAATTATGGAAACAAGACGATAATCACATTTACATCACAGTAATGTTTTTCAACCATGAAATGTTCTTTTTCAATAAAGGACAATAATCCCGTGAAGCCGGGTATTTACATCCGGAATGTAGGCTTTAAAAACGCCGGGGAGTACAAATGTACGGCGGAAACAACCCTGGAGGAAGACAGCAGGACGGCCAGGCTCACCGTCATGGGTACGTCCACGTCATATAATGTCCACGTCATATCCAGTACCATAATGAAAGGCCTAATGTTGTCTTAGCCCAAGGGGTACTCTAGGAAGAAGCGTACCCAGTGTTCATGCTTATCATAAGAACTGACTACAAAAATCGGATGGTTAGGCGTAGCGAGTTGCTGATTATGTGCGTGAATCGTTGCTCATAACAGGGCCAAGACAAGAATGTCGCTGTCGTGAGTTTATGCGACATAGTAAATTCATCGAACAGCACACAATCAGATGCAAATTCGAATTCATCCGAAATAGAATTTTAAGCAGAATTATTGTGAAATGTTACTCAAGTTCTCTATTCAAACTATTCAATTTCCTGAGCACAAGAACAATTTGGAATGTCGAACAGATTGTCGAGATTATATGGCAATAGACATGTACGTCTTCCAAGGGACCATATCAAGTCTCTTCCGTTTCAAATGTTTTCCCTTTGAAACAAGAAGTAGATGATGATTTTGAAGCAGTGTTTGGAATACCCCGTTGAAACCTTTCCCAGAAAGCACATCCAGAACGTCACTTTCCAAACAGGGAATGTGGATGAATGGTCGTTTTACGTGATCCGTATTTGGAAATCCTCATATCTTCTTTAGCGGTAGCGTCAAGTAAGATCTATTATAAACGAGAAACCGAAACAATTTGGAGACCGGACTTTTAATTCCTGTTTCGAAAACAGTGCAAATGAATTAGTAATGACTATTTGAAAATATGACAAATACATATCGAGGAAAACAAATCCTTTGTCCTTTCATTATTATTATTTTTTTGATAATAATAATAAATAATAATTTGAAAATATGACAAATACATGTCGAGGAAAAAAAATCCTTTGTCCTTTCATGGGTTTCTTAGCAATATTTGTACTTCAAGGCTGGGGGAAACTCAGAGAATATATAGATTAACACTGTAATAAAGCTGTGTTCCCTTATTTGTTTCCCTGAGTATATTTGCTGTGTTTTTAAGTTCAGCTTACCCAGACATAGTCGGTACACATTGGCCTCTATCGTGGACTAATATGTCATTTGTTTTCAATGAGAATAATTGTGTAGTTATAATGCTTTATGTCGGTACACAGGGCCCCCGGGGGAGCCGGCAGGTGTGTTTGTCGAGGCAGGCAGCGTGACCAGTCACGGGGCCCAAGTACGATGGTCTCCGGGTGCGTCACGTGGACGCGATATACTGTACTATATCATCGAAACATCCACCAACTTTGACCCGAAATGGAGAGTTATAGTCCAGAGTAAGTTCGGCCCAGTCATCTAGTCAGTAGCTGGAAATTATTTTATAGCGTTCGTCAATGGCATCTTAAAATACCTAGGTGTGCACATGTTTAACAACCAAGAAGCGTGTGCATTCATTTTTTTGTTTGTATGTCGGTCAGTTTGTACGATGTCCAGTTGTAATGGTTTCCGTTTTCATTAATCTGTTCCCTTTCAAATTATAATTCTATAAATCTGAATCTTTAGGTCGATCGATATATTTTTCTGTTTTTAGATGCCACGTAGTTATATATTGATGACTCTCAATAATACACTTCTGTTTATATTACAGATCTCCCAGATATGATAACTCTCAATGATACACTTCTGTTTGATACCGATGATATACTGTTTATATTACAGATCTCCCTCAATGATACCCTTCTGTTTATATTGATCTCCCAGATCTGCCAGATATGATAACTCTCAATGATACACTTCTGTTTATATTGCAGATCTCCCAGATATTACTCTCAATGATAACTTCTGTGCAGATCTGCCAGATATGATCAATGATGTTTATATTGCAGATCCCTGATAACTCTCAATGATACACTTCTGTTTATTATGCCAGACTATGTAACTCTCAGATATGATACCCTTCTGTTTATATTACAGATCTCCCAGATATGATAACTCTCAATGATACACTTCTGTTTATATTACAGATCTGCCAGATATGATAACTCTCAATGATACCCTTCTGTTTATATTACAGATCTCCCAGATATGATAACTCTCAATGATACACTTCTGTTTATATTACAGATCTCCCAGATATGATAACTCTCAATGATACCCTTCTGTTTATATATTGCCAGATCTTATATTAACAGATCTACAGATCTCCCAGATATGACTACTCTCAATGATACCCTTCTGTTTATATTACAGATCTCCCAGATATGATGACTCTCAATGACGCGGAGTCACTACAACACATACGACAAGCGGACGTTGTGGGGCTCAAACCAGGAAACGGTTACAGATTCCGAATCAGAGCTATCAACCAGTATGGGATTGGGGATCCGAGTCTGCCATCATGTTAGTACACATGTAGCCAGTCCACCAAGCCAATGCAATATATGGCCAGCGTCAGATCGCGGGCCATAATTATACGGTTAAGTTGAAAGAGGTTTATGTCACTTTGAACAGTACAATACAAGGGTAACATAACGGCGTAGAAGGCAGTTGTGATGGTAATCGTGCAGGATTGTGAACAAGGACAGGCCAAGGATTGTATTCAGGGCGAATGTCGGATTCGAACCCGCGATTAGCGGATCCTGGTAAATTTTGACAGACGAATGGTAACGCCTTTGACTTCGCCACCACTGTGTGTAAATGCATGGTTATAATGACGATTAGCAGGGTTGTTTTAACTTTATTTTCATTGTTTAATTTATCCCGCAATTCTTTTTCTAGCATTTATACAGACCCCGAGTGCCCCACCCATCAAAGCCCCGGACAATGTGAGGGGAGGGGGAGGAAGTGTGGGGGACCTGACCATTGCGTGGGACGTGAGTATACAAGTTTCTCCACCCAAACCACCCTGACAAACATCATTACCATTTAATGGAAACAGATGCAGCATGGTTAGTATACTCCCCAGTAAGCTGAGAAAGAAAAGTCGTGTGCCCAACGATCTACTGGTCAGTGTTATTAGGGTGTTAGGGTCTTGACCGTACGTCAATGGATGGACCATGGAGCACTAAATGCATCACGTTATTAGTTACATAATCATCATCATCATCTTCATCATCACCACCGTCATGAACTTACGTCAACGGATGGACAATACAACATTAAACATGTCAAATATTTTATTGTTATCATCATCATCATCATCATCATCATCATCATCATCATCATCATCCTTTTCCTGGACCTGTTGATAACTTGGTATTATGCACTACACAGCCGATGCCCCCCGATGACCATGGAGGCCCCGGTATCGGCTACAACATCTACTACCGACTCAAAGACGGCAAGGATGGACTATGGCAATACGTGAGTACTCACGAGTCTTATCCCCACCGGAACAGGTGACACACGTGTAATGTTTTTCGTAGTTTTCAGCGAAGGAATTCTACATTATGGCTGATTATTAACGTATCGAGAGTTTTAAAATACAATACATCAGTTCTTCCCCAGTTCAGTGACTACTGGGTTTGGCTTTGATTGTGTTTGACAAAAAATTATATTTTCAGAAACACAATTTTCCAGTACCAGGTACAAGGGCATTGCCAATCGATCTATTATACTGAGAATCGTACGGTTTCATTTCCGTTTATCATGCTCCGGTAGCACCGGTTTTCAAGTGCACCACTTGTATCCCCCGCAACGTTTTGCGGGGGGTATTATAATGGACTCCATCCGTCCATCCGTGCGTCCGTCCGTGCACATTCGTTTTTTCCGGAGCAGAACTTCAAAACCGTTCACTATTTCTTCACCAAACGTGGCACGTAGATATGTTTAGTGGTGTCCTGTGCCTTTTGGTAGTTTTGGAATTCTAAATAGAATATCTTTTTTGCTTTTCCATGGCAACAAGTTTGGTTTCAACTGAATTTGGTGACAGTGCTCCTTTCTGGAGCAGAACTTAAAAACCTTTCAATACTGTCCTTCCACTTTGCTATTTACACGCCAAAACATGTAATCATAACTAGTAGACATATTCATGAAGAGTATTTTGCCATTGCGGGGGATATTGATGACTTTGTCTTCTTGTTATACATGCTTGGTTCTGTTATAAGCTCACCAAAACAATATCGCTGTAATTCTGATCATTGAGTCAAATAATCTTCACACTCTCACCACCTTGTCTGTGTCATATCGTTCTGTTCTACATCCCAAGGGCAAGGTCATCGGCAACCACGAAAAGTACGTGTCTCTCGTGGGAAATGATTATTATTACCTGGAATATGAGGTCAAAGTTCAAGCCTTCAACGTGATGGGCCGCGGTCCCAACTCCACCATTGAAATCGTGTACTCTGCTGAAGCTTGTAAGTATCAAGAGAAGGGACGACCCTATAAGTATCAAGAGAACGGCCTCAAGGGTCGACCCTATAAGTATCATGAGAACGGTTTCAAGGGTCGACCCTATAAGTATCAAGAAAACGGCCTCAAGGGTCGACCCTATAAGTATCAAGGGGTCGGCCTCAAGGGTCCCAATAAGATTCAGATAACGGCCTCAAGGGTCGACACTATAAGTATCATGAGAACGGCCTCAAGGGTCGACCCTATAAGTATCAAGAGTTCGATCTTTACGGTTGGCCCAATAAGATTCAAGAGAACGGCCTCAAGGGTCGACCCTATAAGTATCAAGAGAAAGGCCTCAAGGGTCGACCCTATAAGTATCAAGAGATCGGCCTCAAGGGTTGTTGGCCCTACAAGTATCAAGAGATCGACCTCTAGGGTTGGCCAAATATACTATTCACACTTTGCTAAGGATCAAATCATTATTTCAACAGAAAACTATGATGTGGGGTCTAATTTGGTTTAAATATCTAAGCTTATTGTAAGCATGGTTCCTAGGTTTCAGTATGTCACTGCATTTTGTGGACTCTCCATACCTGCTATTGACAGGTGTTGTGTACTTGTCAATGACCCGTGCCATGATTTGCAAAATGGTTGATTGGTGCCAAGTAAACCATTTTTATGGTTACTCATGTATCAAGTGCATAAGGTTAGAATAAAGTGGCTGTTTGCCTAAAGAAGGGTTACCATATCATTATTTATCCAGTTTTAAATGGATACAAAATTATAAATCTATGTTTAAGTAAAGTTGGGAATTTTTGTGATCCTTAGCAAAGTGTGAGTAGTATATGTATCCAGTGATCGGCCTCAAGGGCGACGTCATAAATAACAAGAGGTCGGCTTCTAGGGTTGTTATCAAGAGATCGGCTTCTAGAGTCGACGATCCTATAAGCATCAAGAGGTGGGCATCTAGGGTAATCCCAACAGTTATCAAATGACCGACATATACGATCGGCAATACCAACGGTCGACGTTCCTATGGTAACGCATAATGTTACTGTCATCCTGCATTGTATAACACATGTATCTGTAATTCTTCCCTATGTTGACACACACATGTCCTCGTTCAGTGCCTGTGGGGGTGCCGTCCAACATCGGGGCCGACGGCTATAACGGGACCTGCCTGGAGGTGTGGTGGGACCCAGTTCCGGACACAAGGGAGTTCATGAAGGGACGGGTCCTAGGGTACCAGGTAACAGTCACGTTCTTAAAGCTGCCGTATATAACCAAGGTATGTGTGGTCAATGAGTGTTTGGCTGAATATATACCATCGAATCCCGAGGAGTGGTTCGGCATTCGTTCTATCGACCACTGGTTTCATTAGCCCAAACACTGTATTTACAGACTGCTATGGTATAGCTGGAATATTGCTGACTTGGCATTTAATTTACTCGTTTATTTGCCCAGTTATCACTTAAGCAGCGATTAGTCCGCTCTGTAAAAGTCTTATTTGTCCATTCTGTTTAAGACTGTTATTTGTCCCAACATATTTTCTTGTAAATCTGAGAAAACTGGGTTATATTCAAGCATTTTCGGAAACTGTCCTCACTGCAATCAAGTTATTTGTCCATACTGTAATTTACACATCTGCCTTGGCTTGGTTTACTAATTGATTTGTCTTTAACTTTAATTAAGTCTGTCCGCTGTTAAATAATTTATTTGTCCACATTTAGGAACACCATTCGTTTTGAATTTAATTAAACATCGTTACACACCACAAATGCTAAACAATCAACGAAATAATCATACGAGTTCACCAAAACTTGTGCCTAAACAACGACATAGCTCTATCATCACAATCATTTGAGTGGATCGAAAGGTCGAAAGAAACATTGCCATTATTTACACAGGCAAAAACCGTTACCAAGAAGTAAAAACTTGGCCCCTTCCTATTCAATCTTTGTTTACACATTTTGTATTGTGTCGAATCACGGATAACTCGTAGTGTTTATAAAGGTCCTTTCACCTTCGATACCAGAATCTTTGCCTGAATTATTAATGTCAAATGATAATCATATTTTATAAAGAATGAAAACCAGACCAGTGGTATATGATGAATAACGATGAAGCATTCATAAAATGCACGCAACAGCCAAGCGGAATTCTTTTACGTGCGCGTTAGTGTACGCCACGCTATTGGCCGCGGTTATTATGTTTATGCTTACCGAAAACCATTATACCAAACCACAGAAACCTGCAGCTGCTATCCCCGTTTATGGCTCTCTCCATGACACCCAGATAACTTGCTGACCCCACATTTCTCCCTCCTTTACACCCTAGGACCTACTGACCTATACTAATCTAAGCCCACCGATCAACTGCTGATCCCATTCATATGTCCCCTGTGTAAACCCAGATCCACTTATGATCCCACTCCCGCCTACCTGCCCCCGACCCTCTGATCCAGTGATTCCCTCACTCCCTATACCTCCAGATCCACTAATGACCCCACCCTTGACTACCTGCCCCCCACCCTCTGATCCAGTGATTCCCTCTCTCCATATACCTTCAGATCAACTACTGGCCCCACCCTGACTACCTATACCTTCCCCCCACCCTCCCTCTGATCCAGTGATTCCCTCTCTCCATACCCTCCAGATCAACTCCTGGCTGGCCCCACCTCTGATCCACTGATCCAGTGCGATTCCTCTCTCCATATACCTCCTTGACTACCTGCCCCCACCCTCTGATCCAGTGATTCCCTCTCTCCATATACCTTCAGATCAACTACTGGCCCCACCCTTGACTACCTGCCCCCCACCCTCTGATCCAGTGATTCCCTCTCTCCATATACCTTCAGATCAACTACTGGCCCCACCCTTGACTACCTGCCCCCCACCCTCTGATCCAGTGATTTCCCTCTCTCCATATACCTTCAGATCAACTACTGGCCCCACCCTTGACTACCTGCCCCCCCCACCCTCTGATCCAGTGATTCCCTCTCCATATACCTTCAGATCAACTACTGGCCCCACCCCCACCCTTGACTACCTGCCCCCACCCTCTGATCCAGTGATTCCCTCTCTCCATATACCTTCAGATCAACTACTGGCCCCACCTCCTGATCCAGTGATTCCCTCTCCATGACTACCTACCCCCACCCTCTGATCCAGTGATTCCCTCTCTCCATATACCTTCAGATCAACTACTGGCCCAACCCTTGACTACCTGCCCCCTGGCCCCACCTCTGATCCAGTGATTCCCTCTCTCCATATACCTTCAGATCAACTACTGGCCCCACCCTTGACTACCTGCCCCCCTCCAGATCAACCTCTGATCCAGTGATTCCCCTCCTCCCATATACCTTCAGATCAACTACTGGCCCCACCCTTGACTACCTGCCCCCACCCTCTGATCCAGTGATTCCTCACTCCATATACCTCCAGATCAACTCACTGGCCCCACCCTTGACTACCTGCACCCTTGACCCCACCCTCTGATCCAGTGATTCCCCTCTCCATATACCTTCAGATCAACTACTGGCCCCACCCTTGACTACCTGCCCCCACCCTCTGATCCAGTGATTCCCTCTCTCCATATACCTTCAGATCAACTACTGGCCCCACCCTTGACTACCTGCCCCCCACCCTCTGATCCAGTGATTCCCTCTCTCCATATACCTCCAGATCAACTACTGGCCCCACCCTCTGATCCAGTGATTCCCTCTCTCCATATACCTTCAGATCAACTACTGGCCCCACCCTTGACTACCTGCCCCCACCCTCTGATCCAGTGATTCCCTCTCCATATACCTTCAGATCAACTACTGGCCCCACCCTTGACTACCTGCCCCCACCCTCTGATCCAGTGATTCCCTCTCTCCATATACCTTCCAGATCAACTACTGGCCCCACCCTTGACTACCTGCCCCCCACCCTCTGATCCAGTGATTCCCTCTCTCCATATACCTTCAGATCAACTACTGGCCCCACCCTTGACTACCTGCCCCACCCTCTGATCCAGTGATTCCTCTCTCTCCAGATCAACTATACCTACCAGACTCCTCTGATCCAGTGATTCCTCTCCATATACCTTCAGATCAACTACTGGCCCCCCTTGACTACCTGCCCCCACCCTCTGATCCAGTGATTCCCTCTCCATATACCTTCCAGATCAACTACTGACCCCACCCTGACTACCTGCCCCCACCCTCTGATCCAGTGATTCCCTCTCTCCATATACCTCCAGATCAACTACTGGCCCCACCCTTGACTACCACCTGCCCCCACCCTCTGATCCAGTGATTCCCTCTCTCCATATACCTTCAGATCAACTACTGGCCCCACCCTTGACTACCTGCCCCCCACCCTCTGATCCAGTGATTCCTCTCTCCATATACCTCCAGATCAACTACTGGCCCCACCCTTGACTACCTGCCCCCACCCTCTGATCCAGTGATTCCTCTCTCCATATACCTCCAGATCAACTACTGGCCCCACCCTTGACTACCTGCCCCCACCCTCTGATCCAGTGATTCCCTCTCTCCATATACCTCCAGATCCACTACTGGCCCCCCTCTGACCCCTTGACTCCTGCTGACTACCTGCCCCCACCCTCTGATCCAGTGATTCCCTCTCTCCATATACCTTCAGATCCACTACTGACCCCACCCCTGACTACCTGCCCCCACCCTCTGATCCAGTGATTCCCCTCTCTCCATATACCTTCAGATCAACTACTGGCCCCACCCTTGACTACCCCTGGATCCAGTGACCCTCTGATCCAGTGATTCCCTCTCTCCATATACCTCCAGATCAACACTACTGGCCCCACCCTTGACTACCTGCCCCCACCCTCTGATCCAGTGATTCCCTCTCTCCATATACCTTCCAGATCAACCTAACTGGCCCCACCCTTGACTACCTGCCCCCCCCACCCTCTGATCCCAGTGATTCCCTCTCTCCATATACCTTCAGATCAACTACTGGCCCCACCCTTGACTACCTGCCCCCCACCCTCTGATCCAGTGATTCCTCTCTCCATATACCTCCAGATCAACCAACTGACTACCTGCCCCCACCCTCTGATCCAGTGATTCCTCTCTCCATATACCTCTCAGATCCTACTGGCCCCACCCCTTGACTACCTGCCCCCACCCTCTGATCCAGTGATTCAACTCTCCCCCATACCTTCAGATCCACTACTGGCCCCACTCCTTGACTACCTGCCCCCACCCTCTGATCCAGTGATTCCCTCTCTCCATATACCTTCAGATCAACTACTGGCCCCACCCTTGACTACCTGCCCCCCACCCTCTGATCCAGTGATTCCCTCTCCATATATACCTTCAGATCCACTACTGGCCCCACCCCTTGACTACTTCCCTGCCCCCACCCTCTGATCCAGTGATTCCCTCTCTCCATATACCTCAGATCTTCACTACTACTGCCCCACCCCTGACTCCAGTGATTCCCTCTCAGTGATTCTGATATACCTTCAGATCCACTACTGGCCCCACCCTTGACTACCTGCCCCACCCTCTGATCCAGTGATTCCCTCTCTCCATATACCTTCAGATCACTACTGACCCCACCCTTGACTACCTGCCCCCCACCCTCTGATCCAGTGATTCCTCTCTCCATATACCTTCAGATCAACTACTGGCCCCACCCTTGCCTACCTGCCCCCACCCTCTGATCCAGTGATTCCTCTCCCTCTCTCCATATACCTTCAGATCAACTACTGGCCCCACCACCCCTTGACTACCTGCCCCCACCCTCTGATCCAGTGATTCCCTCTCTCCATATACCTTCAGATCAACTACTGGCCCCACCCTTGACTACCTGCCCCCACCCTCTGATCCAGTGATTCCCTCTCTCCATATACCTCCAGATCAACTACTGGCCGAACGATGACAGTGATCCGACTGACTGGATGCAGTTCATCAGGTTCCCCGGCCAGGTCAGTGAAGGGATGATCATCGGCCTGGAGCAGAACGGCTGGACATGGATGGACGTCCAGGTGTACAACTCGGCCGGACTCGGACCACGGATGGAGCCCTACACCCAGGAGACCTTGCATCACGGTAGGTCACTGCTGACCCCAGGTATCCTGGCTCAGTGAATGTACCCCTGACTAGTCTTCTTTTCATGACATTCGAAGTGTCATCCAAGGATAAACGTGACTAGCCTTGTGTTCACGTGTTCGCCCCTCACCCCGAAAAAACAAACATTCCTGGTGTGCCCGCCGTGATATTGTTGGCATAATGCTAAAAGCGGCGTAAAACGATACTCACTCACTTACACCAAACATTCAAACTGAGGGGGAAAAGGTGCTACACCGAGTTTGTTTCTGTGTTTAAAAAATGAAAGAACCGCAAATATGATTTACTTGTGTACTTAACCATCACAGCAGTTTGTAAAATGTTTGACACAAATATTTTGTTTAATGATGACAGTGATAAGAAATACATTTACAACCACAGGACCTTTCCATGTCCCGAAAGGCCATTTAATCAACTTTGAAAGATAAAATGTCTTACAACAGGGATAGGTCACTGCTTGCTTTCTTTACCATTTGTACTAATTAACGTGTGCCTCGTCATGCTCCAACGCACACAGTGACTTGGTTCGGTCCCAGCGCAACTTCGGCTGCGTTTAACAGTACTTCAGCCAGTGTATTGTATAGGTCGGAATTTTACAATGAATGAATGAATGAATTAAGAGCAAGAATTTTATGTGAATGAATGAAAGAAATTAAGAAAAAGAACAAAAGAAAAAGAACATATGTGAATGAATGAAAGAATAAATGATACACCACGGCCATCCCTCCCCAAACATGTTAAAGAACGCAAAACTATCGGTAGAACACATGTTAACATCAGCTGTCCTTTTATAAAAAATCTACTTTGAGACATTTTTTACATTAGTAACTAATTCAGATATCTTATTGCATGTGTGGAATGACATGGGCATTGACAGAATGTTAACTGACACTGTCACAGACCCCTCAAGAACAGAAAGTTTAGAACTATCACAAAGCCTTGCAAACACCTTTCCAGTTTTGTCAAATACTAAGATCAACAAGAAAGAAAGAAGTTTTAGAACTATAACACTCAAGCATCACAAGCACCAATGGCGTATCAGAACAGATCGGCGATATGTCATATTTTTCACACACCTCAAATACACACTAACAAAAAAAAAAATAAAACTATCACTATTACTTGCAAAAAACTTTCACCTGATGGTATATTCCCCTCATAAAAATTAAAGGTGTATGTGAAAGATGTTTTAGAACAATAACTAGAAACACTCAAACAACGCCCTGTAGTATTTCAATGGCAGATCGGCGATATGTCATATTTTTCACACACCTCAAATACACACTAACATTTTTTTAAATTATAAAACTATTACTATTACTTGCAAACACCTTTCACCTGATGGTATATTCCCCTCATAAAAATTGAAGGTGTATGTGAAAGATGTTTTTGAACACTAACTAGAAACACTCAAACAACGCCCTGTAGTATTTCAATGGCAGATCGGCGATATGTCATATTTTTACACACCTCAAATACACACTAACAATTTTTTTTAAATTATAAAACTATCACTATTACTTGCAAACACCTTTCACCTGATGGTATATTCCCCTCATAAAAATTGAAGGTGTATGTGAAAGATGTTTTTGAACACTAACTAGAAACACTCAAACAACGCCCTGTAGTATTTCAATGGCAGATCGGCGATATGTCATATTTTTCACACACCTCAAATACACCCTAACAAATTTTTTTTAGTTATAAAAATATCACTATTACTTGCAAACACCTTTTAACAAAAGGTATATTTCCCTTCTAAAAATTAAACGAATATGTGAAAGAAGTTTTTAGCGATATAAGTTAGTCTTTCTTCGCTGTGTACTGAGAATTGAAGCCAGTGAGCTACAACATGCCCACTTGAAACTTTACTACAAAGCTACTGTACTTATACTGACACTAATAACAAGTATTTGACTTAAAATGAAGTGACAGAATAGGTAACTTATCTTCTACATGTAGGTTTTCAGTTGTCACAACACTCAGCGTATGTAATCAGCTGTTGAAAATAAACCGGGCTCAATCTTAAAAACTACGCTGCCGCCATATTGGCTGCACTGGTCACGTGACGAGCCGAGGCATAGCTTAGAGCTTTCCGAGGAGTGACCACTCCCCTTATAGAGTCTCCCTGGACAAGGGGGTGCTGTACGCCCTCAGGATAGCCGGGGTCAGCCCTGGCGGCGATGGCAAGAAAACCCCCACTAAGTATTTCACTCTGGGTAAGTGTCGGCTCAACACCTTGACATGCTTGCAAGTGGTTTGCGTTGGCTTGTCGTGAAGACCCGGGTGAGCATCCAAGATTATTAATAATCATTGGGTGTACGGGAGCTTCATACCAAACACATCGCCGCACGCACACACGCACACACGCACAGAAACAACATATATGCGTTTAGATAGAGCAGATTAAATAAATGAATCCGGTAGGAATCACGACGTTGTGTGTCGTTCTGTCAACCACAGGTTTAGGTGAACCGGGCGTCATGGTGTCGTCCTTAACGTCCGTTCATAATGTAGTACCTATAGCACAAAATTCAAAATCCTGACTCCAGCTGGTTTAGTGGCGCCAGGAATGACCTAGTCAATTGATCATCACAGCAAATACATACATTCAATTCGTCGCATGGGTACAATGTACAGAAGCAAGCCCGTTTCCTATATAATCCGTCATGATATTGCTGGAATATTGTTGACATAAGCGCTCTGCCGGTTTGTATAAAGCCATAATCACGCTCTGTTACCTAGGCCGCCAAGATAGTTGCTACGATGACGATGATGTCATTGATGTCAATATTATCATTCTGTTTCATCCCCAAAGTCCGAGAAATGTTTGTGGGGTTTGGGGAGGTGTGTGTGAGTGTGAGTGTGTGCCCGTGTGTCTCTATCCATGCGTCGAACAAGAGCTCAATATATTTCTGTTAATGTTTTCCATTTAACCTTTCGTCTGTATGAAAGAGACTGAATTGATGTTTCAGGGGGCTCTGTGCGGATCGACTCCACAATGGCGTCATCAATGACAATCAGAGCCGGAACAGTGAGACTCCAAGCACCACTAACGGCTCTCCTCTTACCGTTATTGCTGGCACTGCATCTACTCTGGAGACAAGGAAACCTGTAGGCGACTCTTCCATAAAGATTCTATTTCCTTGTGTCTGCATTCCGAGACAAAACCACGCGGGTATTAGCCAATTGAAAGCGACATTCATGTGCTTGTTTACATCCGCACTTGCTGGGTGGGAAGCTGCTCTGGTTTGCGTTTACAGATTAACGTCCTACTCACTTACATAACTAACTGGAGGAACTACAACGTTCATCCAAGACGGATGCGATGCTAACACCGTCATGTCTGAATGCACATACTTGGAATATTCATCGCGCTGAAGAACTGGAATTTAATTATAGGAGCCAGACATCTTAATTTGTGAAATGCAAAGGCGTTTCTCATCATAAAAAGTCACAAGAGGAGTTTTCAAATAACCTACTTAACTCGAACATATGTCGAGTTAAATGTTGTTCGAAACAAACGGAGCTTCGACCATTTCATCATTAAACCTGTCACTTTGAAGGCAAAGACGTTTCTTTTCACAAATAGTCATAATACGAGTTGTCAAATAACCTAGTCTAGTGGTTAAAGCGTTCGCTCGTCATGCCCAAGGCCCGAGTACAATGGGTACAATGTGTGAAGCCCATTTCTGGTGTCCCCTGCCGTGCTAGAATATTACTCCAAGCGACCTGAAAACCATACTCACTCACTCGAACATCGATCGAGTTAAATGTTGTTCGAGACAGGCGGAGCTTCGATCATTGCATCATTAAACCTGTCACTTTGAAAGCAAAGACGTTTCTGATCATAAATAGTCATAATACGAGTTGTTAAATAACCTACTTAACTCGAACATATATCGAGTTAAACGTTGTTCGAGACAAGCGGAGCTTCGACCACTGCACCATTCGACCTGCCACTGGGACCACTGTAACGATACACAGAGTTTAACTAGCTTTACCTCGAAGTTGATGTGTCGATGTCAACAAAGCTTACATGTATTACAGGTTCACTCTTTTACAACTTACAGCATGGTGCTTCATGTCCTATTTATAAAACCATTTAGCTATAGTTGATGTACGTTCATCAAGCGAATACCGACTGAAAGGCGAAACGCGTTCTTGACACCGCTCCAAAACATCCCTGATACTGGATGATAAACATCAGATCGTATTATCACCGCCAAAACATCTATGCAAATAATTATTGAAGAATGTTATTCTTGCTTGTAAACGATGCGTAATACTCAGAATCATTATTTTGTTTACATGTAGCAGTCATATCGTTTGGAATGTATATATCATCCTGGTGCCTTCCAATGTCAGTCTGTCACATGTTTGTAATAAAAGAAGAATACATTCCTAAATGTATTTTTTGTTTTGTTTAAAGACCTGATTCGCGTTAGCAGCTTCACGTTGTAACACATACATTGTCAGAGTAGCATAACCGTTAGAGCTGGACGGTGGGGTAGCCTAGTGGTTAAAGCGTTCGCTCGTCACGCCGAAGACCCTGGTTCGATTCCCCACGTGTACAATGTGCGCAGCCTATTTTGGTGTCCCCTGCCGTGATATTGCTGAGATATTGCTATAAGCGGTGTAAAGAACGTACTCACTCACTCACTAACCGTATCAATTGAATGGGCGAGTGAGTGAGTTTGATTTTAACGTGACAACGGAAACGCTGAAGCATGGGCCGGAATGCCAGACATTGCAATACGTTCATTTCTTTGGTTGCAATGTCATTTGAGTGAGTTTAGTTTTACGCTATATTCCAGCAGTATGGCAACGTCTGTAAATAATCGAGTCTGGACCAGACAATCCAGTGATCAACAGCATGAGGATCTATCTACGCAATTGGGGTACGATAATATGAGTCAACCAAGTCAGCGAGCCTGACCACCCGATCCTGTTAGTCGCCTTTTACGACAAGCATGGGTTACTGAAGATCAAATCTAACCCGGATCTTCACGGGTTCAATTGCAGGGACAAACTTCTACCCGATTACGTCCTTTGGTCTAAAGGGGCAATGTACCCAAGCCTTTAATCGTTACTACCGTTAGATACATCAACGACCTGTGGAACTTTGATCTACCTTCCACACGACGAATACACCGCTTCATATATTACGGATCTGTTCAAACTGGCATCACACTTATTCATTTACTCCTAACTTTGTGTTTCATGCTGAGCTAGGTTTTATGCCAGCGTCAGCTGATCTAAACAATGATGTTTTCTGGAAGAACTCTTGAAAGATAAGGCAACTTTCCAAGTCTTTGAGAACCTGCATCTCGCAGACGTGATGACGTTAGACTGAGCGGTAACGAGAATACCCAGTGAGAATGTCCGTACAATGCAGCATCCAGCTTGATAAACACTAGGTGATCCGATTACTTCGATAAACGAGAGGCAGATTCTGGGAGAGATGTTTTTGGCTCATAAATCACTGTCATGCAGCTTCCACTGTGGAGAAAGATATAACTAAAGATATCATGCCATTCTGAGGGTTGTGATAACTTACCCCTCTCTACTGTACTCAGGATTTAACTCACAGTAATATGGGGGCACAGATAGCATGGCAGTGACATGTGAGCGTGGGTTCGAACCCCGGATCTGCTTGATAATGTTTCAAGGTTTGTCAGAATCATATCCATAATGAGTTTTTACCAAAGTGCTGAACGTCTGAGACCCCTTCTTTTCAAACTTCACGAGAAATGAATAACTGTCACAAGTGGCGTAAAACTCAAGTAACTCACTCATGACACCAAAGCGGTAAACGGTCACGTCAGGCATTGTCCAATATTCAGTTGAGACGAGAAGATAAAACTGAAATACTGCTTAAGGAGGTACAGACATAACTCAAGCCAAACGAGTCCAAAATCAAAGCAAAACCCAACTGTGACGATGGGACAACGAAAATGAATAAATGTGTTTTATAATGTTCGCTGAAGTGTTTTGTAGTGTTAAGTTCAGTGCTTTGTAGTGTTCAGTGCAGTGTTTTTAGTGTTAAGCGTAGACTTTTGTAGTGTTCAACGTGGTGTTTGCCGAAGACTTCTTTACGGGTCTAGAGTTTGTTGGGTAGCCCAGCGGTTAAAGTGTTCGCTTGTCACGCCGAAGACCTGGGTTCGATACCCCACATGAGTACAATGTGTAAAGCCCATTTCTGGTGTCCCAGAAAACGGCGTAAACCCCAACTCACTCACTCGCTAGAGTTTTGTTGTGTTGAGTGCGGTTTCTTGTAATGCCAAGCGTGGTGTTTGTGATGTCCAGCGTAGTCTATGAACTGTGTGGCATTCTGTTGTGTTAACGGACCGTTCATAATGTATGGCTATGGGGGGTGATGATGATCTTAAGAGGGGGTGAGGTGTCACCCAATTTGTTCTGGGGAGCTGGGGGTATCAAATTTGTACACACGTACTAGGGGGTCAGCAATTTTGTACATAAAAATATGTTTAAAATTATGCTTAGAAACTATGGGTGGGGGGTTAATTGATTTTGTACATAACATGCAGGGGGTTGGGGTGTGTCACTTATTTTGTACATTAAATTTAGGGGGCTATATTCACATTGTACATGCTTCTCCATAAAAATAATCATCACCCCCACCCCCAGCCATAAATTATGAACGGTCTGTAATCATAGTGTTGTTTGTGAAGTTTTCAACATAATCCTTTGTCGTGTGCAGTGATTTCTTTTGTTGTTGGCATGAAATTTTAAATGGTTTTAACATTTAAATTGAAAGCTCATCTACCACAAACAAGGGCGGATTTAAGGGGGAAGGGATGGTTCCTGTACCCAGCGGCTGATGTTTACATATACCGTGTGGAACAATCGCCTCAGATTGACAGATATGTAACGTACATAAAACAGTCTTTATTCAAAACAGACCTTGCAATAATCTCATCCCGGATGGGACTTAACCTAGCAAAAGTACTAGAATCTAGCTGTACATTACTGAGAAAGTGTAATCCCAAATATAACATGTGTTACATTTGACCACTTTCTAAATGGCATTGTGTATTCATTACGGGTTGTGATATCAAACATTAAATTCATACACAAAGTACAAACAGAACTTTATATAACACTGCTTACGACCATGAAATTAAACTCTATTATCATGACCGATTCAGCTTCGGCTATTTTGCTACACCGCACACAACTGGGCTACAAATACCCCTGAATTCATCATTATCGTTCCTAACTCGTGTCGAGATTCATGATACAACCGTCAATACATCTACACTACAGTCAATACATCTACACTACAGTCAATACATCTACACTACAGTCAATACATCTACACTACAGTCAATACATCTACACTACAGTCAATACATCTACACTACAGTCAATACATCTACACTACAGTCAATACATCTACACTACAGTCAATACATCTACACTACAGAGTCAATACATCTACACTACAGTCAATACATCTACACTACAGTCAATACATCTACACCACAGTCAATACATCTACACTACAGTCAATACATCTACACTACAGTCAATACATCTACACTACAGTCAATACATCTACACTACAGTCAATACATCTACACCACAGTCAATACATCTACACTACAGTCAATACATCTACACTACAGTCAATACATCTACACTACAGTCAATACATCTACACTACAGTCAATACATCTACACTACAGTCAATACATCTACACTACAGTCAATACATCTACACTACAGTCAATACATCTACACCACAGTCAATACATCTACACTACAGTCAATACATCTACACCACAGTCAATACATCTACACTACAGTCAATACATCTACACTACAGTCAATACATCTACACTACAGTCAATACATCTACACTACAGTCAATACATCTACACTACAGTCAATACATCTACACTACAGTCAATACATCTACACTACAGTCAATACATCTACACTACAGTCAATACATCTACACTACAGTCAATACATCTACACTACAGTCAAGTCCTTATTGTTCCAGGACACACCAATTTGTCATCATGTGACAAAACGCCCGAAAAAGCCTCCACACAAATGTATTGTTCATTCATTGTACTGATTTATTCACAACTGTTAACCAGACAGGTTATTAGGTTTCAGTTTGTGTACATACGAACAGTTCGCGAAAACACACCTGACAACAACTTACTTCGCGGAAAGCTCGAGCATGCAAAAAGCATGCGTTTTTGCAACGTGTGGAGTTCGAAGTGAAATTGTAGTTAGTTCGTTTCGATATATTGATAAGGCAGCACGCCTTGAGATAGTTCGTTAGTGGTAACCATTTGGGTGTTAGATTGTTTGACAGAGGGTTAGTGTAATAGAAAGTTAGAAATGTAAGATGTTGTAAAGGTATCAAAAGGTAAATTAAAACAAATATTAGATTCTGATTTAGTGGTTTTGTTTTGATATCACGACTAGTACAGTTCCTGCTGACCACTCACTATGTTAATTTGTAACTATCATCTCAACATCCGTAAGAGCGAAACTGTGACAATTTGACATACTTTGGCCCTTGTTCATCTTTAGCCACGCATATAAGACACTCATTAAGTTGTCGTGTACTGAAGTTACCTTACAGTGTATCATCCTTAATGTAGGTGTCACCTTAAGTGAGTGAGCGAGTGAGTTTAGTTTTACGCCGCACTCAGCAATATTCCAGCTATATGGCGGCGGTCTGTAAATAATCGAGTCTGGACCAGACAATCCAGCGATCAACAGCATGAGCATCGATCTGCGCAATTGGGAACTGATGACGTGTGAACCAAGCCAGCGAGCCTGACCACCCGATGCCGTTAGTCGCCTCTTACGACAAGCATGGGTTACTGAAGATGAATATTCTAATCCGGACCTTCACGGGTGTGTGTCACCTTGAATTTTAACATCCTAGAACGCCGCTTGAAACAGGATTTCAATTATACGACAGCGTGTCAGCTTCATGTGGGCGGGAGGGTTAAAGTGGTGTATGTTGAGATGCACGTTCACCTATGGAATACTGTAAGGGACATTCTCGCGATCTCGACCTTTGGTAACAAGCTAAAAGTGCCAAAAGTGCGAGATCGCGAGAATGTCCCTTACAGTATTCCATAGTTGAACATGCATTCTCGCGATCTCGCATCCTCGCACTTTTGGCATTTTTAGCTTGTTTCCAAAGGTTGAAATCGCGAGAATGCGAGATCGCGAGAATGTCCCTTACAGTATTCCATATTTACCACTATGGAGGAACAGAAATGGTCGTCATAAACCACTGATTGTAATAAGGACTTATAGTGAGTGTGGTTTAAAGCCGCTATAGTAGTATTGTAGCGATATCACATCAGGTGACACAGAAAGGGGCTTCATACATTCTACCTATCTTGGGAATCGAACCCGTCTCTTCGGCGTGAGGAGCGAACGCTTTAACCACTAGGATACCCCATCGCCCCTAATGAAGACTTCTAACGGAATATGCTGTATATAATGAGCGATAGTTTTATATTTGTCTGGATATGGAAATTTACGAATATCCACACAAATTAATTGTTTTACGTATAAAACTGTTACTACACAGCTGTAAATAAAACGAACCACGATAATGTATGAAACATGTTTTATTCTAATTCGAAAACATGTCGATGTTTAAATTTATCTTGTACAGTCTAGAAATAATCATACTTGATTTCTAAATTCTACTTAGTATTCAGAGTCGGATTAAAGCAATCCAACTAACATGACGCAGTGAATCAACAATTTTGAAGGTTCGGTGGCATTTTGTTGTTATTGTGAAGTGGACAGGCTAATTGAGATTTCTACTGTGCCTGATAAGGTAAATGTACAGTGTAATAATTTGTCACATTTGTTTAAATCATTGCAGGTAAAACATCATTTCAATTTAAGATCGCGTACACATTTCTTGTGTATGCTATCGTATGCTACGCAGCTACAGAACGGTCTTGGTGCTGATGCTTCGTTATCTGGTTTTTCGGATATCTCGAAGAGACAAAACGGTCCCGATAGACTCCATACACTGGGGTTTCGACTGTACACAACATCCATTTGCAAGCTATAACAAGTGATTAAGCACGTGATTAAGCACATTACAGCGTTGTGGTCATAGGAATGTGATTAACTAAGTGATGACATAAAGCAAGGAACGTCATAACGTCCATCAATCAAATGTCATGTGATAATGTGAAATAAGCGCATACCAGTCAGACAGAAGGGAGACAGGCATTCTTGTATGTCAGCCCTGAAACCTGGTTGACGTCAGATGTGATGACGTAATGTGTACATCACGTCACCGTCGCTAATCTAACTCGATGTATATGACTGACACTCACATGATGTACTTGTGATTATGCCACTGTGTGAAGCAGGATGTACAACTGACGTAAGTCAACGTTCAAATATCGGTCTTAAGACAGTCATAGAATTAACGTCGCTTTGTGGACATGGCCCTTGGATTTAATTCCCTGTGCATGGCTGGATGGTATGTTCACATACTTATATGCGCTACATTTTCAACTGTTTGAATACCACTTTTAATGTTTCGCTCGCCAGTAGTGCTTCTTTCGACAGCTGGCAAAAAACGACGTTCCCCTTGCCAACTTCAGACGCTTGCAACGACAACGACGATGGTCGATGTCCAGTATCTTGTTCGCTGGGATGATGTGTCCTTTGTACTGACAGTTATGCCCTAGAGGAAGAAGGAAAATAAATTAAGAACTATAACTAAAGACTATATGTTGTGTTACATTGCAGGGTAAAGGTCTGAAATAGCCTAAAAGAAAAACATAGTAAACACTCGGGTTAGATGATGACTGAAAAATTAAACAAATGCGAAGTAGTTATTCGATGATGAGGTATATAATAGGGATATCACAGTTGTCCTTTGTCCCTAAGCTTTGTTGTGTTAGACTTGTGTTTTTTTAAGTTTGTAAGTGGTTTGTCAAATCCAGTTTGCATGTGTATATTTTCTTGCCCGGCAGTTTATCATTTTGGTAAAACAATCAGTTGAACGTTGTTAGCAAGAACCCCCATGTCATATAATTTACTCAGTAAAATGTAGCTACTCTATCATATGGGATAGATATTTATAACTACAAACATGTGTGTTTCTAATTTGTTATATTCTATTTGCATATAGTAGTTCTTGGCTGTTTGGTTTAGAGATGGGATGTATATGCTGATCTCACTTAAAGCAGAAGATGTGTAATATTTGCATATGGATACAAACGCATTAGAGACATCTTGGTCTAGTTATAAGGACAATGAAGAGATAATTAATAATGCATTTTAAAGCATCACAATTTAGTTTGCATTCTTCAAAGTTACAACGTACACTACTTCAAGTCGTATATGTTTCATTTTACGTTTGTGTTTTTTCCTTCCACTATCACTGAAATAAATCCCAAATTGGAAGTGTCCTTGACACCTGTGCTGTGGTATATCGTTGCCTGTTTTCCAAAGGAATAAACGACGATTTATGGACAGTATTACACATGAACGCCATTGAATGCGCCTCGGATCACGTCACAAAGGGTATTCGGTTAACTGCTATTTGATCGCTGTTTCGCAAGCAGCTCTGGGTAGAAGAGCGCAATGCCAAAAGCCGTCGGAATTATCGCTTTTGTATGGAATTCTGGAAGGGACATTGTCGCGTTGTTGCATTGTCGCGTTGTCGCCCTCTCAAAAACAAACAAAATGGGGGCAGAATTAACCAAAGCGCGGCAATGCGACAATGCGACAACGCGACAGTTCGGCCATTTGTCGCATTGTCGCGATGTCGCAGGTCGCGTTTTGAATAATATTTTTCTATTCCCCCAGAGGGCGACAATGCGACATAGCGACAATTTTCAAGGTCAAAATATGTCGCGTTGTCGCATTGTCGCCCCATCTAAGATGTGTAAAAAAGCCTAAAAATGCGCGACAACGCGACAATGTCCCTTACAGGATTCCATACTTGTGTACGTTGCCAAACGGTACATAATGGAGCACAGCGCACGGATAGGAAAACAGTGATGTCCGAATATTGGCTACAGTGTCGCGGAAGGAAAGTGCCAAGCAAAAGAAGGTATACACTAGAAATGAATTTATCTAGAATGGTAATAGTTCAAAAACACATTTGTGATACAAGAATCAAATGCATCACCATCGAATGACCTTTCTTCGTTTGCTTCATCCAAAGTCACCATCATCATATGGTGTACACTTTCCTTTGTCAGGAGTTTTAGCGTGATCCAGAAGTTCAGAAGATAAATTTTTGTGTGTGTACGTGTGTGTGCGTGTGTCTGTCTGTGTGTGTGTGTGTGTGTGTGTGTGTGTCTGTCTGTCTGTCTGCCTGCCTGTCTGTCTGTGTTTGAGTGTCTCTATGCGCGCGTTCGTCAGTGTGTCTCTCTCTTTCTGTGTGCGTGCGTGTGTGTGTGTGTGTACAAGGCCGTAAAGAAGGCATCCATAACACAACGCTGTTATCAGCAGAGGCAGAATAGAAGCCATTGGGGGTGTATGTTAAATGACATTACAACCAAACAAATGAAAGTGGGCATTACGGCCCATGCTTCAGCGTGTCCTTTGTCACGTTAAATTGAATAGCTGTAGAATTAGACTAATGCATATCAATAAAAAGACAACGAACCCTCGCCTTGATTAAACTGAGATAGCAGGCACATAGCTAGTAACCAAACTTGTTTTTGATATTGCCCTGTACATTTCTATATTTCTATAGCACACGTTCCCCTACACCGAAGACCAGGTTCGATTCCCCACATGGGTACAAAAGCTTTAAGTTGTGAGTTCAGAAGAAACGTCTTTTAAGAACGTTTTAAGAACGTTTAAACCATTTGAAATTCGGATTGGATGCGCGTGTATGTGGCAGAGTGTGGAGTAAGGGGCAGGGACTTGGGGTTTTATCGAAAAATAGATCCCCACAAAATGCTTAAAAATAATATTACAGAAAGCCGGATAAACATTATTCATTATTAGGTGATATCATTTATAAAGAATACACGAAGATGGTCTTCTTCACAATAATATATTTGTTTCCAGCTGTAGAATATCTAGCCTCCAAATACAGTCTAGGTCTTTTCACATGGTCGATTCTACACTGTTAGCATGATGCTGTAAGGAGTTTATTCAAGAGGTAAAACCCTGACAGACACAACATAATTCACACCAGATGCCTTCCATAAAACCCTGTTAAGAGTTTCAGGGATTTCAACGTGTGCACAGCTAAGTTTGATCATACGTTTAGACTATAGGTTAGTATGGATGACTCTGCTAGAGTCTGTGCGGGTCATTACCGAATATCGGATTGATGTAATCCTTGTAAATCAGATGACCCGTGAAGATCCGGGTTAGAATGTTGATCTTCAGTAACCCATGCTTGTGGTAAAAGGCGACTAACGGGATCGGGTGGTCAGGCTTGCTGACTTGGTTGACACATCATCGGTTCCCAATTGCGCAGATCGATGCTCATGCTGTTGATCAGTGGATTGTCTGGTCCATACTCGATTATTTACAGACCGCCGCCATATAGCTGGAATATTGCTGAGTGCGGCGTAAAACTAAACTCACTCACTCACTTGTAAATGGGATACCCAAAATACTCAAACAATGGCGTAAGGGTTGTGTTGTCTGCACAGACAGTTGAAGTAGTTCTACATGATCATACACTTTTTGAATACACGGCACAGAAATGTGTCCGAACTGATGTGTTTTTATTAGAACAACGTTAAAAAGGACGTAAACATACTGTGTTTTCAATGTAGATCTATGTTCCCTGTGGAGTTAACGGTGCCAAACTGAAATATGGACGGAACACGCAGCGTGAAGTTTAAATGTTTGATTTAGAATGTCAAATCCGATTTCGAGATAGAATGCAGCATACAGTTACAACAGAGCATGTTTATCTCATGGTCTTGGATGTCAGTATATCGACATTGCGCTCAATGTTTTGAGTATCCTGTCGATTTGAATTACGGCAACCCAGATAATCCACTTTTTCCCAAGTTTGTCGCTGTATACAACCAAACATCGTTATCTGATACATAAAACTGATAACACCAGATCTAGTGCTCGCTACGCCTTGAGATTATTCTGAGGGAAAGCCATGGCAGTCCATGTCAGAACGACCTTGTCTTGCACATATATTTTATGTCAAGCTATTAAAATTGTGCAATCACGGTTACTTCGAGAACCTAAGTTATAGATAAAAGGACACCCACCCACCCCGTCCCCCAAAGCAAAAGGACACGCATGACTTCCAAACCCCACGTGACTGCCATGAGGCAAAACCGTTTTGTTTTTGTTTTCATTACGGAATAAATATTGTTTCTTTCGGTTGAATGAAATGAATTAGATAGAAACTATTTTCTCCTTGGTGGTATGCGAATCTACCAAGGGAGGTAATTTTGTCCGACAGGTGGCGCTGTTTAAGGTATAAATGAAGAAGGAATTTCAAATATCGTCTCTCTTGCTCTAGACACAGCAGTGTTCACATCATTTAACTTTTATTTCCTTTAATTTCATGTATATATGTATATATCTATATTTCATATGCATAATATCTCATGTTTTGTTTTATTGTTGCAGGTGGTGGTTGTATTTGACCGTGATGGTTGTGAATTTAGCACAGTGTGGTGCTTGTGAGCATTGTTTGCTGTCTGGATTTATGTGCACTTGATGAATTTTGTAAACAGGTTTAATTCCTGTTATCTTCATGGGTAGTAAACCAAGTTTGGTATGTAGAGCTGATTTGCTCATATTTTCTACCGTGTATGGTTAGGTTGCAGAGCCTTTATAACACTGATGTGTTGTGACTTTGTTTGATTCACATGCCAGGCTGCGAAGCCTTTATAATATCCTGTTATACATTGAATGTATTATAATGGTTGGTATATTATGAGCAGCAATGTTTTGCAAACTAGGCTGCAGAGCCTTGAGAATACTGTTATGACATTGTTGTCCTGTGGTGAGACAATGTTTGTTTCATTTTGCATCATGTTGTAAATACTATAAACTTCCTAGTAAGAACTTTAGCATTCGTCGGGAGGGCACAGTTCCAGAGTTTTTTCTCATGTATGAGTTGTTATCTCTGGTTTATGTGGCGGGCTAGTTCTACTGAACATGATGATGTCGTATTGCATGTTGCGTGATGTACTTATCTTGTTATAAGTGCTGAATTTTGCTGGAATGTGGTTATATGAGGATTTTGTAAAACGGAAAAAATCTGCCATGTGTCGCCGAGCGGCCGTTCCAATGTTCTGAATGTGTTGTGTTTCTATTTGGAGTGAGCTCTGTTGGGAAGGAGAACATGGTGTCACATCGGAGACAGAGGAGTGTAAACAGGCTGTAATTTAGTGTGTATGTGATAGGTTGGTGGGTTGTTTTTTACCCCGCACTCAACAATATTCCAGCTATATGGCGGCTGCCTGTAAATAATCGAGTCTGGACCAAACAGTCAAGTGATCAACATTATGAGCATCGATATAGACAATTGGGATACGATGACATGTGTCAACCAAGTCAGTGAGCCTGACCACCTGATCCCGTCAATCGCCTCTTATGACAAGCATGGGTTACTGAAGATCAATTCTACCCCGGATCATCACGGGTTAGTGTGTAGATCTATGTGTATAAAATATGCATGTAGCGATGCCTATATGAAGAATAATAAAGAACTTGCATGTATGGTTGTGGAGTCAAATAAAAAAAAGGGACACGGTTGGTATCGAGTTGCCTCCCTTGGGCACACCAGAATCTAGTGTTCCAATCCCGGTTTGCCCAGATTATGTTTCTAGGTTGGTCACAGCGATGCTCGGGATCATGGGCTTCACTATAGTGGTAAATGTCTGAGAACTGCATTACTTCGGGCTTTCCTCCCAGTTTAAGCAGAAATGCATACCGTTCAGTTAAGCCCCACCCACTCACTCGCTCAAATAACGTTCAAGGTTTATAGATTCGACATACTGTCATACATTTCTTAGTGAAGAAGCCAAATATTATTTTCGCTGTGTAGAGTGTGCGATATTTAATTACAAGGATCTATAAACTTTAATTACATTCATAACTTAAGTAACGCTGAATATAAATTGGGGCGAGCGAATAGTCAATACACATATTAAAAGAACATTTAAATGTTCATTTCTATTGCCGGTGGGCTGTATCTTAAAACAGGCTGTCAGTTGTGTGCCGACAGAAAGCCCGGTCGTCAAGACGCCTTTCATCAAAAAAGAATAAATCTGTTTAAAATGCGACAGTCCGTGTCAAAGCGACATTGATTACAAAGACATGGATGTCTGGTAACAGTGTTTGCAAACAGCATTGCTATATGATGCTTAAACAAACTTCACACGCTGTTTTATTACTGGAGGTTTCCAGTTTCTGTCATGTTGAAGTTTTTATGTCGGGGTCTGGGATGTCGGGGCGACCGTCGGCAAAATTCACAAACAAGCGGTGCATTTTAAACACATCCTGCTGTCTGACCTTTCTGGAGGTAGCCGGGGTTTGAACGACATTTAGATCAAGGAAATATTACCATATATTGTTTGTAAAGCGGTGTTTCAAATGTAATTTACTTATAAATCATTTTCGAGCTCTGAGGAGATGAGTCTACACTGTCAGTATGACACATTTAGGTTTTCGGGCCCTAAAAACTTCGAAAATTATAATTACATGTTGTTAAGAGCATGGTACAGATTTAACATTTCCAGCTGTGGTATAAAATAACGTTTCTTTAATCATTTGCCACAGAAAGCTAACGATGATGAATTTTGAGTGTCAGGATGATTGTACAGATAATTAATGGATGAGATATTATTTGTCACTTAATTTTAAAATACTAACGCTTCTGGCTGCCACAAAGACAACTTTGTACATTGAGACTATGAGCGAGAATAATATCTAGCTCAAAGGAGAATGCACCCATTTAGTTCGATAAAGCACCAAGGTCTATTCCAGTCATAGATGACCCGTGAAGATCCGGTTTAGAAATGGTCTTCAGCAAACCATACTTGTCGTAAGAGGCGACTAACGGGATGCGGTGATCAGGCTCGCCGACTTCGTTGACACGTCATCGTATCTCAATTGCGTAGATCGATGCGCATGACGTTCATCACTGGATTTTCTGGTCCAGATCCGATTATTTACAGACCGCCGACATAGCTGTAATATTGCTGAGTGTGGCGTTAAACAACAAACTAAAACAAACAAAATCCAGTCATAGGTTTTATAATGTATCCCGTTATTTTCTGTTTTCTGCGACGTTTTAACGCAAATCTTACTAAGAGCAGTGATATTTCTTTGATATGTGTAAAAACGGCCTTAAACCTAACTTACTCATTCAAACAATAGTGAAAACATTAGGAAACTGACAATTTCAGTTGGTAATATTAATTTCGTATTGTTATACATACCATTTGGACATGATGGACAACAGGTGCCCTCTCTGACGACATGGTCAACACACCGAGGCCGCGGACACTGCGTCACCTCACAGACAGTCCGCCCTCCGGACTCCGGACAGTAGCACGTGGAACAGTTACCCCTGGACACAACTGACCCCACCTCGTAGACCTTCCCGTCACTGTGCAGACACCCATAGTGGAGACAGGTAGGGCAGCATACGTCATGGTCAGTAGCGAACTTGAGACAATGGGGTTCCCACTTACAGTCCATGATGGCGCATCTAGCCTCACCTCCACCCCGAGGACACTTGCAGAACGTACAAGGGTCTGGTTTAAAGGTCTGCCTGGCGGCGTACGTCACATTCCGGTATTGACAGGTGGTCGCTTTAACCGTCTCCGTTGACCCTTCAGTACAGATCAGTAACGATGCTGTCGATATCAAAACCAGAGGAGTCACATAATGCTGATAGGAAAACATGATTGAATCTCACTTAAAATGAAGTACAAGCACAAACGTTGCTTATTTCCGTTGCTGAGGTGTGTATATACCCCACACACTTTACACGGTGCTACAAACAAACGATTTCAAGTCCATAGTTATTCTGTCGCAGACTCCGTCCTCAGAATTCCACACTTGTATATCCTTCACAATACAACGTTATATTTTGGAAACGATATTAAAGAATGTTTTGCCATAGAGTCACACGCGCCTGGTAGTGATCTCGCATGTCGTTGCAACTCGCGGCCTGTATATCATGCTCTGTGGTCTTTGTCCCAATTCCGCAGTCTCTGATCCCTTTACCACAAGCAGCCTACCATGCAGGCCCATACCACATAATCGACAAAACAGGTTTTGCCAAACACTGAAAAAAGTCAGACACACTCTTCAAAAGCGGCGCAACGTTAACCTGTGTAAGTCACTCATAGTAGTGTTCAAAACGTTGTTGATTAGGGGAGGTAACTGCTCCAAAAAAAATCAGACATACTCTTCAACTGCGGCGCAGCGTTAACCTGTGTAAGTTAGGCTATGAAGTATTCAGATCGTTCTTGATCAAGGGAGGTAAATGCTGAATGGGGCAGGGATTACTGATAAACGTAGCATTCTCTGAGTAAAACTTGATTATACACGATTCATTAGTTCTGGGGAGTTTCCGTATTAAGACAATCGCCAGGCATACAATGTAAATACTTTCTTTTATCCACAGGTGGATTTCAAACAATAAGTCGAAAATATGTGGCGCATTTCCCCCTGAATGTTGCATGGCTAACAATTCAAAGGCAAAGTCAAGCATCATGTCATTGTTGAAAGCACATATCTATACATGAACAGGGATAGTTTTTATTTAAACTGCACACGGACGTCTTTAAATATAGACACGCTTTATGATAACATAAAATGTGTCTTTATTGTACTTTCAAGCTTCTAAAATGCCACTGAAAGAAGTTACAGGATTGGTTGCTTGTTTGATGTTACAAATAAAATGTCATTTAATACGAGTGAGTGAGTATAGTTTTACGCCGCTTTTAGCAATATTCCAGCAATATCAAGGCGGAGGACACCAGAAATGGGCTTCACATATTGTATCATGAACCGTGGGGAATCGAACCCGGGTCTTCGGCGTAATGACCACGCTTTAACCATTAGGCTACCCACCGCCCCTTTTTTAAAATGAAGACTTATATAATTTGAAATTTTATGTGTTGGTGTAATGAAAGTCTTAGTTTCCGTCGTGAGTTGAAGAAAAGATAGTCTTGAATTGAAAACAGATTCTATTTAAACTCTAACATGCGCTTGTGTTATTCAGTCTGAACGTACAGAATAACACGTAAAAACAATCAATCCGTTACAGTAAACAATCCGTACAGAATAAACTGTTTTACTTGCCATGAGTAAATACATTACATTGTGCGTTGTTTGTTGTTGAACACGTTGTATACCACTTTAAAGGTGTAGCAATATAACACAAAGGGCACAAGGAATGTGTATGAACGAAGGTATTCTCTCAGAGTGAGTGAATGAGTATTGTTTCACGCCGCAGTAAGCAGTATCCAGCTGTATCTCGGCAGGGGACACCTAAAATGGGCCTCTCACAGAGTACGCATGTGCGGAATCGATTCCGGATCCACCGCGGGGCGAGCCAAGGGGTTATCTATGAGGCCACCCCATTTGGTTCAGATACAGGTGGGAAACGTGTTTGTATCCGCGCGGCTGCTTTAAGTACTTTGAGGTCTGGAGTTGTACAGGTAGTTTACACTGTGGTCGTCATGCATAGAGGGGCTTCGAGTGCATAGCACTGAAAACGGGGTTTAATGTCGCGTTTAGGATTATTGCACTTACATAGGAAGGTCGTGCACAGGTCAAGGTCAGGCGTGTGTTGGATAGGAGGGTAGGGTTTAGGGGAAAGGTGTGCATGTTTAGGTGCGTCGATTTTGTGGGTCGTTTTTATTGTTTAGAAAGCCGCGGTGGCTGAGCGGATTAGACGGCTGACTTTGTGTGCTGGCGATTAGGTACCTGTCTCTGAGAGTGTGGGTTCGAATCCCGGATGGGACTCGCCCAAACAAAAGTACTAGAATCTGTACTTTACTGAGACAGTGTAATCCCAAATATAACATATGTTACATTTGACCACTTTCTAAATGGCATTGTGTATTCATAGTTTAGAAAGACATTTTCCCTATAGATAACCCGCCCTCCCCAAAATAAATCCCAATAACAAAACAAAATTGTCTCATTATTTCCTGCCCACACTCCCCCTTCCCGCTCCCAATATAGCTGTAATTAATAAATCTTAATCTCACTGCCTCCGCCCGCCCAAATCGTGTGATTAAATCATCTGTCTCATCAAATGGAAGACCCCTTGTTGAACCAATCCACAAATCACTTAATGTCACATGATAGCTCAGCGGATATGTAATGTGCCGTATCTCAATTACCATTAGCCGAAGGATGACTGCCACCATTTTGACATATATCAGTATGAGAGGAAACTAATTAACAATCGAAACCCAGTGAACCCACAACGCTTATTAAACGAGCTTCGTTAAAACGCAAAAAAAATCAGCCGTATAATGCGAGAGCAAAACGATAACAGCATGTCGCCATGTAAGCAACGCACGTAGACATATCGGACCCCGAGAGTAAAGCGGAGCTAGGCACAGGCTCATCACGGATATACGATCAGGATTATGGCAGTGCACTGGGGTGAGTTAGGGAAGATACTTACGACCAGACCTGCACCCCATGGCACAAAAACACCCCCGGGGACCAAACCTGATAGCGAAAGTGTTGGAGTTCATGTTCTTCAAATAACATTGCATCACATATGGAAATTTCATGGAAACGCAAAGACAGTTACATACCATAATTATGTTTACTGACTAGTTTTCGTACTTTGGTTGATTTCATTCGCACAACCAAGAAATCTTTTATCGACTCACAAATTATTTCTTTCAGTGGAATTTGTCGTTAATACTGATATGCCTCTCCCAAGTACATACATTTGAAAATAAGTAATTCCTATAGAGTACTAATAGAGGCACATGCTGGATGATTATTCGTAGTGGTTAATGAGTTCACGATATCAGAAGACAAGATTATATCTCCTTTGGAGCCAGTTTCAAATATCCAATTAGAAACAAGGCATTTCTGTGGCAACTTGTCTGGGGTAACTTGTTAATGTGTTCGCTCGTCACCTCGAAGGTCCAGGTTCCATTTCCTACATAGTTACAATACGTGAGGCCTAATTCTGGTGGCCAGGGGCGGTGGGGTAGCCTAGTGGTTAAAGCGTTCGCTCGTCACGCCGAAGATCCGGGTTCGATTCCCCACATAGGCACAATGTGTGAAGCCCATTTCGGGTGTTCCCCGCCGTGAAATTGCTGGAATACTGCTAAAAGCGGCGTAAAACTAAACTCACTCACTCACTAATTCTGGTGGCCATCGCTTTGATACACTGGTAAATAGCAGAACGCAGTGCCAAAAGCAACTCACTCACTCACTCTTATACTTAAACGTGTGTAATAATGTATTTGTAAGGAATTCTTTGACGCGGTAATGTGATGTTGAGAATTGTCTGTATTGATAGTGTTTTGTGCCTTAAACAGTTGCCACAGAAATGCCTTGTTTCTAGGAGACCCATTTATGGGGCATACAAATGGGGAAAACAATAACAAGCAGTATTATCAGAAACACACTTTCAAAACTTTCAAAGACTACAGTAAGCTACGGTTATAACAAACTCAAAGAGACCGCAAACTTCAGTTCGTTACATCCATAGTAAGTGTTCGCTGTATATATTTCAACAACAAAATAAACACCAAGTGGTCGGAACCAAAAGGTATTCGTTATAGCCGTCATTTGGTTAAAAGCGTGTTCTCTATACATGTGGTATACTGTAGATCCAGGGATGAAAGTAAGGTTGGTATCGGTCCAACGCCACGTCTTGCGATAAGTGTGGGTAAGTGGGCTTATTTTAGCGCCGCTTTAAACAATATTCAAATAAGAGAGTGAGTGAAGTTAGTTTTACGCCGCACTCAGCAATATTCCAGCTATATGGCGGCGGTCTGTAAATAATCGAGTCTGGACCAGACAATCCTGTGATCAACAGCATGAGCATCGAACCCATGAGCGCCGCTATTGTGCTCACAAACCTAAAACCAATCGATGCCCGTGAAGATCCGGGCTAGAATTGGTCTTCAGTAACCATGGCTTGTTGTACCCGTTAGTTACAAGTGCCATCTCCTTCCTATTACCTTGAGAGTGTAACTAATGGGAGACAACCCTTGTCGTAAGAGGCGACTAACGGGATCGGGTGGTCAGATTATTGGTTGTTACCACAGAGAAGAACCTGACGATGGCAATTCGTCACTTCAGCCAACAGCATGTGAACCAGTGTGAGTAATACATAGTTTCCAACCAGGGAAGATCCAGGTTTGAATTGATCTTCAGTAGCCAATGCTTGTCGTAAGAGGCGACAAATGGGATCGTGTGGTCATTGCGTAGATTGGTGCTCATGCTGTTGACCACTGGATTGTCTGGTCCAGACTGGAATATTTTACAGACCGCCGCCATATAGTTGGAATATTGCTGTGTGTGGCTTGAAACAACAAACCAAACCAAAAAGAAACAGTCAGGGCAATCCGGGATTCGCGAGTTTTGGCAACCCAAATTGACTCAACTCTGGTTCAATCTTTCTGAGGGACAAACGTGATCAATTTCTTTATCATGTCGCGATTCATGTGACAACTCACTCACTCATGAAGAGCTCAGATGTGCAGCATGAGTTTGTGTGCATATAATGAAACAACTCAAATTGCCATGAAGGAAGGTGTCCAAAGGACGTTCAGCATTTCATTCTCAAAGGATGTATTCAGTGGAGCGATACCACAGACAATATACTTTCCTGTCATAATACCATCATAGCAGTTTAATGAGCTTCCACGAAAACATTAAACTCACATCCTTCATTAGTGAGTGAGTGGGTGAGTTTAGCAATATTCAGCTATATGGCGGCGGTCTGTAAATAATCGAGTATGGACCAGACAATCCAGTGATCAACAGCATGAGCATCGATCTGCGCAATTGGGAACTGATGACATGTGTCAACCAAGCCAGCGAGCCTGACCACCCGATCCCGTTAGTCGCCTCTTACGACAAGCATGGGTTACTAAAGGTTCATTCTAACCCGGACCTTCACGGGTACATCCTTCATTAAGCGTAGTGAATGAGTGAGTATGGTTTTACGCCGCTTTTAGCAAAATTCGAGCAAAATCACGTCGGGGAACTAGAAATTGGCTTCACACTTTGTAACCATGTGTGGAATCGAACTCGGGCAATTTGTGTGATGAGGAACCTTTTAACCACCAGATTACCCCATCGCCACCTTTAAGCGTGTGCGTGTGCGTGTGCGTGTGCGTGTGCGTGTTGTAAACCGCATGACAAGAAAGTATATCAATACAAAAGATATCAATACAACTTTCGTGCCTGTGTCAATAAATTAGATTAAATAACATTCGAATAATCATTTCTTGAACATTTCATTTCTAGCACCGTCAAATATAGATGTGTACTTTCTTTTGACCTTCAGTTCAGTAATAGGTTATACACAATGTTATGGACTACAAACGGGATTGGCTTAGCGTGTGGTTGATCCCAAAATGCGTAGATCAGTGCTCATGATACCAATCACTAGGTTGTTTACAGAGGGCGGTGGGGTAGCCTAGTGGTTAATGCGTTGGCTCGTCACGCCGAAGGTTCGAATCTCCAAATGGGTACAATGTGTGAAGCCCATTTCTGATGTCCCCCGCCGTGATGTTGCTGGAATATTGCTAAAAGAGGCGAAAAACCAAACTCAGTCAGTCAGTCAGTCAGCTGTTTACAGAGCGCTGACTTACAGGATGAATACTGCTAAGTGAAGCGTTAACTAAAATATTAACAACCTGGGCCCCGTATCACAAAGCTCTCGTAGTGCTACAACTGTCGTACCTCCTACACTGTAACGTACACTTACGACAGTCGTAGTGCTACGATAGCTTTTTGAAATGGGGCTCTGGGCCCAATCCTCTAAACGGTCGTAGCGCTGCGACATTTGTAAGCCTCTGATAAACTATAGTGAGTTTAGTTTTTACGCCGCTTTTGGCAATATTCCAGCAATATCACGACACCAGAAATGGGCATCACATATTGTATCCATGTGGGGAATCGAACCCGGGTCTGACCCCATCGCCCCGATAAACTATAGAGTTACGACAGGTCGCAACGTTACGAACGCTTTGTACTGTATCTAGGTACGTATTGCAACGGCGCCAGTGATACCAATGTACGTTTTCTTACAATCTAAAACGTTAGAACGGAAGAACGATGATATCGAGATGAGAGTGACCAAATAACGCTAAAAAGAATATAAAGTAATGATTTTATAAAAAAATACAATTTCTCTATTAAGAACATATATACATACAATTCATGACATACGTGCATTCGGAATGATGAAAACTCATTAGATACAAAAATTCAAAGAATGCAGTCAAATAACGTATGAGATTTATACTTCACATTTCACTCCATACACATTATTTACAAAAATAGCAATCATCGTAAGTTGGTTCTGAACACGACTGATAGGTAGGCGGTCTCTCGGTAATTGAATGGTCTTTAGTGTCGACATACTGGGGCATGTCAAACGAAGCTGTGGTGTCGAAGTAGTTAAATGGTTTCAGGGTGAAACTAGAATGTGCACGGACAGTCATTGGCACATCCTCTGCTGTTGGAACGTGAAGGAAGCCTATACTAACCCACGTCACCAAGTCGGAATTTACAACTGGTTCGTCGTTGATCATTTGGTCCATTGACACCATCGGGTCAGCCAGGCGGTTGAGATCGTACGCCCCGTGATGTATTTCTCGTCGTCCTTCTGCTGGGTGACCATACAATGATACTTAGTGTAGGACACAGCCTCCATCACTGGGTGAGATTCGGGAACAACCTGGGCTTCAGATGTCTCAGGAACTATTCTATAGCCTCTCTTCGCGCCCCATCTGTTCTTCTGGTTTTCATTCACAACTGTCCAGAACTGAGGTCGGGACATGTCAATTTTCAGACCTGATTCCTTCTGAAGGGTCTCCCATTCAATGTATCTCGTCTCGTTGTATAAGAAGTATGACGGCTTCGTGGCAATGTTGGACTGTGTTTTCAATGCTTTGAGAACGTCGCCTGCTTTCCAGTGAATTACCTCAAAGCTGTTGTCAGTGCCGAGAATATCCAAATCAACTTTGAAACCAAACGTGTGATCATGTAGAGCCCCATGTGTGTATTCCCCAAGCCTGAACCCAAACGGATCCGTGCTTTTCTCTGTCCCAGCGTGGGGGTTCTCGGGGTCCCAGAAGCTTGCCTGGAGATATCCCGACGCCACGGCCTCCGTCTTGAGAGTCCCGTCAAGGTGGAACATGAAGTCAATGGTATAATCATAGTTTCCTACAGACATTGGGATTCGAACAATGAGATGATTATTTGCGAGACCTGCTGCATACTTGTCCTTCCTCCTCCAGAGAGCTTGCTCACCTGCAGTTTCAAACACACAAATTGTTTTAGCTGAGACTGGAGATTGGCTGTAGCTGTTGAACCAGGTAGCGCCCAATATGGCGGCATGGTCAGGGCAGTCAACTCCACGAATGACGTTCTGGAACTCCCCAACACCAAATGTGGCGTCCATGTAGATGGTGTTTGCTCCTGAAGACACATCAGAGGCATACACCAATACAACGTCGTTCAGTGAGTTCTCATACACGATCCTCTCATCCTTGAATTTGACATTGAAAATACTAGGACCTCGAAACTGACTTGCACCCACTGTGAAGTCCCATCCCATCCATTTGATATTATGGTCATTGATAACAAACCTATGTCCTGAAGGAGTGTATGACCTGGGAGGGGATTTAGTTGATGCGTATTGCCTCCTCTTGTCAGAGTTCTGTTTTGGGAAGGATGTGGCAAAGATTGTCTGGCGGTATCCTTTGGAAAACGAAAATTTTCGGACAGTTCCATTGCTATAAGCTGACAGTAATTCTTCTGCAGAGGCGAAGGGTCCTTGGTTGAGGTAATAGAAGCTGTGCGTGTACCATTTTCGAGTGTCAACACCGGGATTGTGAACAGTACCTGTGAGAGGGAGAGGGTGTAGATCGCGACCTCTAGCGGTACCTTCAACGTGTAGAGCCATAACAAACCTGGTCTCCCTCTCATCTGGCTGCAGACCTGGTGGCGCCTGTGGGTGGAAGGTCAAACCACCGTTTGGATAGTAAGCTCCGTCAAAACTCTCCTGAAGCAACGGTCGCAGGATCGCCATAGCTCGGGTCACCTGTTCTGTAAGCCCGTCCCATTCTATGCCATCCCTCGGTCTACTGTTATAGGGCAGCTCGCCGTCTGTATACATGGCCTGGGCTGTCATTGATTCTCCTAGCGGCCCTACTCTGTATTCCATAAGATCAGGACTGTTCCTGTTTCCTCTGTGGACATGGACATCGGCGAACCTCCCTGGAGATCGTTCACCTTTGTCGAGATGCTTCAGGGCAGCGGATTTCTGAGGTAGGTAGAGAGACATGCCATAGATGTAGCTGTCTCTCAAAGATGGTGTTCCATCGATGGACGATATAAGACCCTCGCGCTTCAAGAAGTTCCGTACCTGTTCCATCTCCTCGGTTGTAAGTAATTCAAACAAGCCCTTATCTTCAGATTTGTCTGTTTTGGTGATCATATTTCCAGTGGGACATTTAGGCGTTAGGTGTGGAGGTGGTGTTGTAAATGGTACAGCGGGAGGGGACCCTGTCGCTGACGTAAATGCTGGCGTAACCATTAGTTCCGATGGTCGTCCTTGAACCGACGGTGCATTGCAGTCTGCCTGTCTGGGGTTGAGGGCGAAGTATCCTATGACGATGCCGATTCCGAGTCCCGTTATGAAGACTATGATGGCAAACACCTGTGTGCAGAGTGTTTGGCATGTGCTGCCTCGTCTTTCGTTCCTTTGCAGACTGTTGTTGGACATGTGTAGTTCGGGGTTAGAATGGGATAGATACGCCGTGTCCTTCATCTCAATAGCTGAATCAGGGGTGAAGGACCCGTTGACGGGCATGGTGACCGTGACACTTCCTTGTGCAATCTGCAATAAAAACATGAATACGTGAGTTCAGCTTGTTTCAGAGTAGAATAAGTGAGTATGGTTTTACGCTTGTAGCAATATTCCAGCTATATCAGGCGGGGAACACCAGAAATGGGCTTCACAAATTGTGCCCATGTGGGGAATCGAACCCGAGCATTCTGTGTGATGGGCTAACGCTTTAACCACTAGGCTACCCCACCGTTCCGTTTCACAGTAGAAGAATATTCATATATCACCACGGTCAGTAAATAATAAGATTAAGAACTTTGTTCGAGTGAGTGAGTGAGTGAGTTTATATGGATAGACAACTTCTTTGTTGCGACATTTCGGTGTAGTGCTAGTGTCGCTTGATAATGGTGTTAGCATCTACACCGACCCGTATTGCAATAAAGAAATTGTCTATCTATAAAGTGTTTCTCCTCATCATACCAGTTTCTAAATGTCACTTAAAGAAGAAATTCAATTATATCACGGGGCGTCAGCTTAATGTGGGGGAAAGCCCGAGGCGATGCAAGTTTTAGGCGGTTGACAATTAGGAGAAACCCACAGCGCAAGAAAGCTCAAGTCTGACAAACACGTAATTCAGCAGTCTCTTTTGTTAAAGTATGGTGCTCAGTGCGCCGTGATAATCCCTTAAACAATAGGATTAAGTTAAATGTAAAGCCTATTTCAGATTTATTCCTCACTGTATTAGTAACCTTTTACTAAAAATCACAATGTGTATGTGTGCCTTTGTTTCATCTGTGGTCATTATGTTCGTACAGTCCGTTTGATTTCATTTGAGACCGATGAATTGCTCACTAACACAAAATCTAAAATGCAACAAAATCAAATTTGGCACTCATATGAATTCGACACACCAACTCTGATGATTTGTCTCATAATTTTGAACACCCGATTAAAAAAGTTGTTTAACAAACGATCAATATTTTGTTGTCAGTTTTCGCTGTGTTACTAATGATCCTTCCAGGTGACTGGCAACGTTTTGTTCGTTTGTTTGTTTGTTTACTGTTTAACGCGCGGCGATAAACAACCAATACATGATACAGGAGACACAGGAGCGACCCTGCCTCTGGGTAGTGAGTGGGTGTGGATATATTCCGCGTTTAACAATTTTCCAGCAATAAAGTAATGAGAAATAAAGTGAATAAGCTATCACAACTCCAGATATGGGCTTCACGTCACAGTTATTTCTATGTGGGTAACACAGCCCATGTCTTCGACGTGACGAGCGAAGTTTTCACCTCTAGGTTAACCCCGCCACACCGCCTCTGCATAGTAACATACAAAAGTACATCTAACATAAGTATATGGATACATCATATCACACATGCTGGATTAGGTATTAGTTTTGCTGCGTCATGGATATATTGCTTTAAATACTAACTCGGACCGCACAGTTATGGTATATTCCGATATCAATGACTCTTGTAACAAGGCGATTACAATTTACTTGTAATTATCATAGCACCCGCGTAAGAGCCGAATGGGGTCGTCTTAACGTTCATCGTATTACGTCTGTAAACTGTTTATGTCGCAATCCGTGAAGATCCGGGTTAGAATTGATCTTCAGCAATCCATGCTTGTCGTAAAAGGCGACTACCGGGATAGGGTGGTCAGGTTGACTGACTTGGTTGACACATGTCATCGTATCCCAATTGCGTAGATTGATGCTCATACGGCTGATCACTGGATTATTTACAGACAGCCGCCATTCAGCTGGGATATTGCTGAGTGCGGCGTAAAACTAAACTGACTCGCTATTTATATCGCTCCCTTGTGTGTAGCTGCTGACATAGTTAAATACATTTGTGGGACGCTTCCATCACTATCCACCATTTCGTTCTGAGTCCCGTTCTAACACAAACTATCACACGATGCCTCTTACAGTGTATTTAATGACATCCGTGGTGGGGTTGGCAGACATGGGTTTTCAAATACGTTGACGTTGACATATGACGTTTGTTGAGGGTTAACATGTCATCACCTTTAGCATTATTTAGTATTATTTATCAGTCATGGTTGATTCTGTTAAATATCTTTCATATAGTATTTATCTTCTCATGTCAGTTACAGTGAGGTCAGTGATTGCGCTTTCTCCCGTTGTTCATTTCCGAATTAGGTTTCGTCACGAAGGATCTAATTTAGAACTGTATTGATTTAAAGTTGAAAATAATGGATCATTCGTCAAATATCTAAAAACATCTGGCAATGAAAGAAAGACATTTTTCATCATAACTAAATTGCAAGAGCATGCCGAGTTTGACCTAACACGTGTCGCCAGCTGGACCCGGCTCATAAACATAGTAAATTACGGACTGAATTAAATATATAGTTTCTAACTTTCAGACGTGTTAAAGTTTAACATGAATAAAAGAGGATACTTGTGCTATGGTAGTTAGTTAAAATAATGAATTGTCAGAAAAATGGAATATTTTCTTTGCCTGGGTTATAAGCTCAAGCAGCGCGAAAAGTGCAGGCCATTGATAAATGTGCTTGTGGTAGTCCAGCGTGAAACGCACACTTTACACGGAAAATACATGTCGCAAACGAATTGATCATGGGACATTTTGCACGTGCATCACATGGGCAAGAGTCACAAAACATTCTCTCGGCTGAGCATAGATTTCTTAAATATATCCTTTTCAAATACGATCAGATTGAATGAATATTGCTTTACGCCACACCAGCAATTTTCCAGCAATTTGCGGCGAGCCAAACGCGGTCAGAAATAATGTTTCTTAAACATGTTCTGTAAAATGGTCTATAAATATTATAAATACGGTCAAGAAGATGTTTCTTAAACATGCTCTGTGAAAATGGTCTATAAATACTATATATACGGTCAAGAAGATCTTTCTTTAACATGCTCTGTGAAACTGTTTCTTAAACATGCTCTGTAAAAATGGTCTATCAATGATATTATGAATACGTTCACGAAGACAATGTTTCTTAAACATGCTCTGAGAAAATGGCCTATCAATGATATTATGAATACGGTCACGAAGATGTTTCTTAAACATGCTCTGTAAATATGGTCTATAAATACTATATTATTATATGTATTATGTTGCCTGTGGTTTAATAACAAAGCTTACAACATTCGGGCACGTGAAAATGATTAATCAAAGATCGCGAGTTGCCAACGTCACCATGTCAACCATTAGGAACCGATTCTCCCCATATCACTACCAACTGCACTTATCAAATACATATATATTTTTGAACATATCTCATGTCAAATGCTCAATGTTAAAAACATTTATCACCAGAATTTCATGCACTGAATTGTTTCCGAAACCATTGTGTAAAAGAACTTACCGGGTTACAATTCAATGTGACAGACACATAATCACTCCCTGCTGGCCGCCGGTTCAAAAGAGATGTGTGTCCAGTTGGTGTTAATTTAACTTGTCCAGGCACATCTTGACTTTATATACGCACACAAGTCAGTTGAATTGTGCAATATCAAAGCCATGGTTAATCCATACACACGTGATTGGTCAGCTTGTCGCTCCAAGGTTTGTCGCCTTTGTAGCCCTGTAGAGTCACAACTTTTCAAACAATACGCTATCGATGTCATTGTTTCTTTTACCTGCGATGAACATGGCCTCTTACGTAACTATACAACCCCCCACTGGCATATGCCACCTTTTAATTCATGTTAATGTGAACGAGGCACTTTCAAATCGCCTGGATATGCCGCTTCACACATTTCGGGATATCAGATCGAACATCAGAAAGATAAGTCTCGATTTGAATTGTTTCGACAGGAGATTAAAACATACCCCCGGGTGTATACAACCAGGTGTGAGAATTGTGGGAATTGTAAGTTGACGTTTGTTTGAATACTTGACTATTACCTTCCAGCTGTCGGCCATAATGTTATCACAGTGTATAACAATCGCCTTAATCATCCCTTAAATAGGTTTTTAAATGTAACGGGCTTACAATGACGTCATCAGACTTACACCATGAGGCTCATCCGTATGAATCCACTCTAAAGGATAGCAAGTTAAGTTGACCTCGGAATTAATTCAAAAGTAATATTGCCCATTTTTTACAATTAAGTCATATCATTTGGAAGTTAGATGAATATAAAAACACGAAACCTGCTTATAGCAACTACCTATATTCTTAGTGCTAAAATATCAGCGAAAGACTAGTTCTGTTAAAAGGAATATTTTTATGATTATTTTATGTTCGTTTCAGTTACTTTTGTCAGTCGTGATAAGCGTACACCATCAAATGGACATGCAAGTACATGGTTCCCATCCCGAAATGGTATAAAGGTTGATTAGAGTGAGTATGGTTTTACGCCGCTTTTCGCAATATTCCAGCAATATCACGGCGGGGGGACACCAGAAATGAGCTTCACTCATTGTTTCCATGGGGGAATCTAACCCAGGTCTTCGGCGTGACGAGCAAACGCTTTAACCACTAGGCTACCCAACCGCCGTTGATTAGACAAATGTTTATCGACGACTCCGCAAATATACAGTTCTTGTTAATTACACACACACGCACGCACGCTCGTACGCTCGCTAATACGTATTTGAATATTTTAGCTATAACTTTACATAATTGAATGTAGAATGTAAGTGATTCAGTTAAATATCAGAAATAATTATCGCGGAGATTACAGTACATTCGTTGATATATTAGTGATACTTTACATCGTGTGGAAATATCACCGAGATTGATTATAAACGTTGTGATGTCAGACAAGCACCTTCTCCAAGTTGGTGAAATATTGTCAAGATGTTATGATTAATAATATCATAAATATACAAAACATGGCATAGTTACATATACGTTATATATAGTTAACATTGATGACGTCAGCGACATATTGGTGATATGTACATGTTGTTTTACGCCGCACTCAGCAATATTCCAGCTATACGGTGGCGGTCTGTTAATAATCCAGTGGTCAACAGCCTGAGCATCGACCTACGCAATTGGGATACGATGACTTGTGTCAACCAAGTCAGAGAGCCTGACCACCCGATCCCGTTAGTCGCCTCTTACGACAAGCATGCACGTTTCGGAATACAGGTAATATCGTTCAGTTCTAGCATTCGTTAAATATAAAAGTAACATATCTGTGAAATATTTGAAAACAGAAACAGTTGTTAAATAACAGTTACATGTTGCGTTTTATGATCGAAAAAGAATTATGAAAATTGATTGTGGTCAAACAGAAGTGACATGGAACCGAAACATAAGACTGACTGACTGACTGAGTTTGGTTTTACGCCGCTTTTAGCAATATTCCAGCAACATCACGGCGGGGGACACCAGAAATGGGCTTCACACATTGCACCCATATTGGGATTCGAACCCGTGTCTTCGGCGTGACGAGCCAACGCTTTAACCATTAGGCTACCCCACCGCCCCTAAGATGCTACAGTATAACAGTGAGCGATATAAGGTTTACTGAAGTATTACTTAAATAACAGTACTTATCAGTAAGAACTGATGAAAATGTTTGTGTCATTGTGGTCACCTTTCAGTAAGTGTGGAGAAAACTAATACATTTCGTTGACACTATAGGGTGGGTCAAAGGAACCATTGCATATACATTTCCTGGACTTTTCAATAAGAACGTGTGAAATAATACGTTATATAAAATGATATGCCATAAAAATAATTGTAAAATGTCGGTGAAATTCAAGAGACATGTGAAGGATGTGTCAGATAATTTGTCACTGACCTAATTGTAAAATGCTATGATATATCAGTGAAAAAGATGTGAAATGTCAGTGAAATTCTAATAAATGATGGCCACTGTCAGCACAATCTTCCATAGAGAACACTGTCGCGAAAAGAAAAGTCTTTGACTGTGACCTTGATTATACTGTCTTACTTGAATATATTTGTAGTTGCACAAGCTGTTTCAGAGGCCTGACGTGTTTTTGTCTGTTGTGGATCACAGACAAGCTGCGACATGATGCGCTGTCTACGGACAGGGTCAGAGCTTGTCTGAAACAATCCATCGTGTGACGAACTATGACATAAGAACAGAATGTTTTGGTAACATTATAGCATGGGCCTATGACGTCATTGCTTACATTTCCGAAATCTCAGTAAGAACCTATGAAATAATAAGTTGGATAAAAACGAAATAGCATAAAATAATTGTGAAATATCAGTGAAATTCAAGAGACATGTGAAGGATGTGTCAGATAATTTGTCACTGACCTAAATGTAAATGCTGTGAAATATCAGTGAAAACCTGCGAAATGTCAGTGAAATTGTAGTAAATGAAAGCCACGCTGCTGCACGCTCTCGAATTGGGAACACTGTCGCGATAAGAAAACTCTATGAGTGTGGCCTTGATTGTACTGTCCTACCTAGATATATTTTATTTGCACAAGCTATTTCAGAGGCCTGACGTGTTTGTATCAGTAGTGTATTATAGACAAGTAGCGACATGAAGCGCTGACTACGCACAGATGTAGAACCTGTATAAAACCACCCATCGCTAGTGTCATAGGAACTACAGTGCTCTTCATCGGGTACGAGTTATGTCGTCGTAGAATGAATTAAACACATACACAGCGTTGATCGTAGTTCTACCATGGAGAAGAGTATGTCCAAGAAGGTAGACCCGACATCCAGGTGCTGTCTAGCTCTCATCTGCTTCTTCACTCTGGCAGTGTCGTTGGCCGTTGGCATCGTTGTGGGAAAGTATGCCCTTTGCTCTGATGACAAGCAGGATCAGACTCCCCCAAGTGTACAAGAAGAGCAGAATGATGGTACCAGAGATAACCTGGATATCATGATGGAAGATATTAATCCACAGAATATTGGAAACATCCTCAGGTATGGAACCATTTACAGTACCATGAGGGGGATATGCTACCGGTGTTTGTCTTAACGTGTGCTAATATAAATGTTATGCAAGTGTACTTATTTAATATATCCGGGTTAATCCTATTGGCTGTACTGTAGTGCGGTGCTAGGCAACACACGCACAATATATCATGTAAAACTGTGTGCGTCGCTGAGGGGCAGGACAGGTTTGCCCTTTTCGCAATCACTTGTCATGACTGGTTGTCAGTGATCCAAATACATAATGTCCATCGCTCCTTTGTTGTTAGCGACAAACGAGAACTGGATATTCTCTGACGTTTAATGTTATGTTGTGGAATCAGTGGTACTGTTTTATACGTTGAGTTACTAAATCTAAACCTTTGCCGAGATGTGTGGTTGTGGTTAAACGTCGCACTTAGGAAGTTTCTGGTCTAAAAGTATCCATGTCTGGACTAGACAAACCAATGACTGACACCATGAGTTCGTTCTACCCAGTTTGGGGTAGCATTGTGGTTAAAGCGTTGCACCAAAGACCCGTTTTCGATTCCCCACATATGTGAAGGCCATTTCTGGTGTCCCCCGCCGTAATATTGCTGGAACATTGCTAAAAGCGGCGTAAAACCATACTCACTCACTGTTGGTTTTTGTATGTCACGATCTAGATGAGATGTTTGCACACATTAAATCTACCTACTTTCAGAAACTTGTCTCTTGTCCCCCACCTTGCTGGCGAGCAAAGGAACCAGCAACTGGGCGACTTCGTCCACAACTACTGGACTGACATAGGCCTTGATGAGGTCAAGTCAGTCAAGTTTGACGTGCTGTTGTCCTACCCGAGTGCCACCCACCCCAACCAGGTGTTCCTACTGGACAAGGCCAACAATGTTGTAGCCGAGTCTCCCCTGGTGGAAAAAGTACTGACATCGGAAGAAAACAGCACAGATGTGGTAGCGCCCTTCCTGGCCTACTCTAAGGCCGGTTCTGTGCAGGTTGGTGATCCTGGACAGCCAATAGATGGCAGGGTTATTTTGTCATCATCATCATCATCATCATCATCATCATCGCCGTCGACATCGTCTTCGTCGGTTTTCTTATTTTTAGTAGTAATGATAGCAGCCGTAGTGGTAACCGTAGTAGCAGCGGCAGAAGCAGCTGTGGTTATCGTATTATTATTATTATTAGTAGTAGTAGTAGTAGTAGTACTAGTAGCTGTAGTGGTGGTGGTGCATAGTATTTGTAGTAGCAGTAGCAGAAGTTGACCTGAACCCTTTAACCACACCCCTGAGTATCGGTCAAAGCAAGCGTCTGAGCAAATACTACTATACTACTACTATTCCTGCTACCACTACTATTACTACTACTACTACTACTACTGCTACTATTACTACTGCTACTGCTACTGCTACCACTACCACTACTACTGCTGCTGCTGCTACTGCTACTACTACACAGGCAATATTGTACTTTATTACCCACGTGGTCAACGTATGGGTAGTTGCATACTAATCTCGTACGTCACACGAGTGTCGTATCGCGTTGACCTGTATCGTAACGACTTGACCTGAGATTCTAACGATTTGATTGGATAACCGATGACCTCTCAATTAGGTCACATTCTGACGTAACTATTTTTTCATTCATAACAAACACGTGAATTCATTCATTCTACAACTTAAATGCGTTGTGGGAATGTAAACATCGCGAACGTTGCCGTGTCGCTGTTTAATTGTGAGTCGAACTGAGACATTATATCCCTCGAAAACGTAAACGCAATGTTTCCACCAGTGATGTTAGCCGAATGAAGCAGCTGCAAACCAAGAAACAGGGTGCTACGGAGTGGTTTACTGTAGGAGGCTGTACGAGGCGATGACAACTGACATGCATCTTGACGTCGGGTACCAAGGCAGTGACGTCATTACAGTGTGACGTCATGCAAATATTGTACTACAGTACAAAACTCTTCCGCAACCTCTTTATGAAACCGGTTTCGGTTTGAAACCAAAATATTAACAAAAATACGCTATTTTGTCAATTCAATGCATGTAAGACGTGGGTAATAAACAAAATACCACACTCGGTCTCATTACATACGAATTATACGAAACTCGTGACCTTCCTATGTTATCTGACCTCGCTTTCGCTCGGTCAGATACCATAGGAGGGACACTCGTTTCGTATAATTCGTATGTAATGAGACCTCGTGTAGTATTCTCTATGTTCAGAACTACGTGTCCTACTTTTCAGGGAAAAGTGGTGTATGTGTATTATGGGCGAGTGGAAGATTACGACGTCCTCGACATCCTTGGCATCAGCGTAAACGGCAGCATCGTCATTGCAAGATACGGCAAAATCTACCGCGGCGATAAGGCATGTTTTTATAGTAATTATCAATAATTCATTTCAGGACATAATTGAGAAGGCAATCCACTGATTGCTTCTTATGTAGCAATTAGAACTGCTTCTTTCTTAAGATTTGTAAATGATAAGTCAAAACCGTGTCTAAAATTCACATAATTTTTATATCTACAAAAACATAGATTGAAAAACAGGGTAAATATGACGTATTTGCAACTGAAACAAAGCTATACACATTCATCATACACTGACACAGCTTCCCGGTGAAAGCAAGGGAGGTAACTGAAATTTAGAGTCCAGGTTCTACTTAAAATGCCAGTTTACACTTTCGCCTAGGGAAAATAAAACTGAACTGAACATCTGTTCTTCGGTATTACATGTTCAAACTGGAATGTATCTTGCATATGGTTTGTAAAAAGGTTCACTAAGCGGATTCTTTAATGTAACGTATCAGCTTGTGAGCTACCTACACAGGATCCTGAACGAAACGTTCGTAGTGCTACGACATTCGTACGGTTATGATTAACTATAGAGTTACGACAGGTTGTAACGTTACGAACGGTTTATGGATCGGGACCCAGAACGTTCGTAGCGCTAAATCATCCGTAAGCTTATGATCAACTATAGAGTGAGTGAGTTAATATTTGTTGTCACATCGGCAATATTTCAGCCATATCGTGACGAGAACAATTAATTTTTTATTTTAATTTTTTTTTTTATTTCCATTTTTGTTCCCACTCTACAACATATCTAATACTGTAATATGCATATACTCACTCATATACACACATATACAAATACACATACATACATACATATACATATACATATATAGATCGATAGATGTACAATTTTTCCCTTCAACTGAAAAGGATGGGTGGATTTCCAGACTGATATTCTTAGTTCCAGCAATCGTGCACATAGCTAAATACAGTCATAAGTCTCAATTGAAAGGTATAGTTTACAGACAGGTATTCCAAGTTTATTTAATCGTGCACATAGATAAAGCATTCATATATAAAGCTGTACATGTGTTTCCTTTCACTTGAAGGTATTTGTTGTCCGGGAGCACGGGCCTCTCTTTCTCTCTCTCTCTCTCTCACGCACGCACGCACGCACTCACTCACTCACTCACTCACTCGTGGGAAACAGAACTGCCAGTGTAGAACTTTTGAAATTCGTGTGCTTCCACCAAGGTCCCATTACACTAAGTAATCTTGGCGGTACGACTGTTGTAAACCAAATAGTTAATGTATGGCAGTAACGATCACCTCAGCGCTACGAACGCTCTGTGGAACGATCGCTGGGCATGTGATGCTACTCTTCCTTCTGTTCTAGGTAAAGATTGCCGAGAAACATGGAGCAATAGGGGTCATTCTCTACTCTGACCCTCAGGACTACCACCCGCATTTTTATAAGGGCGTCTACCCGAAAACCTGGTGGCTCCCCCCTACCGGTGCGCAGAGAGGGTCTGTCTATGAGGGCATCGAAGACCCCCTAACACCTGGATACCCGGCGACAGGTGGGTCGTTTGTATTGTAGACATTCTTTGTTTTGTTCATATGCGCTCTAAGACCTTGCCACGATTTATTATAACTGAAATATATACTTATCAATGCGGCGAAAATAATAACCGGGTCAGAATTGATCTTCAGTAACCCAAGCTTGTCGTAAGAGGCGACTAACGGGATCGGGCGTTCAGGCTCGCTGACTTGGTTGACACATGTTATTGTGTCCCGATTGCGTAGATCGATGCCCATGCTGTCGCCCATGACAATCACTGGATTGTCTGGTCCAGACTCGATTATTTACAGACCGCCGCCATACAGCTGGAATATTGCTGAGTGCGGCGTAAACCAACAAACAAACACACGGTTTAGAAGCACGTGTACGTCTTTAGGCGCTTTTGAGTGAAAAATGACGTTTTGTTCCTGTTCTCCTATAAGTTTGGAAATATTCTCGTCATAAGATATTATGATGTTTGCGAAACTTAAAGCCTGACCCCCTTCGTGGGAAATCATCCAGATAATCGTCAGACCAAGTGATATATTAAGGGTAATAGAGGGTACACAGTATGTCGTATTTATCATTTTCGTGATTTTCAATATAATGTAAAATAAGTAAAATATACTAAATGCAGTGGATATAATGCCGTGGCACTCGAAAATGATATTGTTTTACGTCACTTGGTCAATAGTCCAACATCACCAGAAATCTGCCCATGTAGAGAATCGAACCTGGTTTTCGGCGTGAATGAAAGGAAAGTGTTTAGAATAATTCTTCTCAGTCGCTCTAAAATCATATTGGAACGCCTTGCATCAAAATCCCATAATAACATTTCCCATTTCACAAACACGTAAACACTTGATTGTTGTCAGAGTTCGCCTATCGTATTCCGGTGGAGGAGGCAGATCCGCCATTGCCAGGTATACCAGCCCACGTCGTCGGGTACGGATTTGCGGAGAAGATTTTCAGGTAGCTGGGAAACTCATACACTCCCAATCCTTCCATCCTCTTGCATTGATAACCTAATTATATTCACCCTCATCGGCACAGGTATCTACGGTGTGTTTGGGACATTACAGGGTAGTCCAGATCACAGAGGCGTGTCACGCTTAGAAACAGCGTTAGAATTAAATATAGGTACATAGACCCTACCCTAGTACTATATAAAAGGAAAGGTATGTAACGACGGAACCACCCCCTCCTCAATCTAAGTTAGATTTCACCACGTAAACTATTTTTAAGGCCCCGTCGAGGCCTACGGATCGAAAGCGAGATGATTTCCCTACCAAATGAGCTATAAATGGTCACAATCGGATCATTATTTCAAAAGTTATACGCCACGACTCACCGAAAACAGCTACCTCCGCCATTCCAAGCCAAAATCATGGATCACCCAAGACAGCGAAAACTCACCTTTTAAATTCGTTTATTAATTCCAACCACGTTGACAGCACCTATGTAGGGCTAGACTCGATCGGCAGCGCCATTCCACGGGTCTAAAAACTTATTTCAACATCTACAAATCATTTCCTCGACAGTAAGCAGGCACTTTCTCCAAAACCATCGGCAATCATACTCACTTGTAGGCCATAGACGGCCTTGACATTCAAGTGATCTTGACTATGGCGTCTCACCAGTGCAGAAATGGTGTTCCGGTGGCAGTGGAAATGTGCAGCCACTTGTCGTTGAGACATTCCCCCACGGACCATCCCAATGGCCTCATGACGTTGTGCAGACGTGAGCCTTGGCATGCTATGCGTTTTAATAGCCGTTTAATGTTTTGAACGATCGCCAGGGCAGGGGTTGAGCTTTCCAAAGTGACAGTATTGTGTGGCATTCATTTGCTCTGTTTCTCTTTCCCGGAATGCACGTGCAACAACGTATTGCACGTCTCAAGGACGAACCCACTGACGTCACGGAACGTGCATGCATGTTGGATACATGTCACTAATCTCTGAGTTTAAATCCTTATGTGTCTACACAGGTTTGATAAATTTAGATTTTAAATTTTTGTATGCACAGTTTCTTTATGTGCCTAGTATACATGTCTTCAAAGTGAAATAGATAGGTTAGCATGTCAATATCTAAACAGATCATGTTTCAACACATTATTTAGTATAGATTAGCACTAGGCAAAAGGCCACTAGCGACCAAAGCTAGACCACCTTACTGGGGATCATGGGGACTTACGGTGCCTCTGCTACCCGCATCATTCCAAGCAGCATTTACTCGATCAGTTTGCAGTGGCAGTCAACACAACCAATATTCTTAATATCAAAATATTATCTAGGAGATTTAGATACTAGTTGTTATATACGTCAGATAAGTTGGATTCCTGTCCTATTGTCAGGGGGACAATAATGTTACTCCACTTTTCCCCCCTGAGTGGCACCGCCATTAATAATCTCAGTAGCTGATAACATCACACTAATCTAAAATAAACTCACGGGCGAAAGAAACGTCACCGAAATGATTTTATTATCTTTTATCGAACACTAAGTGATTATTCATATCTGTAGTTCACACTTTCATCATTCAGAATGTTGTAGATCAATTAATTTTCCAAATATGATTATTAAATTTCCAAAATTTGAGTTTGTTGTTTTGTGATATGTTAAAAAAGCGAGGTGACGTTCTTTCGCCCGTGAGTTTAATTCCACAGGTAGCAGTGTTTCTTCGTGTTACGGAGATTTGCATTTTAAAGGGAGACTAGGCTCTAGCCGATTGATAGTCAAACTGCATTTCAGTCATTCGCAACATATTTTATGTAATTTGGTAGTATCATATATCAATATAAGCGCTGACGATTGCCTTGCTTTCGCAGAGAAAGTGTCAGGTGAAACATTGGTAACTTATTAAAACGTAAGGAACTAGACCGAACTCGGTCATGGCATGACGAGTAGCCCTTTAAACGAAGAACATTTTTAACTTTGTTGTTTCACTACAGTCATTTTATGTTACACATTAAGTTAGAATTGACGTGTGCAATGATTTCGTGACATTCTCAGTACTGACTGATAAAGTGAAGCCATTATAGCGTCAGAAAGTTTCATTGTTGAAAACATTATATCATAATGTTCATGATATCACAAAGTAATTACATGACGTCATCGGAGCCATAGTCGCCCTTCAGCGAATTCTATCTTAAGTGTTGACGTACTAATTCGAATTTAATTTAATTTCTCAATTTTCTCTCCGAAATGTGGATGTGTAATATGCAGGGCACACAGAACCAACCGGAAACTCGACAGTGCTGATTTTCTGTCCCTTGAGAATGAATTCTGTAAGTCTCTCGTCAAAGACCCGGGGTTGATTAACACCAGTGTATGAAAGAAGCCCTAAACCCAGCTAGACATCAGGGCGGCGCGGGTAACTTCAAAATGTTACCAGCCCAAAATGACCAGACAATCCAAAAGGAATAACTCAGTTTTTAGTAACAATAAAAAATTAAAGATATGGTGAATTTACTCAAAGATATGGAACATGATATCTAAACATTTTACCAGACCATCGGGCTGGCGAGCTGTAAATGTATACCGGCCGTCTGAAATCTAACCCGTCTTGGGTGGTCGGACGGGCCTTATTTCATACACTGTTAACACCATTAGGGGCGGTGGGGTAGCCTAATGGTTAAACCGTTGGCTCGTCACGCCGAAGACCCGGGTTCGATTCCCCACATGGGTACAATGTGTGAAGCCCATTTCTGGTGTCCCCCGCCGTGATGTTGCTGGAATATTGCTAAAAGCGGCGTAAAACCAAACTCAGTCAGTCAGTCAGTCAGTTAACACCATTCATTCACACGGGGCATATAGTCCGTTATTTCGCGTGGCTCTTCTGTTATACTCGAAGTTCAAGTAACACCATCAAATAAAGAAATTGTCAAAATCTGAAGCGGAGTTACTGGGATCTCCAATCAGCATAGTGACACCGTAAATACGAACTTACCAATACTACAACACTTCCGCAGTCACTGAAAAGGTTTATTTGGTCATGTTTGCATATATTGTCATACTTGACCGTTTTTCAAAAATTCAAATTCAAACTACGGTAGTAAGACGGGGCATTCAACATCGCACACGCACACACACGCTCTCACACACACACACACACACACGCTCTCTCTCTCTCACACACACACACACACACACGCACACGCGCGCGCACACACACATTTATAGTTCATAGGTCTCTAATCCGATACGAAGAAATAACTAAGTATATAACATTAAGTACATGTATATAGTCTACACAGGTTTAATTGTAATTTACAACTATTGTTTATGTAAACGCTGTGATATATTTCGGTTTTGAAATGACAGATTATTTTTTTAGAAAGAAAGATGAGTGGCACACTGGCACCTGCTGACTGATAGCCAAAGAAACCCCATGACACCTGCTGCTGATAGTCATTGTAAGCTTTTGGTATTAATTTTTTATTATTATATATAGAGAGATTTGAAATGAAATATTGCTTCTGTTACTAGAGAGATGGATGGCATCATGGCTCCTATTGACTGGCGAGGGGAGCTGAATGTAACCTACTGGCTTGGGCCCGGCTTCAAAACCCAGATGTACGTTATCCTATCTTGTACAACAGAACGATCTATGTCCTCCTCTTCCATACTAATGATAATAATAAGGCCACTTATACCACGCTGAACTCCACGCCGCAAGGTCATGCTCTTTGCGCATAACCCAAGCTGCCCGTAAGGCGCTAGCTGGTTAATTGCCATATGACTTATCCCTCCGGGTACCCATTTACGGCTGGGTGAACAGAGGCAATTTTGAACAAACTCACTTGCCTGAGGTGAGAAGACCTGTGTCACATGTGCGTCGTTGTAGAAGCACCCAGGAATCAAACACGGTCACCCATCCAAGGACACTCCGTGACCAATGTTGATCAACTTCAACTGATTTGTGACTTGGGCACTATGCACAAGACCACAAACCTTCACATGTACGTCCATACATACTGCGACGACGTGAAACATTGCTAGTGATACTGATCACTTGATCACTTGGTCCAGTCATCTGTTTTGTGAAGAACATCATCTTCAGCATCAACATCATAAGCATCATCATGAACAACGACCTGGACCAAATGGTCAAGTGATCAGAATCAAGACAAGCGGACTAGACCAAATGGTCATAAGCAATGGCATTGGATCCAGCCGTTTGGTTTCAGACCACCTTCGTATGTCAGGAGCGTTGCTTGCTGTGGCGTTAGGCACTCTTTGTAGGAAAACTGAGTGGCAAGACATTCTTACCTTTTTCACCAACACTGGGTGTCGACATTGATTCTCAATGATCTGTGCATATAATTTTATATAAGGGAGATAATTAGAGAATTTAGAAATGGCGAAGGGGACGTCATGACTGATACAAAGTTATGGATGAATATGGATATATGACCCCTGATGACCGAGGATGGGTAACATGACACAGTATTCCTACATTACTAACAGGTCTGTCAGGCTGAATGTGACAACCCGTAATGAACGTCGTCAAATAACGGACGTCATTGGCGTCGTGCGGGGCGAGGTGGAACCAGGTAATGTGTTGCCATGGATACAAAGAAATGTATATACGTTGTACTTGAAGCTGTCACTCTGATCACTTGGTCCAGTCATCTGTTTTGTGAAGAACATCATCTTCAGCATCAACATCATAAGCATCATCATGAACAACGACCTGACCAAATGGTCAAGTGATCAGAACAAGCGGACTAGACCAAATGGTCATAAGCAATGGCATTGGATCCAGCCGTTTGGTTTCAGACCACCTTCGTATGTCAGGAGGGCGTTGCTTGCTGTGGCGTTAGGCACTCTTTGTAGGAAAACTGAGTGGCAAGACATTCTTACCTTTTTCACCAACACTGGGTGTCGACATTGATTCTCAATGATCTGTGCATATAATTTTATATAAGGGAGATAATTAGAGAATTTAGAAATGGCGAAGGGGACGTCATGACTGACACAAAGTTATGGATGAATATGGATATATGACCCCTGATGACCGAGGATGGGTAACATGACACAGTATTTTTACATTACTAACAGGTCTGTCAGGCTGAATGTGACAACCCGTAATGAACGTCGTCAAATAACGGACGTCATTGGCGTCGTGCGGGGCGAGGTGGAACCAGGTAATGTGTTGCCATGGATACAAAGAAATGTATATACGTTGTACTTGAAGCTGTCACATACATCTTTCATTATATAATGTTTAACAAACGTAATGTTTCACAATTAATTCACATATACTTCCATGTCCTTTGATCAAAGGTAGAAACTGTACGTTCATAAACCGAAAATTAACCACACTCAAAGCAAACTTGTGTATCCTGATTTGCCGGATAACCTGCTGAAAGAAGTCATCGATCTAATTTATGTGTAAGAATTGACTTTGATATTTGTTTGCATTCATTTATATATAAATCCAGCAGATGTTTTATCTAAATGAGATAATTTTTATTGTGAACTAGGGCGAGAATCGCATTTTTATCCGTGTCAAGGACTGATCGTAGACTTCTATAAGGCACCATTTAAGCCAAAGTAGTTTTTTAAGACTATACTTACACTTACCTAAGGAAACATCTTAACTTATTATGTAATAAGTATACTGAATGTATAGGGAAAAATGATTGTAGACAGGTACATTCTCATCGGTAACCATAGAGACGCGTGGGTGTTTGGAGCCATGGATCCGTCTTCCGGTACTGCCATCATGATGGAGATGTCACGTGCCCTCATGAACAGAATTAAGTCAAGTATGTATGAACTGAACTAGGGGCGGTTGGTAGCCCAGTGGTTAAAGCGTTCGCTCGTTACACCGATTGCCCGGGTTCGATTCCCGACATTGGAGCGAGTTTATTCAGTGGGGGCCACAGGCCCGTTACACACATGCATATAAACATGTTTAAGATATGATATGAAGCGTCATAAAAGTGACGGAATGGATAAAGAGGTGTGAATGTATACAGAGATGTGAACACACGATTAGCATTGTGCAAAATATTTTGTACGTTTTTTTCATAGCTAAGAATATCTACTGACGGAAAACAATAAGGGATCACATGAAAGCACAAGTGTTCCCATATTTTTTCCTGGTTTCTTCACAAGCAATGCGATACAAAGCTTGTGAAGAAACCTGGAAAAGAATAAAGGAACACTTGTTCTTTCGTGTGATGCCTTATTTTTTCCCTCAGTATATATTTAACAAGATTGTTTATAACAATGTTATTTTGAGAATTAAAACGGTAGAGCTAGTTTGTTTTCAGACGGATATGCATGATAAAACCGTGGTATAAGAGATGCTCTCGGATCTCACTAAAACGAACATTCAAGTAAAAAATGGTATTCAGTTACTATAATAGGAATAACACACAAGGGACACAGACATGATTTAAGCGTCTTCCATATCCAATCTAACATATGATTTGAACAGCGAAATCTACAAAGGGCAATACAATATGCCTTAACATTTACAGCACTAATATGATATTCTTCTGACACATTCCTTTTTATCTGTCTGGAAAAATCTAGTTTAGATACGTTTCGAGATCTGAAGCCCACGTTTGAACATCAATATCAATACACCTCTGTTTAAATTGTATAAGGAATGTTTTTACATTTCTAGGTTGTTGATCAACCCAAACATTTCCAAAACCATAGCTAAAGAGAAGCTCCTTAACTCTCAAAGCCCAACAATCAAGATTCTTCTCAGCTAAACGATACTGATATTTATATTCCTTAACATGGGTATAATATGTGAAGCCCATTTCTGGTGTCCCCCGCCGTGATCTTGCTGGGATATTGCTAAAATCGGCGTAAAACGTAACTCACTCACTCACGTACTCACTGAACTGAGCTGGTACCAGCCGTTCAAGAGATTGAAAGACTGTTGCCACGGTCAAAACTCAGACGCTTCACACTTTCGTTTGTTTTTCATTCGAGCATAAGTTTTGTTTATCAAACACCAAGAAATATACATCCACATAGTATGTATGGCAAGTGCACAAGTCGGCCATCTTGGATCTAAATGGTGCCAATTTTGTTTCGGTTTTATGGCATATAATCGATAAATTCTGACTGCTTATATGTCTTTTCTCGAACCCAATTTGTTGTTTGTGAAGGTAACTGGCGTCCCAAGCGGACTATTATCTTCTGCAGCTGGGATGCGGAGGAGTATGCATTGATTGGATCTACAGAGTTTGTACAGGTAGCTATCAGCTAGTATAGTGAAATGTCTTGAGAATAATTGGTCTTTAGCAAACCATGCTTGTCGCTAGAGGCGACTAACGGGATTGGGTGGTCAGACTCGTCAATGGATGTCATGGTATATCAAATGCGTAGATATATGCTCATGATGTCAATCACTGAATTGGTCCAACATAGAGTTCAGCACTAAGCAACACCAACAATACGCAGAAACATTATGCCATAACACGCTATTCTGCTCCTCTGCTTTGATTTTATCTTATTTTTTCCTATTCGAATATTTGTGTATTGTTTTTCAGATTTGGATTTTTTATATCATTAAGGTTTAAAATTTATTTATGTTGACATCGTGAAGCTGCAAACTGTTTCTTATTAGTTTTATCGTTATATCCGTATATATCTTCTTCCAGAAATATGTGAAGAACTTACTGAACAGAGCTGTGGCCTATTTGAATGTGGATATTGCTGTCGAGGGTAAGCATGCTTGTAGACTCCATATCGCACAGATGTGGCCTATTGGAATGTGGATATTGCTTGTCGAGGGTAAGCATGCCTGTAGACTCCATATCGCACAGATGTGGCCTATTTGAATGTGTATATTGCTGTCGAGGGCAAGCATGCCTGTAGACTCCATATCGCACAGCTGTGGCCTATTTGAATGTGGGTATTGCTGTCGAGGGTAAGCATGCCTGTAGACTCCATATCGCACAGCTGTGGCCTATTTGAATGTGGATATTGCTGTCGAGGGTAAGCATGCCTGTAGACTCCATATTGCACAGCTTTGGCCTATTTGAATGTGGATATTGCTGTTGAGGGTAAGCATGCCTGTAGACTCCATATTGCACAGCTTTGGCCTATTTGAATGTGGATATTGCTGTTGAGGGTAAGCATGCCTGTAGACTCCATATCGCACAGCTTTGGCCTATTTGAATGTGGATATTGCTGTCGAGGGCAAGCATGCCTGTAGACTCCATATCGCACAGCTGTGGCCTATTTGAATGTGGGTATTGCTGTTGAGGGTAAGCATGCCTGTAGACTCCATATCGCACAGATGTGGCCTATTTGAATGTGGGTATTGCTGTCGAGGGTAAGCATGCCTGTAGACTCCATATCGCACAGCTGTGGCCTATTGGAATGTGGATATTGCTGTCGAGGGTAAGCATGCCTGTAGACTCCATATCGCACAGATGTGGCCTATTTGAATGTGGATATTGCTGTCGAGGGTAAGCATGCCTGTAGACTCCATATCGCACAGATGTGGCCTATTTGAATGTGGATATTGCTGTCGAGGGTAAGCATGCCTGTAGACTCCATATCGCACAGCTGTGGCCTATTTGAATGTGGATATTGCTGTCGAGGGCAAGCATGCCTGTAGACTCCATATCGCACAGCTGTGACCTATTTGAATGTGGATATTGCTGTCGAGGGCACGCATGCCTGTAGACTCCATATCGCACAGCTTTGGCCTATTTGAATGTGGATATTGCTGTCGAGGGTAAGCATGCCTGTAGACTCCATATCGCACAGCTTTGGCCTATTTGAATGTGGATATTGCTGTCGAGGGCAAGCATGCCTGTAGACTCCATATCGCACAGATGTGGCCTATTTGAATGTCGGTATTGCTGTCGAGGGTAAGCATGCCTGTAGACTCCATATCGCACAGCTGTGGCCTATTGGAATGTGGATATTGCTGTCGAGGGTAAGCATGCCTGTGGACTCCATATCGCACAGATGTGGCCTATTTGAATGTGGATATTGCTGTCGAGGGTAAGCACGCCTGTAGACTCCATATCGCACAGCTGTGACCTATTTGAATGTGGATATTGCTGTTGAGGGTAAGCATTCCTGTAGACTCCATATCGCACAGCTGTGACCTATTTGAATGTGGATATTGCTGTTGAGGGTAAGCATGCCTGTAGACTCCATATCGCACAGCTTTGGCCTATTTGAATGTGGATATTGCTGTCGAGGGCAAGCATGCCTGTAGACTCCATATCGCACAGCTGTGGCCTATTTGAATGTGGATATTGCTGTCGAGGGTAAGCATGCCTGTAGACTCCATATTGCATAGCTTTGGCCTATTTGAATGTGGATATTGCTGTTGAGGGTAAGCATGCCTGTAGACTCCATATCGCACAGCTTTGGCCTATTTGAATGTGGATATTGCTGTCGAGGGCAAGCATGCCTGTAGACTCCATATCGCACAGCTGTGACCTATTTGAATGTGGGTATTGCTGTTGAGGGTAAGCATGCCTGTAGACTCCATATCGCACAGATGTGGCCTATTTGAATGTGGGTATTGCTGTCGAGGGTAAGCATGCCTGTAGACTCCATATCGCACAGATGTGGCCCTATTTGAATGTGGATATTGCTGTCGAGGGTAAGCATGCCTGTAGACTCCATATCGCACAGATGTGGCCCTATTTGAATGTGGATATTGCTGTCGAGGGTAAGCATGCCTGTAGACTCCATATCGCACAGCTGTGGCCTATTTGAATGTGGATATTGCTGTCGAGGGTAAGCATGCCTGTAGACTCCATATCGCACAGCTGTGACCTATTTGAATGTGGATATTGCTGTCGAGGGCACGCATGCCTGTAGACTCCATATCGCACAGATGTGGGCCTATTTGATTGTGGATATTGCTGTCGAGGGTAAGCATGCCTGTAGACTCCATATCGCACAGCTTTGGCCCTATTTGAATGTGGATATTGCTGTCGAGGGCAAGCATGCCTGTAGACTCCATATCGCACAGATGTGGCCTATTTGAATGTCGGTATTGCTGTCGAGGGTAAGCATGCCTGTAGACTCCATATCGCACAGCTGTGGCCCTATTGGAATGTGGATATTGCTGTCGAGGGTAAGCATGCCTGTAGACTCCATATCGCACAGATGTGGCCCTATTTGAATGTGGATATTGCTGTCGAGGGTAAGCATGCCTGTAGACTCCATATTGCACAGATGTGGCCTATTTGAATGTGGATATTGCTGTCGAGGGTAAGCATGCCTGTAGACTCCATATCGCACAGCTGTGGCCTATTTGAATGTGGATATTGCTGTCGAGGGTAAGCATGCCTGTAGGCTCCATATCGCACAGCTGTGACCTATTTGAATGTGGATATTGCTGTCGAGGGCAAGCATGCCTGTAGACTCCATATCGCACAGCTGTGGCCTATTTGAATGTGGATATTGCTGTCGAGGGTAAGCATGCCTGTAGACTCCATATCGCACAGATGTGGCCTATTTGAATGTGGATATTGCTGTCGAGGGTAAGCATGCCTGTAGACTCCATATCGCACAGCTTTGGCCTATATGAATGTGGATATTGCTGTCGAGGGTAAGCATGCCTGTAGACTCCATATCGCACAGCTGTGGCCTATTTGAATGTGGATATTGCTGTTGAGGGTAAGCATGCCTGTAGACTCCATATCGCACAGCTGTGGCCTATTTGAATGTGGATATTGCTGTCGAGGGTAAGCATGCCTGTGGACTCCATATCGCACAGCTGTGGCCTATTTGAATGTGGATATTGCTGTCGAGGGTAAGCATGCCTGTAGACTCCATATCGCACAGCTGTGGCCTATTTGAATGTGGATATTGCTGTCGAGGGTAAGCATGCCTGTAGACTCCATAATGCATAGCTGGGGTCAAGGTCTAACTATTTGACATTTATTGAAATCATACAGTTCTATATGCTAATGCAAGACTAAGTTGTCTGTTTAATATGGTGGCTGATTAGGGCCATCGCTTTGTCTCGTGTTATCGCTTTTTCGTCTCGTGTTATCGCTTTCTGGTCTCGTGATATTGCTTTCTCACTTTCTCGCCTCCGAATTTTAAGGCGAGAAAGCGATGGCCCTAATCAGCCACCATAGTTTAACGCAACAGTCCACATAATACATTGCCACGGTTTGCAAAATCGTTTGGCCGAAGACTAGTGGTTAATATTATGGGCAAAATCTTTGATGAAAAACCCACGAGAGACTTATGCCTGCAGTACGGTTTTATAACGGTAACAAACTTTCTCAGGTCTTACCTAGTTTTCATTATCTTGTTCGTCACGGTGATCAACGGGTGATACGGAAACGTTTAGGTGGAGGGCCACAGTAGGCATGAGCAGCACGCAGTAGGTCGGATGACGTCACAAATGACCCTTGCGTGATGTAACACGTAAACACTCATTGATCATGAGAAAAATATATATGACAGTTCATTCATTTGAACATATTTTATTCATGGAAGAAAAGGATTGGGCACAAGCTATCCAACTTAATGAAGCCCTCTCCCAGTATTTACAACAATGATATTTACATGAGAAACAGAGAACATATACATGAGAGATCTTGCGTTTGGGAATATAACAGATTAGGATGAACAGAGGAATCGTTTAGTTTGATTGATGTAGTGATGGACATGTTTGAAGATATTCAGATTTTCTTCAGTTGAGAGGTCTGCATTGCCATAAAAAAAGACATATATCTAGTAAATATATACTTTGTAAAATATCACTTATGTTAGCTAACAAAGTTTCTCTATGTGTTTTATAACGGGGACAACCAAAGAAATAATGATGTACATTTTCACAGAGATCTTCAAAAGGTTATCTCCCAATTGACAGACACCCATTTGACAGACACCCAATTGACATACACTGAACTAGAAGGTTAATTAGGGTAACACCTACGGGTATAATGGAACAGTCCACTGTGTAGTGAGTAGAGCAGGGTGAACCTGAAACAGGTTCGTTACTGAGAAGTTTGATTGTGGGTAAATAGAACTTTGTTGTGATTAAATGATAAATGATTTCTCTTCTCAAAACTGATTTTACTATTAATTACTATCGAATATAAAATTGACTGTGTTTATTGATAGAAAAGCCCCCTCCCACAATAGCATATGTACAACAGAAAGTAACTGAGAAAACGTTGTGTTGGAGAGGTATAGATATGTACATATTTGAAAACATTCTGATTTGCAGTAAATGAGAGATGCCATGTAAGATACGATTAATACCAATCAGTGTTCTTATTTTAACAATACTTTCTAAAGATTGTAACAGTTTATGTCTTTGAGTAGTATACAATGGACATTCAATGGAGAAATGAAAAACATTCTCACATCAATGGCCACGTTGACATGATGCGTCATATTTATTCTAAATAAATTGTAATTAAGTGCACTTGTCATATATCTTAATATTGTGTGCAAAACATGTAACTTCTTATTCCATATGAATACTATTTAGGTTCACATTTGTCTTTATTTGATTTATATGATACAACAGTCTTTCAAAATAAATAATATAGCTTCAGTTTGTTCCTGTGTTATTATTTGGATTATTCCATTATAATGTGTAGGTAACAGGTAGTAGATAATCTGTTCACTGAACCGTAAATGTTGTTGTTTTAAAGTGTCTGCGAACTGGCTGTCTGCGTAATGGGAGGACACCCTTCAAGAACATGATGGATCGGTTATAATGTTGACAGTTCAAGATTTAGGGTGCATAAGAAACAGATTGCTGCACATGTGAATTTCGAATACCATTTATCTTACCATTCCTTTGGCATCCTACACAAACACGTGTACTGCCAGTAGTAATATCTATGGTGCATGCATCATGGAAATAATTTTTAGAATAAACATGTTGAGTTGACGATTTCACTGTTATACTGTGATTTATGCGGTTATTGCAGGTAATTATACTCTGGACGTGATGGGGACTCCCCTGTTGTATGAAACAGCGGTCGAGGCTGCCAAACGGGTAAAGCTGAAAGATAAGATTTGTTAGTTGTTGGTTATTTTACAACGGGGGCGGTGGGGTAGCCTAGTGGATAAAGCGTTGGCTCATTACGCCGAAGACCCGGGTTCGATTCCCCACATGGGTACAATGTGTGAAGCCCATCACTGCCCCCGACGTGATATTGCTGGAATATTGCTCAAAGCGGCGTAAACCTAAACTCACTCACAATGTTACGACGCCCCGTGGTCTGTTGACATAGTTGCTTTATAAAATTGTGTTTCGTTTTTAATTTTCAATATTTCTGGATTTGGTTTTTACAACAGTCTTCCAACTGTCCACACAAGTCGTATTTATAATAATGCACTTTATGTAAGTTTATGTTTCTATGTTTTTTAATTTTTGGGAAGTTTAATTTATGTTATTAAGGTTTTACTGACCTCTCTAGGTTAGCACTTCGCACCATCACTATTTGAAAGTGATTTCTGAACATCTGCTCATGATTACGTATCATACAAAATGTTTTCTATCCCGACAAGGTGCGTGTGCCCGACAAAGACACGCCTTTGTATGACGAATGGCGGGATCGGAGGGAGATGGTGGACCTCAATAACAAGGGTTTAGGAATACCAAGGTAAGAGTGAGTGAGTGAATGAATATTGCTAAAAAAATGGGCGGATGATTGCAGCGACAGAGGCAAAACATCATTCTAAAGAGAGTGAGTGAGTATGGTTTTACGCCGCTTTTAGCAATATTCAAGACATATAACAGCAGGGGACACGAGAAATGGGCTTCACACATTGTACCCATGTAGAGAATCGAACCCAGGTTTCCGGCGTGACGAGCGAACACTTTAACCACTTGTATAGGCTACTCCACCACCCCCTTTAACGTGAGCTTAGACACATCATCAATGTACATCAGACTCGCACACACAGATATACAGGCACGACCCTGAAACAAACCTATATGTTTTTATATACTGTGTAAATACTCAAATGCGTATATGTTAACAAATGGTTCCTGGTTACATACATGTAGATCTTTTATATCATTTTAATTGTCTTGCATATCGCTTATCAACAAGACAACGAATATTTTGGTATATAACGATAGTGAATACTATTAACTACCAATTGTTAAACAAAAATAGTCTTATCTCACATACATGTATTTTTCCCGAGCATTTAGCTACGTAAAAAGCTGACTATAAACCTTTCAGTACAGTTTAAGGATTATTATGTTTGTGTTGAGGATTAAGGGATCATATTGGGAAAATATATGGTTATAAAGGAAGTTACTTAAGCTTTGTTTTGTTGTTTCTAAAATTATTAAAAAAGAAAGGATCCGGCCCTTTTTTTCAAAACAGCGCAATAATACACGTGTGACCATCTACAGTAAGACTTCATCGTTACAGCTTCCCCAGTCCCGGCTCTGGGAGCGACTACGCCAACTTCCTGCAACTCGCTGGCGTCCCCATCATGGACTTCCGGTACATATATAACAAGGTGCACATTTTACACAAACTTATAATGAATAATTCATTTGCAAACAAACGTTTACGTAAACACAATGTAAATTAACCTTTTGGAGCACTAAGGACCATTAAGTTGGAGCTCTAAGAAAGATAATATATGGATGAACAATTTCTTTATTACAGTGAGAGCGACATTTCGTTGTAGGTTCTAATGCCGTTATCAAGGAGATAGTGGTGTTGGAACCTATACCGAAACGACGTTCTCACCGTAATATAGAAGCTGTACGTCCATATATTGTTATCCTTCCACAATGCAAACTGCTTACTCATTAAATCAAAATGCCGGGCCCAAACTGCCACATCCCATGTACGAGATGACGCCTATTCTACAATCTGTCTGGATCATGTCAAGAGGTATACAGCGCTGTTTCAACACACCTGTATAAAGTATTTATTCTTCAATGTAAAAACGGATTTCTGTACACCTGATTCCGCTGGAAGTTGATGGCATATTTTGTTATTGCTGAACCTACCTGTGACAATCTTTTACATTTCATATTTTCAGAAAAAATACAAAATCGGATCCTACCCTCTCTACCATTCAGAATATGAAACATTTTACGCAGTAAAGCACTTTGTAGACCCAGAGTTTAAGGTAAGTAAAGTAACTGACCTACCCTGGGTATGGGAGAGAACTGTTAGCGCGAATAGGTGTCACGTTTCCTCTTAATCACATATTCATAAAGGTTAATACCGTCAAGGATGTGAAGTTGCCTTAAGGTAAGCGCATAGTTCAAGGCTGTTACCATGCCTTGAGTTTCATGTGAGACGCCGGAGATCACGTGCTACATGTACCTTGAAGGTGAATTTGGAGGTCACATTTTGAGCGGAGGTGGAATGTGAATTAACATTATATTCACTTATCGCGCAACGAGCGTGAATTCGTGTGTCTTGTGGCTTTTAAGAGTCTAGAACACTTGTAGTGAAGACCCGCTGAGATACTGTTGTGAAGCATTGATACCCCATTCAGACGCGTATTTCTGACTCCGAGCCGACCAGGTCTTGTTTTATCCTCCTAAAGCTAAAACCCACGCAGGGTAACAGCAAGTACCCTTTGTAGCGGCATTTAATTTGACGCAAATGCGGATCGAACCGCAAATCTTCCGCTCTCAATGTAGACGCTTTATCTGTGGGACCAATGTGACCAGAGGGCATGCATGGCATGCTTCCATGTATGAAAAATACCATCGACATGAAAACTTCATTCCGTCCAGAAAATATATTAGGCATTAACTGCTGCATATGTATATGCAGTGACATTGAACAACAATACTAATGGTCTGTTTTCGATATCTGTTGAAGTTGACGTAAAATATCATCATGAGTATCATTGTGTGTATAAAATTATCTTCTAACCGAGCACATTCACCAAAGCACTGCACGTATAAACCTCTGTACCAGCAATTTTCAACGTTGCGATTTACGCTAAAAATCGAATAGTAACTGATCTTATGAAAGGGTACGTTTATTTAACTCTTAACCTGACAGAATGTATTGACACGTTTAATCATCGTGTCCCTGTCACCAGTATCACTGGCCAATGTCTGTGTCCTCAGCGTCACTGGTCAATGTCTGTGTCCCCAGTCTCACTGGTCAATGTCTGTGTCACTAGTATCACTGGTCAATGTCTGTGTCCCAAGCATCACTGGTCAATGTCTGTGTCCCCAGTATCAGTAGTCACTGTCTCTGTCCCCGGTATCAGTGGTCAGTGTATCTGTCCCCGCTATCAGTAGTCAATGTCTGTGTCCCAAGTGTCACTGGTCAATATCTGTGTCCCCAGTATCACTGGTCAATGCATGTGTCCTCAGTATCACTGGTCAATGTGTGTGTCCCCAGTATCAGTTATGATTGTGTATGTCCCTAGTATCACCGGGCTATAGGACAAGTGTGGATGGCTGCAGCCTTCACCCTAAGCGAGACGTCCCTTCTACCTTTTAACGTCTACTTCTACGCATGGACACTGCAGAACCTACAAAAGCAGCTTGATTTCGACTACAGCAACATACTACAAAAGCATCTACCTGACTACGGTATGTTTTCATGAGGCTTTTTTCAGAGATAACATTATAAGTGGCATACCTAGGGTAGCAGAATAATTGAGCCGACGCATCGAGAACTATTTCAGTTTTACTATTGGAATTGATTTTAAAACACCCAAACTATTCTTGTTATACATATAAATGTATATGTGTGTGTAACATAGGTGAATGTGGTCTATACAACTAACGAACAAATGAATCTTATCACATATGCAGTATATCGCGGTATTGGGGAAATGAAATACTCCTTCTACAATTTACCCATGTAGGGAATCGAACCCGGGTTATAGACGTTACAGGCGAACGCTTAAACCAGCAGAGTACCACACAATTCCTAATTCAAAGCAGGTAACATATCGCTATCACTAATGTATAATGTCTCGATATAATGTACATGAATTTGTGGAAAAGTTCCAAATCCGGAACACCTTCATCAACTGCCTATCTGATGCTATTGCTAATGGTTGTTACCACAGAGAAGAACCTGACGATGGCAGTTCAACAGTTCAGCCAATCAGCTGCCGAGTTCATGAAGAGACAACTGCACGTGAACCAGTCTGAGTAATGTATATTTCTACCTATGTTTACAACCAATGAACATCCGGGTTACAATTGGTCTTCAGCAACCCATGCTTGTCGTAGGTGCACTAACGGGATCGGATGGTAAGGCTCACTGGGTTGACACATGTGATCGTATCCCAATTGCGTAGATCGAGGTTCATGCTGTGATCACTGGCGTGTCTGGTCCAGACTCAAATAGTTACAGACCACCTCCATATAGCTGAAATATTGGTGAGTGCGGCGTTAAACAATTGCAACAGACCAACTTACGTTTACCAAAATATCACGTCCTGGGTGGCGTCTCGTTTGTACAGACCTTTCATAATATACGATACTTGACAGGCATATTCACTTATCTGTTTGCTCTGTGTGCAAATTAATTGTTCTCGTCACGATATGGCTGAAATATTGCCGATGTGACGATAAATTTTAACTCACTCACTCAATTTAACTTATCTGTTTGATTGACATTTTAGAATTTGGGACGTACAATACTGAACAAACTTCTTTAATAATTTCTTTATTTCGTGTGCGACGTTTCGATACAGATTGCTTTACCGTTGTGAAGCAGAATGCTAGTGAAAAGAAGGTGTATCGAACGTCTCACTCACGAAGAAATTGTTATCTATGAAGTTTTTATCGTTGCAATGCAGGTATGGAAACAGTTTTAATTTACCCCGCTTGTTAGTTAACAACAAACACAAGGATTCCACAAGGGAGGGATTCCCCGACTTTCAGTATGTTATCCCAGCGGATAAGTGATCAAAGTGTGCACTTTGTGTTTCTCGATCTTTATTCAATAACAAGGGTGTTAGCTACAATCATGCCAAATGTCATGCTTGTAACAAGAAGTGCACAATTCAGTGACAAAACTGCACATTTCCGCTGGGCTATATGTCCTCATCCATTAGGGGTCAAACGGTATACCGCGGTATTAGTAGAACCGCGGTATTTTGCCTTCGGTTCGGTATACCGAAATGCAATCCAAAAATTCGGTATTTTCGGTTTTCGTACCGTCATTTATTAACCTTTTAAAAACCTTTTCTAAAATGTCTACAAATCGAATCATTTTGTCAAAATCTATGCATTTCTTTGCCAGACGGCCGCTATTTTCTCGGAAGTAAGTTCTCATATACCGAACCGAAACGGACCGAACCAAAGCTCCTGTACCGCAATACGTACCGTACCGTGGTAAGAGCGTACCGTTTCACCCCTATCATCCATCGCGTTGTCCCGGAGGTTGAATGCTTGCTCATGCTATCAATCACTGGTTTGTCTTGCCAAGATTCAGATATTTACAGACTGTTATGTTGTCGCTGTCACAGCTGAAAGTTGCGTTGATCACACTCACTAACTCACCTGTCCCAGTTATGCTCATGAACGTCCGTCCCTCCATTCAGTCCTTTGTCCGTCCGCCGCATCAATGACCAGCTGCTGCAACTAGAGAGAGCTTTCTTGGATCCTAACGGAATTCCAGGCAGATCCTATTTCAGGTAGAATCAGGTTCATTCTCTTATTCAACTTTAAACTATAACTTGATGTTTTCTTCAACCATAACTTCATGAAATGTTCTGAAAAGATAGCACAATATTTTATTTTAAACGAGACGATATTACTGGAATTGTCGATTTACGACATTTAGATGAATATCGGAAAATCGAGATTCGAATAAAAAACTGATATTTATATATCAAAGTGTGCGTGTGTGTTCCATTTCAAACGGGATATTATTTTAACTTACATATACTCACGCCAATAATGGTTGTCACCCCCTTCAATTTTTTTAATTGGAGAGGGGTTGAGGGGATGGGTGGAGGTGTGAGGTGTGTGTGGGGTTGGGGTGGGGAGGGGGTGACAACCATTATTGGCATGAGTATATGTATACTGACCGATTTCGGAGGAATGGTTGGCTTATCCCAAATGAAAAGACACTCAGAGTGTTGTAAAATCTAACTGTTCTTTTTCAGGCACATCCTGTTCGCCCCAAGCAGTGTCAACAGCTATGCAGGGTCGTCATTCCCTGGTCTCACCGATCTGCTCTTTGAGATTGACAAATCAGAGGATCCTGCTAAACAATGGGAGAGAGTCAAACAACACTTCTCGGTCATATTGTTCACTATCCAGTCAGCTGCCGCGACTCTCAGAGACCCAGCCCACTTCCTTTGATATGGATTAAAATTATCAATATGCTTCAAGATATTGTGTAACATAATTCTAGTCTCATACTGCTCAAAGTTTGGTGAGATTTTGGTATTGATGATGTTGGCATAGAGCAAACTACTTCAATAAGTTTCTTTAAAACTTCATATATTCAAACGACCTAATTGTTTCGATATGTGTCCAAAGTACACCGAAATTCGGGCGAGACCCGTAATTCTTAATCCTATCTGTAAATCAGTTATTACCTCCATGCATGGAGTAATGTCCCTGTCTGTAAATCCCGACTGACATGATCAGTCGGAGAGACGGTCTCCAGTCTGGGAGACTGAAGTTATCATCGACAGATGCAGACGGATTGTGCGGCTGGGCGTGGCGTCGGCCAAGGCCGTCGTCTCACCAACGACTACGTCGACGATGAAGAATAGACGTCTGACTTCTGCATGTGTGTATGTGACAGAGCGGGTCTCCGGTCACGTTCTCTCAAGTGATCACCATTTTATGTACCATTTCGACCTTTATTCCCCCCAACAACAATAAACATGGCTGCTGTCGTCTTCGTCTTTTGTCTTCTGTCCGTCAACCACCCTGGACTACTAACCAAGAAGGCATCAATACGAACGCTCTTGGACAATGTGACAAAACAACAACACATTCATCCAAAATCATTTGGATATTTCTGTAATGACGCAGTAACCTTGGGGTTAAAGCGTTCGCTCGTAAAGCCGAAGATTTCCTTGAAAATAAAAACTTAAATCAATTCATTTCATATGAGAACAACATGATTGGTCAACATGTCAATATCACTCACAAACATACCACATACGCGCACTATACAATCAAACTCCCCTGTCGATAATCATTGTGGCCTTTTGTACCCCTTTTGACTCCGATACACTATTTTCCCTAAAAAATACCTTTGCAGTTTGTAAGGGGGGGGTTATTGTGATCCTGAGGTGGATCTGCTGACTGTTCCTGTGCTCGACGCCTTGTACGTTTACCCCCAGACCAGAATATGACCGTCTGTGACGCGCAACAAGAACCTCCGGTCATCCTAACGGTTGATGTTCCTGAAGGTTCCAAACACGTCTCACTAATTACCGATTGAAACGAAAGATGTCTCTGTGCCAGTCTGCTTATAACCCAACGTGGGCAAACGATCAGAGTCCCGGCAACTTTGGAGGGCTTTCGTGCATTATTCATACCTATGATTTGCCGCCTCAAACTTTGTTCCAAGAGTAAATATGATATGGGAAACAACGAAGTATTACTGTCAAGACATGAGGGAGCATGGTTTTACTTCGCTTTTCGCAATACCCAGCAACATCACGGCAGGGGACACAAGAAATAGGCTTCAAACATTGTACCCATGTGGGGAATCAACCCACAGGCCCTCGTGTCTTTGCGAAGATTAAAGATTCGACCACAACCACGTTTTGTGCGGACACATCGTCATCCAGTTGTGTCAAGATCGTTTAGTTGAGAGTTAAAATCGGGTTTCAATCGACTTGCAGAAATAACAATAAAGATTGGTAGGTGCCATGAATGGTGATCGATAGGTCAATCATCCATGATTATGTTTATATTAAGTTTTAATCGATTGTGACTTAACTTGATTGATTATGTGTCGCCACACCCTTGCGGTGTTGCAAATTGCACAATGTGCCAACAGCTTGTTAGTTTGGCAACGATCGATGTCTGTTTCCCTAGTATCACTGGTTAATGTCTGTGTCCCCACTGTCACTTGTCCATGTCTGTGTCCCCAGTATCACTGGTCAATGTCTTTGTCCCCAGTATCACAGGTCAATGTCTGTGTCTCCGGTATCACTGATCAATGTCTGTGTCCCCAGTATTACTTGTCAATGTCTGTGTCCCCAGTATAACTAGTCAATGTCTGTCTCCCGAGTATCACTGGTTAATGTATGTGCCCCCAGTATCACTGGTCAATGTCTGTGTCCCCTGTATAACTAGTTAGTGTCTGTGTCCCCAGTATCACTGGTTTATATCTGTGTCCCCAGTATCACTGGTTAGTGTCTGTGTCCCTAGTGTCACTGATCAATGTGTGTGTCCCCACTGTCACTTGTCCATGTCTGTGTCCCCAGTATCAATGGTCAATGTCTGTGTCCCCAGTATCACAGGTCAATGTCTGTGTCTCCAGTATCACTGATCAATGTCTGTGTCCCCAGTATCACTGGTCAATGTCTGTGTCCCCAGTATCACAGGTCAATGTCTGTGTCTCCAGTATGACTGGTCAATGTCTGTGTCTCCAGTATGACTGGTCAATGTCTGTGTCCCTAGTATCACTGGTCAATGACTAAGTCCACACTATCGCACAGTATCTGTGTTCAAGGAGAAAGGAGCATAATTGGCATGCTGAGGCTAGAAGAATGAGATAGTCGACGCACTGAAAGACCGTTTCTGTTTTACCATTTGAACTAATTGATAAAAAAACCCAAAGAGTTCTTGGGTTGAACGACCTACCGAACTGCAGTACAACATTAGAACTGATCTTCAGCAACCCAAGCAAGTTCTAAGAAGCGAATATCGATATGGGGTACTCAGACTTGGTCGAGGCAGGTATCCTGATTGCAAATGTCGATAGTCATGATGTCAAACACTTATATCTTAAGTTATCAGATATCATTCTAAATGTTGAGCGAGTCTTCCGCAATCGCCGTGGTGGACACTAGAAATGTTCCATGTGGGAATCGAACCCGAATCTTAGGCGTTACGGGCAAACACTTAAACCACCAGACTACCACAAAACTCACAACTCACATGACGCTATCACCACTGCGTACTGTCGATATAATGTAGATAACAAGTTCCAAATTCGGAACACAACACCTTCATCAACTGCCTATCTGATGTTATTGCTAAAGGTTGTTGCCATAGAAAAGAACCTGACGACGGCAGTTCGTCAGTTCAGCCAATCAGCTGCCGAGTTCATGACGAGACAACTGCACGTGAACCAGTCTGAGTAATGTATATTTCTACCAGTGTTTACCAATCCGTGATGATCTGGGTTAGAACTGGTCTTCAGGAACCGATACTTGTCGTAAAAGGCAACTAATTGAATCGGGTGGTCAGGCTCGCTGACTTGGGTGACAAATTCCATCATATCTCAGTTACGTAGATCGATTTTCATGATATTGATCTCTTGAACCAGACTCCATTGCGTTTACAGATCGGCATCATATAGCTGGAATATTGCTGATTGTGGCGTTAAACAACAAACCGACTTATATTTATCAACAAATCACATCCTTGGCGTCACAGATCGTATGCAAAGACATTTCATACTGTACGGCACATGGCAGGTTCATTGACTGATCTTTTTGACTAGCATTTTAGAACTAAATAAATATAAAATAAAAAGACATCATTCATTTTGGAAGACAACTTCTTAAGTACATTACTGATTCGACGTTTCGGTAAAGATTCGTATACCGATGTCAACCGTTGTCACTCTTGCTTGACAGCGGTGTAAGAATCTACACCGAAACTTTGCATCATAACTTTACAAAGAAGTACCGGTTATACCGGTAAATATGAAATGATTGTCGCACAGCTGCTATCTACTTAATCACTTTATAGGCACTCTCAAAATACTATCTTGAATGCTATTCCCCAATGATTCCCCAACCTTCAGTATATGTCCTCATCCATTGTGGTGTCCCGGAGGCTGAATGGGTGATCATACTATCAACCACTGGTTTGTCTTGCCCAGGTTCAGATATTTTCAGATTGTTTTGATGTCGCTGTCATAGCTGACAGTTGCGTTAATCACACTCACTAACTCACCTTTTCCTGTTATGCTCATGAACGTCCGTCCCTCCATTCAGTCCCTTCCGTCCGCCGCATCAAAGACCAGCTGCTGCAACTAGAGAGAGTATTCTTGGATCCTAACGGAATCCCAGGGAGGTCCTGTTTCAAGAAGAATCAGGTTCATTCACTGATTCAACTTTAAACTATACGTAGATGTATTTCTCAGCCAGAACTTCGTGAAATGTTCTCAAAAGATAACACAATATTTTATTTTATGACAGACGATTTTTGGAGGAAATTAACTGGACGTGTCCATTTTCGACGTTTACATTCAGATTAAAATCGGAACATCTAAATTCAAATATTATATATATATATCAAAGTGTATGATAAGACATCCATTTCAAACGGGATAATATTTTAACTTACATATCCGTGTGCAATTGGTTTCAAACGGTTTTTAATTTTAACATATAAATAATAGTGACTGGCTGCATATATTTTAACTTATGACTGACCATTATTGGCATGAAATGTATACTGGTGATTCGGAGGAATGGCTTAGTTCAAATGAGACTGACTTGTTGTAAATCTAACTGTTCTTTTTCAGGCACATCCTGTTCGCCCCCAGCAGTGTCAACAGCTATGCAGGGTCGTCATTCCCTGGTCTCACCGATCTGCTCTTTGAGATTGACAAATCAGCGGATCCTGCGAAACAATGGGAGAGAGTCAAACAACACTTCTCGGTCATATTGTTCACCATCCAGTCAGCTGCCGCGACTCTCAGAGACCCAGCCCACTTCCTTTGATATGGATTAAAATTATTAATATGCGTCAAGATATTGTGTAACATAATTCTAGTCTCATACTGCTCAAAGTTTGGTGAGATTTTGGTATTGATGATGTTGGCATAGAGCAAACCATCTCAATAAGTTTCTTTAAAACTTCATATATTAAACGACCTAATTGTTTCGATATGTGTCCAAAGTACACCGAAATTCGGGCAAGACCCATAATTCTCAATCCTATCTGTAAATCAATTACCACCCTCCCTACATGGCCGTCCCTGTCTGTAAAACCTGACTGCATGATCCGGAGAGCGGAGTCTGGGAGACTGAAGTTATCATCGACAGAAGCAGACGGATTGTGCGGCTAGTCGTGGCGTCGGCCAAGGCCGTCGTCTCACCCAACGACGATGAAGAATAGACGTCTGACTTCTGCATGTGTGTATGTGACAGAGCGGGTCTCCGGTCACGTTCTGTCACGTGATCACCATTTATGTACCATTTCGACCTGTATTCCCCCAACAACAATAAACATGGCTGCTGTCGTCTTCGTCTTTTGTCTTCTGTCCGTCAACCACCCTGGACTACTAACCAAGAAGGCATCAATACGAACGCTCTTGGACAATATAACAAAAACACACATCAATCCAAAAACATTGCAATATTTCGGCAATGACGGAGTAGCCTTGGAGTTAAAGCGTTCTCTCGTAAAGCCGAGAACATTATGATTTGTCAACATGTGAATATCACTCACAAACATACCACACACAATATAATGTAAACTCCCTTGATGATAATTATTGTGGCCTTTAGTACCCCTTTTTGACTTCTTTACACTATTTTCCATAAAAATATTTTTGGCATTTTGTAAGGGGGGTTAATGTGATCCTGCGGTGGATCTGTTGACTGTTCCTGTGCTCTTCGCCGTGTATGTTTACCCCCAGACCGGAATATGACCGTCTGTGAAGCGCAACAAGAACGCGCGGTCATCCTAAGGGTTGATGTTCCTGTATGTCCTAAAGATTCCTGACACGTCTCACTAATCACCGATTCAAACGGAAAGATGTCTCTGTGCCAGTCCGAACGTAGGCAAACGATCAGACGCCCGGCAGCTTTGTGGGCTTAAGTGCATTAATCATACCTATAATTGCCGCTGTTTTTTCACAGAGTATATATAATATCAAAATACAACGATGCATTACCTTCAGGATATGAGCGAGTGAGTTGGATTTTACACCGCCTTTAGCAATATTATAAAATAGTTTTATAAAATAATTCACTTGTATAGCGCCTAATTTCCAAGCTAGGCCTGCTATAGTTTTGAGGAAAGCAGTGGAAAAGAGTTAATGGCTAAACAAAAATGTTTTTAGAGACTTCTTGGAGGATTGAACAGAGTCCACAGAGTTGATGTCCATTGGGATGGAGTTCCAGAGTCGAGGAGCATATACAGAGAAGTCATTTTCAGTGAGTTGAGTAGACGTTGATGGGATGGAAAGTTGCTGCTTGGTTGAGGATCTGAGAGTTCTTGCGGGCTGGTACAGATTAAGAAGGTCTTTGAGATACTGTGGTGAGGAGTCCACATTAAGTGTGGAGTACGTGAAAAGAAGACGTTTAAATATGATACGATGCTTTAAAGGAAGCCAGTGGAGTTGCCTTAGGATGGGTGAGATGTATTCAGTTGGGCGAGTACGGGCGATTATTCGCGCTGCTTTGTTCTGGATTCGTTGAAGGTGCGAGATGACAGTTGATCCGGACAAAAGGGAGTTACCATAATCTAATCTTGAGGTGACAAAGGAATTCATGAGAGTTTTGCATGTGTCCGTATCAATGTACTTGCGGATTTTGCCTATTTTGCTGAGCTGGTAATTTGCAGTTTGAGCGGTTTTGAGTGCCTGAGCAATATTCCAGCAATATCACGGCGGGGGACACCAGAACACATATTGTACCCATGTGGGGAATAAAACCCAGGTCTGTGCAAATGTTTTAAGCGCAAGGCTACCCCACCGCCCCGTCGAGATCTGGCTGAGGTATGTTATTAATGTGTTTAGGCAATATATTGTGTAATGCTTGAACACTCACATCAGGCTACAATCTCATCTGACTACACAGCGGAACGACATAAATAATTAATTACTTGCTGAGTTCAAGGGGTACTGGGAACAATCCCATCTCTCCATTGTGTCATCCTAAGGTCATGTTTTAACCATCTGATACGTGTTTTGTCATCCAGTAGATACAACATGTGTAGATACAAATTAGAAGAGGAATGTAAAGGTGTATATTGTATGCCGAGTCCGTGGAGTTCCTTGGGTTAGTGGTTTGGAAAACATTCCAATATCTGAACATTTTGCGACTTTCCACAAATGTCATCACACGAGGGATTTTCATCGAGCAATGTATTCCAGTGTAATGAGTGCGCGAGTGAGTTTAGTTTCACGCCGCATTTAGCAATAATCCAGCAATATGACGGCGGGGGACACCAGAAATGGGCTTCACACAATGTACCCAAATGGGGAATCGAACGCGGGTCGGCATGACGAGCAAACGCTTTAACCACTAGGCCATCCGACTGCCCTCCAAGATAATAATCTCCTAGCCAGGTTGGGCGCTTGGCACATTACAATACATACAGTTACTCTATTTACATGGAGAATAATGTTAGTTAATATCAGTAGGTTACACTTCTTAGGCATTCGGAAATGTTTGATATGGATATATTTTTGCTTGATGTAATTTAAAACACCATTCCTTCTGTTGTCTTTGTCCTCATAAATTGGTCGATTCAGCAAATTCTGAACAAATCCAGTTTTAAAATAAAACCGATTGATTTGTACATATCAGTGCATGAAACGTGATATTTATTTACAGGCTTCGGACACAGACTTTTGACTTGACTAGTTTATTCAAATCATCCGAGGACAGTAGCTGAATAGCATGAACGACCATTGCATTTTGAGACAAACGACACTCCCCGGGCCCTGACTAAAGGAAAGGCAAATTAGAAAAATATGTCCGTTAATCAATGGATTTAGAGTCACCCTCTCTCTTGTCAACTTGAGTGTTCATTCCACGTACAGTAGTCTCAAGCGTTGTTATGCCTAGATACACACACTCTTTCACCACGATGTTAAATCTGGACCCGACTGAGTGAGAGTTGGGTTTAACGCCACATTGAGAACCAACAACAACTATATCGCAGTGTGTAAGCTTGGTGGAAAAGCCATAGTGATGTATTCTTAGCTTCCTTGGTAAGCCCCACCACGGATCTGGCGCCTTCGCAACAAAACAATTAATCTGGTCGAAATTGGGATTCGAACCCACTAGTTTCTTCAAAGCCTAACGATACAACTGTATATAGTGAATTACGACACATTAGGCAACTACGCCACCTGTACACAAGTGTACTTGTATGGGATCCATATAAACTGGTGTGAAGTTGAATGCAACGCTCGTTACTCAATAACGTGGAGTGGAACGAAATGCATAAATACATAATCGTGGCACACGGTCTGTGTGATTCTACAAAGCGTTTAACAATTTAGATCTATTTCAGGCGAGATAATGGAGAACGTCATGAATATGTTCGATGGAAATAAATAAAATGCTAGGCTACAAAAGAATTAATTTACATCATGTCTTTAACTGCATGCATTGGTACTCACGTTGTGCAACTAAAACCAATTGTGTCCTGTAAACACCGCACCCAGGTAATATTCATGTTCCATGTGGTCACGCTAGAGTTGAGTAAAAGCCTATCATTGAATACAACCCATTCAGTAAACAGTCCTGATCAATTCCACCGTATAAGAACACCTCTCCTGTGTTTGAAAAATCAATTCATCGTCAGCTGTAGAGACTAGACTGCGTAGTGCAGGTACCCGTTAGTGCTTCAGTGCATCCGGACATACTCGATCGTGTATGCTGTCACTATGAGCCGTACCTCTGAACGTGGAACCAAGAGAAAACGTGAGGGTGGTGATGAAAAACATCGTGATGAAGTTCACGCGCCTTTTACCTCCAAGTACAGTGGACACGGCACAAATGATAAAGGTAAATTGAATCTCTAAAAGTTAAAGACTTACTTCCATATCACGCCTCCAAAAGTTCTATATTCACTAGCCGCAGAGTTAAAAGGGGCACCGCATCATCTTATCTTCCTTTATCTCGTCGATTATATCTATTTATATGTTTCCTTCAATTGCCGCTCAATTTCAACATTGCATATTTCTATGGGTGAGTGAGTGAGTCAGTTTGGTTTTACGCCGCTTTCAGCAATATTCCATCAAAATCACGGGTGTGGGGTGTGTGGGGTGTGTGTGGGGGGGTGTGTGGGGGACACCAGAAATGGGCTTCACACATTGTACCCATGTGGGGAATCGAACCCGGATCTTCGAACACTTTAACCATTAGGCTACCCCACCGCCCCGCATATTTCTATGGGAATGGAGGCAGGGATAATACGGAACCTTTTAATAACGAGTGGCTAGTTTGTGAAATTTGTACATATATGTATTGTTATTGCTGATTAATATTGACACACTATCTGTTCATTGAGAAGAACATATGAAGGATAATATACTTAAGGTGACCATTTGAGAAAAGTTCAAGTGACAGAGTCCAGCTAAACTCTGGATTTTTCAGACTGTTCAAAATGCAAGACCATTGTAAATGGTATGGAGACCTCACAGCGTGTCCTATCGATGCATGTTGACATCAGAAGCATCTGTCCGCCAAAGGATAAAGATTCCGCGGGAACAAGGCAAGCTCGTCCAAGAAAAGCAAAATGGACAAAAACAAGGAACATGAACATGAACAAAGTGTACCCAAAAACAAAGATAAACAGGAAAAGACTGACAGAAAAAACAAGGAAAAAGAGCGTATTTTTGAACATATTTGTGCTCTTAGAAACTCAAACGGTGGCATCTTGCTGATATATTTTACACATATGGATGACAGCGACAGGTCTCTTGCACTAGTTGACGAACTGATTGATGATAGGCTAAATGAACTAATTGAGGATGGAGTCTTATTCCATGATAGTTACTTCAGAAATTGGCTGAAAGGAGAACCCAACTGCCTCTCGATCACATGCAACTCTTCATCAACTATATCTACCGTAAACTACAACACACACATCAACCTCAACAAAGGTTTTGCTAGACCCACAGTTTTGAACATGCGTTACATCCTGAGTAAAGACAGATCAGGTGGAGGGTACGAGGAGAAGGCGCTTCGCGGACTACAAGAGGTCAGCAACGTGCAACTAAAATCCTTCCCACATGCCGGCCAGGTGGCGAGAAGTGATTGGGCACCCTACATCGTGGACAAACTTCGTCTGAGGGAATACATTTCATCCTTTGCAAACCAGAAAGGAGGCGGGTATTATTTCCTAGGAATTGCTGAACAAGATCAAACAATGCGCTCCTACAACTCAAGAAAGTTATCCATTGAAGGATTTGAACTGAAGAAGGAGCTTCATGAGACTCTCAAGTCAGAATTACAGGACCAAATTGCTTCGAGGGTTTTGTTTCTGACGCCGGAGAGGGCCATTGTTGACCGAGATGTGATCACACAATCTCTGAAGTTTACGTTCCACAAAGTGGAACGTCATGAAGACATCTGTGTTCTTGAGGTATATGTGCCTTCCTTCAGTGGAGTTGCGTTCTTCAACAGTGATGGTCCAGAGTCCTACCGTATTAATGCGAACATTTGTATCCAACGTGTCGTACCACAGGAATGGTGTCAGAAGGTTTTGGAGCATCCTACAACGTAAATACTTTGAGACACTGGCATCCATTACCAGATGTGTATTTACCCTGGTTTCTTCTGTGTGGCGTCTGTGGACAATAATTCATTACCGAACTCTGCGATACTCATGATTCATTTATATGTTATATTCTTCAGTAATATTGAATTATGAGTATCATGTTGAATTACAGTTCATGTAGATAGATAGATAAATAAACTACTAGGCAAAAGAAAGTTATTCTTCATTTGATCACAAAATAGAAACGAAGACGTAAATGAGATTTATGATAATTGTTTTACAAACGGAAATTATTTTGAAGCTGCATGCCTGCTCTGTCCAACATCAGTATGTATGACACAATCATACACGTGCATTTCCACCAATTCCCCACAATTACGTTTATCGCGTTTTGTAGAATTTACGATTCGTCCGAGGTTTTCGAACAGCTGCGTTGTTATCGTAACAATGTTGCGTTTTGGCGAATGTCTTCTGCTTGGGTTCAAACCTGTACCAACATTATTGTTTTGTATACAGTTACTTTAAAACTGATAACTTTCTTTTGGACGGCAGTTTAAATAACAATAGGAAATGAAATCTCGCGCCTGTTAAAATGTGTATCTGAATAGCATTACACCTCCAATGCATCTGAAATACGTACCAACTGTTCAAACAAGATCCTGCATACATGATACGCCTGAGATATTCATGAACCACATGTCTGTTGATTGTCAAGAGGACAGTGAAGAAAAACACTTGACAAAGCAATTTGAAAGCAATTAAAGGCGCAGTCTGATGATCCGGGAATGTCAAATAAAAAGCTTGTCATTCAATTTGTTGTTTATGTGCAAGAGACGTTACGCGTGAAAGGTTCTACTCATACAGAATGTATTGAGCGTATAAACAGACTTAGCTAGCTATTGTTAAGGGAATGTGTAAACATCTACAGTTACATGTATATTAACAATATAGGCATCCGACTGGCTGTTGCCATGTGTTCCTCTGTGAACCGAAAGTTTAAACCTCGCCAAGCTATCTGACTTCGATCTTAGTTCCCCAACTCAGGAATCATTGTCTTCTTCCGCCTCCTCTCTTCTCTGCCACTGTTTCTACATCGAGAGCGTCTGTTTGGAAGCATTAAAAAGGGAGATCATGAATTCTGTAGTTACCAAACAGTGTGTAGAAGCTGACATACGAAACACGTGAAAACATATTGTTTCCGACTGTCCAGGTACGTCTTTCCATCCGGAAGACAGGCACACTAAGTTGTGGAGACGTACGGCTCCATCCGGGAGACTAGCAGCAAAATGACAAATGAATCCGAAAAGCAACTATACACCTCAGCAGAAGTCCACTGTATAGAAAGGTTGCTTTACATATAGTTCACTATGAAATATATAATCGTAAGCAGCGTTTCTACAATGGATTCTTTACCTAGACCTTGTCTTTCTTGAGTATTTTATGGGACATTTCACGCTAAAAAGCTGATACAACGATGTTTTGAGAGGCATCATTTAATGACCATAAAACCCCATTGAATCAAATGACGCAAAAGTATTGTCCCAAAGGGGCTCAACATGGCGGCAGCAGAATTCTTCTGCAACAAACAAACATCAGACACATTACAGTTTTACAAAGTGAAGTCTCTTCAGTATCTTGTGTATCTTCCTCTGGCAGCAATGGTGTCTCTGACACTTCGTCTCATGCACTCGATGAATCTTCTGAATGTCCTCATGGGTATCCTGCGCCACTCCTCCGCTAAAGCCTGAGATAATTCTTGTGTCTAGGGGTCAGTAGGGGTCTTCGAACAGGACGTCTTGCCCTCAGACCAGCAGCACGGAGACGTCTTTGCCCAGTTCTTGGGGAGACTCTCTGGTGTGGCCGCCATTGGTTCCGTGACTGAACACTGCTGATGAACGGATTGCGTCAGCCATCCTGACAAGAGCCATGTCTTCCCTGGGATCTGATTTTCTCTGTCGCCGTCTGTCTGCTAACAGTTGTATGGCTGGTATTCAACTGTCCGCCTATAGCCCGACAAGAGATCCCGGTTCTATGCCAATGATTTGCCATTTCATTCCTTTGGACAATTTCGGCTTCCTTTTACCTCAGATATCAATTTGAATATCGCCGTCAATATTGCTTCACAGTAAACATCTGTTTATCTGTAATGAGGGCGCCATCTTCCTCGCGTGCTTCATGTGCATGTGAAACGTCTCATGCAAAATGCTTTATCCTGACATTACGCAAAAAGAAGGTTTCTACACTGGGATGAACTATGAACGAGATCACGTCCGAAATCAATGACATATTGCAATTAATATTTGGTTGTGCAGAGATGTATATGTTTACATATCAATACACGGTACTGCAAAGGAATTACAATGGCAGACAAGCGCTAAAGATGCAAAATGGCCATGCAAAATAGAAACACCTGTTACAACAATAAAGTAATGTTTATAGAATGACAGTAGTCAAGCTTCCAAAATAGGCCCAGACTGGGCACTCAAGCTGTAAAAGATGATCGAAACAATGTTGGCATTGCTATTTATATGAGATGACAGAAATTGCAATGAGAGATGACCCTTCAGATACACGTTTCGCTTCTGGAACATTTTGTAACACTTTGTTTGCTTGTTTGTTTAACACCACACTCAACGATATTCCAGTCATATGGCGGGGGTCTGTAAATGATCGCATTTGGACCTGACAATCAAGTAATCAAAATCATGTGCAGTTGGGATACGATGACATGTGTCAACGAAGTCAGCGAGCCTGACCACCCGATCCTGTTAGCCATTTCATTCCTTTGGACAATTTCGGCCTCATTTAACCTCAGATATCAATCCGAATTTGAATATCGCCGTCAATATTGCTTCACAGTAAACACCTGTTTATCTGTATTGCAAAATGCTTTATGCTTATATTACGCAAAAAAATGTATATTTTTACGGTACATATACACGGTACTTCAGAGGAATTACAATGGCAGACAAGCGCTAAAGATGCAAAATGGCCATGCAAAATAGAAACACCTGTTACAACAATAAAGTAATTGTTTTGGAATAACAGCGGTCAAGCTTCAAAAATTAGGCCCAGACTGGGCACCCAAGCTGAAAATGATTATCGAAACAATGTTGGCATTGCTATTAATATGAGATGACAGAAACTGCAATGAGAGATGACCCTTCAGATGCACGTTTTCGCTTCTGGAACATTTTGTAACACTTTGTTTGCTTGTTTGTTTAACACCACACTCAACAATATTCCAGTCATATGAGTGCGGTCTGTAAATGATCACGTTTGGAACAGACAATCCAGTAATCACCATCATGCGCATCGATCTATGCAATTATGATACGATGACACGCGTCAGCGAGCCTGACCACCCGATCCTGTTTGTCGCCTCTTACGACAAGCATGGGTTACTGAAGACCAATTCTAACCCGGATCTTCACGGGTCATTTTGTAACATGCTGGGTGGGGTGACACGGGAATGGTCTAGCTGCAATGGAAACGTCCACTCCCGTCTTGATCCCCATATCTGTCCTCAACTGAGTCTTAACAGAAACAACGTAATACAGTTATAACACCGTTTTAAGATGAATAACACAAAGTCAATTTACGATTCAGACTACACAATGAGCATATCTTTATGTACCACATTGAAATAGTATTGACACCAGGTGTAGGAAACTTGACCATATCGGCTCATCCATGTACATATGGAAGTAGATGTGCATGTCTTACACACACACCAGTACCAAATGGTTATTTCTGCCTGTTGTTTTCTATACCAATTACAAATAATTCAGATATGAACATCAACAAGCTGCCACATGAAAATAGCGATAACATTTTACAGAAAATATGAATCATACTTCTCATTCCGATACCTTGCCTGTTTTAACGTTTTCAGGTGCGGGTGTCGGAGACCGGATAGCATGTGCTATCTTTAATGAATGTGCATTGCATGTCCACGCGTGCTAAAACTCAAAAAATATTTCGTATCTTCATACAGACCCGACAGCTTCAGCTGACCTACACTACGTCAGGTACACTTCGGCATCAACATTTCCGCCCACTGTGATGGAACGCAGAAACTCACTGATGGAGATTATAGAATCAGTTGCCACAAAAGGTTCGAAAACACTATCATTTCTTTTACCGTTTATTTTTTACTTCTTACATCACACTGACAGCTTTTGTCCGAAAGGAGAATCAGACATTTCTTAAAGAACATACTTTGAACATGCAGGTCATTTTTCTGATTTCACTTTACACATATATTGTATCTACATTCTTGTACAAAATGTACCTTAAATAACTTCATTACGAGACTGGCAGAAATCACGTTTACGTAAAGGTGTAATGTTTGATGTAAATGATCTAATACATTTCTTTCATGCTGCAAGATATATAATAATTGATTTGAATAATCTATTTACTACTATAAGGAATATTCCCATCACTGATGTTCAAAACATTTGAAGCTGAAGGCAAGTATAGGAACCTCACCTCACGTCTGAGAGACTTCATCTCAAAGGCCGGTAGAGCAGTTGTAGGCAGATCTATGGCTGCAATATGCAACTTGAAGAACTGTGACGCCCGTCCCGATACGGTGATTTGTGACTCTCTGTTGATATCGAAATCCATTCCCCCAACACTGCTCACCTTCGTAGAGGACAGCGAAGACAGTGATGGAAGTATCTCAGCCTCTAACATCGAGGGCACAGATGACTTAGATGCAGAAAGAAAATACAACAAATCCGTAGCCAAGGCAATGACGTATGCACGTTATTTCACGGATGAACCATTTGATGTGATCTACGGAGTTATCAGGCCTGAAGATACTAAGACAACCAAAGCATTTAACAAGAGATTGTCAACATTGAAAGAAGAGACATCAGCATATAGTATTGGTAGTAATCTGTTGATGTCTGAAGAAAGATGTTTGAAAATCCACACAGCCTTCATCATGATGTCTGCTCTATCTGACCACCGGTCATTGGTAACTGTTGATGAGAATACTGGCAGGGCGTCCCACTATGTCATGACTGTGGACATGCACCGTAAGCTAATGCTTTACACAGATTCCATTTTCAGCGGGATAAATGAATCACACAGCGATGAGACTCTGATTTCACTGTTGAATGAACGAATCTCTAAAATAGGAAAACGGGTGGTGGACAGGGTGAAAAGGTAAAACAAAGTTTTGCATTTCTGTTGCAAACCTACGAAAGTACAGTTACAGAAGTAGATAATATTCATCCCGGTATCACAATGTAATAACACTCATTCATTGGGATGTTGGAAAAGTATTATTGTCCTTAATATTCATAATTACATTTCAAAATACTTAGAATATTATAAAATATTGATACGTTCATTCCGGCATTGATAAAAATATATGATTATTATTGTGTGCTTCTATAGTTATACTGAAGGTTAATGATGACATCATGAAGTGCTACATTGTCTAATTTGTTTCAGTGAAACGGGTACGGCAGATGATGTAAACACTAACGATGAGTATGTTTTTAAAGATCTACAGTCGGAACGTGACAAAGGTACTTTGCATTGTGATTGGTCTGCAGTCTAAACGAACTCGTGAAAAACAGAATCACGATTGCTTTTAAATAGATCATACATGATTTACTCCTGATAAACTAAACTAGCCGGGTATTTGATGATTAGGCGTTGTGCATCCGTAGATCAATTGCAAACATATCATCTCTGATACGTTAAGGGACCTACAACCAGTCTCCGCCTTATCATTGATAGGCTAAGCTTGAAAGGAACAATTTAGTGGAAGGACAACTGCTTGTAGTTT